AAAGATGCTGCAGGAAAAGGTTCCTTGTTTTTAGCCTCATGCTCCCATTCAATTTTACCTTGTGCAATCTTCCACTCCTTTCGGCATACCGTATTTGCATACGACGTTGGCATATATTCTGAACAAGGAGTACAAGTCGGACTGGCCAATTTCATTTGCATATGCGCTAGTAATATGGGGCTTGGAGCGTCTAACACATAAGAACCTTGACGCACTAATTTAGGAGTATCTTCCGTATTGTCCGATCCACTTTCTTGGTATTCTTCGTTCCTCCTACAGTTAGAGTCACTCAGAGTCAATGGTATAATATTTAAAGTTTTAGGCACTTGTGGTTTCCAAGCGTTTGATACTACTTCAACTTCAGGCTTTTTAGAAACTGTTTCATTTAAATAATGATCCGTGCTGTTAGTAACTGTTACCAATTCTGATCTTAACATGGTATTAGAAGTTAGATTTGTTTGATTCTCTAACTTATATTTAGTATCTAATCGTTTACTGTACTGTAAATTTTCAGAGATTTCTACTGGAACATCGGTTTCATTAAAATTACCATTCCTAGATTCAACAGGAACTAAGTCTTCTTTAAATCTATAATTTTTTTTTCTGAGCTGCACATCTTTAGATTTGTTCCTAACGTTTTCTTTATAAATATCATAATTATTAGATTTTTTGGCAGCACGTAAAACTGCTAACTTCTTTTCTATATTTATTGCACTCTCTTTATAGTTAGACATTTCCTGTCTGATATCTTTAGTTATCTGAAAATGATGATATTTTATAATAAAATGAACATTATATATTGAGAATATGGATATATTAATATTCATACCATAGGTGGTAAAATAGGAATTCCATTAATTTTGATACATGATACATATGAATGTTCTTCCATGTTTTTAACTCTTTAAACAGATCTGTTAAAAAATGATATTAAATGTATACTTGGAGATGATAGATATTATAAAAAGATTTATTTGTTCTAACAATGATTCCTGTTTAAGGTGGATAAAAGATAAAATATTTCTTTGCACACCAATCGGAAAAAATATTACCAAACATACCGTTTGTTTTTCCAAAAATATTAATAAAATAATTAAATGATAATATTATGCAGTAATCTGAAAAAGAATTGAATAAAGCAGTGAGATAAATTAAATTTTATAAGCACAAGTATGTATATATATATGTATGTCTGTGTGTTTTTTACATAAAAATATGTATAACAATGGTACAAAGTATAAGTAATTAGGAGATCTGTTAAAGCATACAATTTTTACAACTTTATACATCTTTATATTTATCTTTATATTTTTTTAATACTCTAATATTTAAAACTTGATTTATTTAATGATGCCTGTAAAGTATTAATCATTATATACTTACTTTTATTTTATGATTTATAACAAATTAATATAATATGTATGTATATATAAAATTTAAGTAAAGTAAAAGTTTAATATGAATTTTCAGCATTAAATATATATTTATATAGGTTACTATTTACCTTAATGATAAGTATAATCTCTATTCTCTGCGATTTATCAAGTGGAGTCGTTATTTTATATACCGTCAACATGTTTTACATGTGTATCAATGTTAGTAATATGTATGTAAGTAAGTACGTGTGTTAGTGGCGAAAGTATAGATGTGTATATATGTATGTATTTAAATCCATACAAAGAAATTCAGATCTGGTTATTACAAGAAGAGAGGTTATGTTGTTTACTATAAATTTATTAATTTACAAAGAAACTTATTGTTACATAAATTAAAAGAAAAAGAAAAAGAAATGGATGCATATGAACTTTTTCGAAAGCTCTCTACTGGTGTAAAGTTTGACAAGAAACGTTTTCAAACTGATGCAGAAAGATTTCAGGTACTTACCAATAATGTTATAGTTGTAAATATAACCATCTTTTAATCATGTTTTAACAGATATGTTATTTTTAACAGCTCCTTAAAAAACAGCTTGAAAGTATACCTAAGAATGAAAGGAAAAGTATTACAACATTCAATGATATAAACTGTTCAATGATGTCCATGAAAAGAAAGCATGATGAAATTGAAGAAGATAGAGAAAACAATGATGAATTAATATTACTAAATGGAATATCTGTTCCTAAGAATGGAAATAAAATTAAATCTAAGAAACTTAAAATATCTATAACAGAAGAGAAAGGATTAAAATTAAAACAGGAAAAGGTATCAAACATTTAATTACTGTAAATAAGATAATGTTGTTCTAAATAACTGCATTTATTTTAGATTAATCAGTTCCGAAATCAGCATCGCATAAGCATTACAGGTAGCCGCATACCTGAACCTATTTCAGAATTTATCAAACTATCAACATGTTATGGTGTGTCTGAACAATTATTAAACAATGTTATAAATTGTGGTTATGTGCATCCAACACCGATTCAGATGCAAGCTATACCTATTATGTTACAGGTAAAATAATTTTTTATTAAGATAGAAATTTGTATAAAGAACAAAAGTTCATTGACTTCTCATGGTTCAAATTAAAACAGAATAGACAGGTACTAGCTTGTGCTCCAACTGGATCTGGAAAAACAGCTGCATTTTTGTTACCCATAATTCATTGCTTAGGTGGGCCACAGAAGAAGGGATTTAGAGCTGTTATTTTATGTCCAACAAGAGAATTGGCAAAACAAACATACAGAGAATGTTTGCGTCTTAGCGAAGGTTATAACCTTAGAATTCATATTATAAGCAAAGTAAATCAAGCGCTACATAAATATGGTCCCAAAAGTTCACAAAAATTTGGTAGGTGTAGAATATACAATAGTCTTGATATAATGATAAAATTCTTGAATATTGTTATAATTTTATTCATTGCAGATATATTAATTACTACACCAAGAAGAATAATATTCCTTTTAAATCAAGATCCACCAGCTATTTCTTTCAAGAAGTAATTGAAATTTATATTTTTATATATTTTTGAATTTATTTGTTATTTATACGTAAATAATGTATAAATTATGTTTTTCATATATAAGTATAAAGTATAAGAAATATTTAAAATTTAATCATATCTCTGTAGTGTTGAATGGCTAATTGTGGACGAAGCAGACAAACTTTTCGAAGATGGAACACGATGCTTCAGAGATCAGTTGGAAATAATTTCAAAAGCATGTACGAATGAAAAATTATGTAGGGCAATGTTTAGTGCAACCAATACTCCTATAGTAACTAAATGGTGTCGCCATAACTTGAAAGGTCTTGCAACAGTTACCGTCGGTCACAGGTTTATTTTCTTCCTTTTTATGATACATTACTATAAAAAATGGCATATTATTTATTTAAACTTACTGACATTTACATTTATCATAGAAATGCTGCAACTGATTTAGTAGAACAAGAACTTTTATTCGTTGGGGCAGAAAGGGGAAAACTTGTAGCACTTCGAAATATCATTCAAAAGGTATTAACATGTACATATAAGTTCATTAAGTTTTTATTTCAGTATCTTTATTTAATTTAATTGAATCTCTGTTGTTATTTAATAAAGGGAGTATTACCGCCTGTTTTGGTTTTTGTCCAAAGTAAAGAAAGAGCTCAAGAATTATTTAACGAACTTATATACGATGGAATTAACGTTGATGTTATTCACGCCGACAGAACGCAGTCCCAGGTTGTTTTTTTTTTTACGAAGACAATTTATTTATTAATAAAATTGTATTTAATAAAACTATTTTCTTTATTTCTCTTTCTAGCGAGACAATGTTGTTCGTTGTTTTAGAGAAGGAAAAATATGGGTTTTAATATGTACGGAATTGATGGCAAGAGGCATTGATTTTAAAGGTGTAAATCTTGTTATAAATTATGATTTTCCACCATCTGTCATTTCGTATGTTCATAGAATTGGTACGTATTTATAAATTTGGTAGAAAAATATGAGTCAAATATTGTTTTACGATTAATTCATACAGGTCGTACCGGTAGGGCTGGACATCGAGGGAAAGCAATTACATTTTTCACTAAACAAGACACTACAAATTTGAGAAGGTAAATATTATTAAAACACTAGCTCAATTAAATTACAGCAAATAGCTATTTTCTATTTATTCTTTCAGTATAGCTGCTGTTATGCGACAGTCTGGGTGTAATGTTCCTGACTATATGTTGGCTATGAAAAAACATAGTAAAAAAGAGAAACGAAAGCTTGAACATAAAGCTCTTGTTAGAGAAAAAATATCTACCATACCAAAATTTAAACGCATACGTAATAAAGAAAGAATGAGGTGAAATATTATCATTACGTTTTCCCTTTATAGTAATATATAAATAAAATATCGTTTTCCGACAAACAAACACACAATTTTTTTTTCTTTTTAATATTATAGAGAACTTGGTGGAAACGCTTCTAATCAAAAGCAACACGAATGAGAGATAAAAAGAAGAAAATTAATGAAATAAATGAAGGAAAAAAGATGAATGAATAAAAGTGTCTTGTAAAAAAGATGTAAACATAATAGAGATACTTAATGGCAGACTATCAAATAGAAAATATAAAGTAAGGAACAATAAAATCTTAACATTAAACAAAAAACTAATTATACTTGGTATTTTGTAATCATATAGGTGATAAAATCATGATTCTTCGTAAAAAATATCACATTTTTATTATACACAGAACATACAGTAAATTTGTATGTATTACTATCTTACAGACGAATAGAAGTTTTGAAAATTATCAAAACACTTTATTAGTTTTCCAAGTACATATATACATTTAACTAAATTGCTACTTTAATATACAAAATAATGCCATTATTCGACTATATGCAATGCATTTACCATTTAATTAAAATACTTCAATAAAATTCATAACCATTGAATTACAATTTTTCATGATATGTTTGCATGTATATGTAGAAATATTTACAAATATGAAAACAGTTTTAAAAAATGTAAGTATTCAATAAAATATACAAATTTAAAAAATTCTTAGTTTTATAAAAGTACTACCAAAATTTGTTCCACATGAATTTAATAAATTATCTACATATCATAAAAAGAAATATATTAAGTCTCACATAACCAATCACAGGGTAATTTAGGCATTTTGTTCGCTGGCCATGGAAGATATCCAGCTGTTTTAAAAATCCAGTAATCATAAGATACTTTAGCTATCAGACTTATTAAAAGGACCACTTCTGTAGCTATGATATAATAAATATAGTCTGTCCAATCTCCCGGGTAGACGCACATTTTTGAAGGTTCTAAATCGATAACTTTTTCCTTTACATTCTCGCACAGCACTTCGTCTGAATCTAATATGCGAGTTTGTAGCCATACCTGGATTATGATTTAAAAATATTAGATATACTCATTTATAAATTTTACATATACATGTAACGTACACACACCTTTAAATATTTAGCTGTATTACAATCACAGTGTAATTCATTGCCTCCCAATTTCACTAAACGGGAACTGATGAAACTTTTGTCGTGAGTATTGGGACTTAAAATGTACGTTGGAAGCTAAACGTTCATAAAATATTGATATAATTTTGATGATTTTCTCGTTCTATTTTCTGTCAATTTTTTTTACTTACAGATTTAATTTTGTTGTATCGTAAACTAAGTAACGCATAATTATCTAAAAATTTGGAACCTTCTAATTTATTTATAGATGATATGTTATTATAATCTGCATAAAATTCTCGTATGTCTTCGTAACATGGATTGGTACTGAGATCATCCAATACAGTAATCTATAACAGTAAATCATACATAATTATTACTTTAGTCTTTCACTTTCATTTAATCTGATATTAAAAATTACAGACGATTAAGATAAGATATATGTATATATGAAAATGTAAAATTTACGACGTACGTTGTTGTATGATACATTCAGTGCTATAGTATTACGAGGTAACTTTTCAGGTAATTCAGTGATTTGAATTCCACTACAATCTACGTTCACCGCCAAAGTCGGTGGTTTACCTTCAACGATATCTAATCGTCTGAAATTACACTGACATTGCCAACTATCTCCTTTAGGGCATTCTGTTTGCAGCTATGCATTTAAAAAATAATTGTTAGGGGTCATTTCATTAAAGGTCAAATCAACGTGTTAACTAAGTTATTATTTAAAACCGAATATTATATGTGTACAAAAATATTACCAAACTTAGATATCGAACTTGTTTCAGAGGAACTTGTTCTGTAGTATTGAACCAATGCCAAGTCTTACTAGCTGAACATACAGTTTCATTTTCTCGATTAAAATTAATTTGCTTTTCTCCTGTCTTATTAATATATTGATAGATATCATGACACCAAAGTGTATTTGTTCCTAAATATAAATGTTATTGTTAAATATAATTCGTAAAATATTATCATCAAAATAGAAATGTTACTTTCAAATCTATTTACCTGAAATATCAAGCCAGAATTCACGACCATTCATTGTATTTAAAGCTGGTAAATGTGTAAGATTGTTGTAAGATAAATCCAAAGTAGTAAGTTGAGCTAACCGAGTGAGAGAATTGTTTTCTACTTCGATAAGAGCATTATTTGAAAGATTTAAACATACCGTCGGTGTCATCATTCGAAACTGTCCTTTCACTCGATTGATCCTTCCATCGGTTATTGCAAGTGATTTTAATCTTCTCCACCGGATTTCGCTTACATTGAATATATCTAATGTTGCATTTCTTATATGTATATACGATATATTTGATGGAAATCCTGTAACAGCAAAAATACTTTTTAAACATTATTTTATCAAATACTAACATAGCAAAGTAATTCTATAGTAACCTGCACAGGAAAGTTCAGACTCAAAATTTTGTACATCTAAATTACAACAAAGTACCGCATTTCCCTCAGGGTTATTGTGAACAAGAACAATCTTTTTGCAAGAACATCCAGTTATTTTAGCATTGGGACATTCGCTAAATTGTTGGTAAAAACACTGTTCTAAAAGACTACTAGAAATTCCAGTGATTGCAGCTGAAGAAGACGTTTGTTGGTCTTCTTCTGTCCTTGCACTTGCTACTCCCGCGTATAAGCACATCATTATGGCAAACCACTGCATCTATAAATTGAATCAGTTCTTTTAAAGAATTTATAGTCATAAAAATGCAATTGAAAATGATGAAAACATTAACTAATCGGTGCCCTCATACTTTTTTATATAAAATTACTTTGTAACAATTTTAATTACATCATTTAAGAACATATGGTATTACAAAAACAACAAAAATGAAATACAAATATTTTTTAAATTAATAATATCTCTAATAGCATAATTAGGAAACTACAATAATAAATAAATTTAAATAATAATCTACAAATAATAAATAATAAATATAATTGAACCTGTTATGTGTAATTTTGTTAGAAAAATTTTACATTTTTGTTCTTATGTGAAATCAATTGCCATGTACAGATTTCTGCTTTTATCCTATTAACTGATGAAGTATTTATATGTACATGTACATACGTTCGAATGTATATATAAATACATACATTTGAAAAAATAAAATTTATTTCGAACTTCTTAATCGAACTGTATACTTTGTACATTTTATACAAATAAATGTATCATTATTGTAACATATTGAACAAAGAAAAGAGAATTTCAGTCATACGTATTTAATAAATTTTGCAATATATATACAAATTCAATATCCATGAATGATCAATTACAATAAACAAATATTGAACATATTTATATGTAAGCAATTGAAAAAAGATTACAATTCATGTACTGTCGGATTTACTCTCTCTCTCTCTCTCTCTCTCTCTCTCTCTCTCTCTCTCTCTCTCTCTCTCTCTCTCTCTCTCTCTCTCTTTCTCTTATAATAAGTTCGTTGCACTGCTAGAATTATAAGGATAATTTAACATATGATAAAAATGATAAAAACAAAGATAACGTTGATAATATGAAAATATCGTAATGAACAAGAATTAAACAAAGCATACATACGAAATAGAGAGTTCATACTCATGTTAATTATGATGATTAAAGTTCAAACAACTTTGTTTTACTTAAATTACCTTCATCTTGTACAACCTTGCGATAGAATCAGTAAAAACTCCATCTATTAAAACACATTTCAAGAAAATTTTCATGCCAAATCGCTTTCTATTTGAAGCAGAATGATGTTATGTATACAACCATGTACAACTGATATAAATAATTCACGAATAACAACGATCACAACTGACAACAAACAGAATTTTGTTTTTTTTTGACAATATACATTGCGCACTCGCACTAAGAACGCATATAAGTAAATTAATTCGTTTAGTTGTCTCCGACACTTTGGGTCATACGGGTCGACCTATTAATGAATCAAAATTGGTTAGCTACTTGCAGAACGCGCCACTTATTACACTCGTTGGCCTCGTATAAACGATAAATCACTTCATGAAGAGAATTAACATTATGTTTCTTTGCTACTTTACTCATTTATGGTTTACATTTTTCCTTATTCGCCATTTCTAATTGAAATACATATTCCATTAGCTATTACACATATAGAATGAATTAATATTTTTAATATGTAATTGTCTTTTTCACAAAACGTTAAACACATTAATCGTTATTCGCAATTGTTGCCACCAGTGTAAAATAGTGTAATAATTCATATTTGTATATATTATAATGTATGGATGTAAATACATATGCATCTGTAAGTATTTACTTACTTACTTACTTACTTACTTACTTACTTGCTTACTTACATAAATACTTTGTAAGTTCTGTTTTACCGATAGAGTTTAGCCGATTATCCTAACAGTTAAGTACTTTTATCATAGTTGAGCACTAAGTTATTAGGTGGCGTTAACAGTAACATCCGAGCGGTTGGTGAAACTAGCTAGTTTAGAGTTCAGTGATATACACATACTGCTGTTTGTCAGTGTTTTAAGATGGCGGACTTGAATGAGAAGTTGTTAGCAGAACTGCTAAAAAAACCTGGAAATAACGTATGTGCAGATTGTGGGGCAAAGAGTGAGTAGGTTTTCTGAGAAGTTCTAAATATATTAGTGTATCATGATGTAAAAAAACATTGAAAAGGTTTTGTTTAATCACGTTGTAAGCTATTCAATGATTGAATTTTAAACTTTGTTTTCGTAACTTTACTCATAATCAAGTATAAAACAGTTTAATTGCATTTCTAATATTGTGAGAATGAAGAGTAAAAGTTATTGTTTTTATTTAGCTTGATTATTTACTAAAATTCATCGAAGTACTCGTTTTCAAACCTTCAAATTTGTTGCTTTTACAAAGTATTACATGTACATAAATAAACAAATGAAAGAATGATTATCACATTTTATTAATGGTTTGATTTACAATTGTATATAGTAATAAAAAAGTTTCATGTACCTTGTTTATACATGTTTCCAAGATTTATATATGTACATACTACCCTTTAATGGGAATAATCATTGCAATTTTCATTTTCAAAATAATATCTTTCATATTCTTTTATTTACATATTCGGGTAATACTTGTAATTATATGTATGTGTATGTATATACGCATATTAATTTTTACCAAACATACAATAACAAAAAGTTTATATAGTTAATTAAAATTAAATTTCAGATCCAGAATGGGCTTCGTATAACATAGGAATATTTGTGTGCACAAGATGCGCTGGTATACATAGATCTATGGGTGCGCACATCTCTAAGGTTAAACATTTAAAGCTGGACAGATGGGAGGACTCTCAAGTAAATAGAATCAGAGAAGTTGGTAATGTAGCAGCTAGGTTGCATTACGAAGAACGTGTACCTCCGTGTTATCGTAGACCAAGCCCGGATGCACCACAGTAGGTTATCGTATATACACAACTGAAATATCGAATCAGAAAAATAAACATAACATACTTTAGAGGTTATACTTTACAATGAACAGAGTATTGGTGGAGCAATGGATAAGAGCAAAATATGAAAGGGAAGAGTTTTGTCATCCAGAGAGGCAAAATCATTACGTTTCAGGGTTCATGGAAGGATTTTTAATGAAACGTGGCAAAGAAGATTCGCGTTATCATCCTCGTAAGTTTGTTCTTTGCGAAGCAGAAGATACTCTAAAGTACCATGTTAAGGAGAATAAGGTGGGTAAATATTAAATCTTGTGTATGTATTTATTGTTGTGTATATATCGTTTGCATCTTTATTCATCGTTTCCCAAGGAGCCGAAAGCTGTTCTTAGAATATCAGAACTGAATGTGGCTTTTGCTCCACCGAAAACTGGTAATCAGAACAGCTTACAAATATCGTTTATGAAAGATGGTACAACAAGACATATCTATGTATATCACGAAGATCCAGAAGTAATTACAAATTGGTATTTGGCAATAAGATGTGCGAAACTACATCGTTTACAAGTTGCATATCCAGGAGCAACAGAAGCTGAATTACTCTCGCAGCTTACTAGAGATTTTCCTCGTGAAGGGTTTTTATGGAAAACTGGACCTAGGCATACTGATGCTTATAAAAAAAGATGGTTCACGCTAGACGGACGAAAACTAATGTATCATGACGATCCTATGGTATGCGTGCATACTTGAGAAATATTGTACATACTTATGTTTTTTGAGCATCGTACCGCATCGTACCGTACCGTACCGTATCGTATCGTATCGTATCGTATCGTGTATCGTATCGTATCGTGTCGTATCGTATCGTATCGTAACGTAACGTATCGTATCGTATCGTATTTATTAAATATATTTTATGCCAATTCAAAGGATGCACATCCGAAAGGTGAAATCTTCTTGGGTCATAGTTCAGACGGTTTTGCAGTGAAAACAGGAGTACCGCCAGGTGCAAGGGATCAAGGATTTTCATTTACTCTCGAAACACCAGATAGAACTTATCTACTTTCTACTCAAAGTGACGATGATAGAACGCAATGGATGAATATTATTCAGAAGGTGATAGATAAACCGCTTACTCCACAAGATGCAACTGGTAAGTTTCATCAAAGCAGAGAAAAAATGGTAATATTACTTATAATTTGAAATTTATAGTGGCAGCGCGTCTTATAAGAAAACGCACAGCTAGTGGAACAATGAATATATTTTCTTCTACAAGGTAGGGCTGGATCCCTCTTAGGTGCCTTTCCTAATTGTTAAAAGTAAATACTATCTAGACGAACCAATTGATCTGTTATTGAGAGACTGTTGAGGAACTAAGTAAGTACATCACTCGACACGCATAGCGAAAAAATAATTTTTCGTAATCGCACAATACCGTCGAGTTCTATATACGTATTTATTCGTAAAAAATACACGTTATATCTCATGCATATACATAGCATTATATATAAAAAAACAGAATCTTTTAATAAAATATAAGGCAATCGTCAGTGTTCTCATACGATTATTGCTAACAAATTTAAAAGATTTAATGTAAACAAACAGTAATTCCAAATGACGAACCAAGTGTATTGAATTAAGTGATACTTTGTGCACATGTGTAAATTTATGTACACATTTACACAAAGCATGACACTAAATTGATATATAAACATAAAATATAACATAAACTTAATACGCTCTTCGACGATACTTTTATCACGGACTGATTTTTTGCTTACTGTCAAAGCTGACAGTATTATGTGCTAAACTATGAACAATTTTTACTTAATAATACTATCTGAATAATATTTATTTGCTAATAGTTGAGAACTTTGAAAATTCTACAGAATACGGAACTATCTTGTTTAAAGTAAGTGTCGTGTAATGTAATTCGCAGAAAGTGGTAAACTTAAAATTTATGAACATTGGAATTTCATTTGATATATATTAAATATTATTTCGCAGTATTTTTCTTCTTTTTCTTTCTTTCTTTCTTTCTTTCTTTCTTTCTTTCTTTTCAAGTTACTATCGATTTATATAGATTTTTAAAATAAATACGATACAAATAGCAACGACATTCTGTACGAAAACAATAAAGTTCAGTGGCCTATTAATTGCATTTTTTGTGATTACAATAAAATAAATATTAAAAATATTAGTTACATAATTAGTATATTGTAATTTTTATAGACAATATTCGTCATAATTATATGGAATGTTTATCATGTTTCATCGTTTTTAATACAAAGTTATACATAATATGATTCTTTTGTATTATACAAGAAAAAGACTGTGTTCAACAAAGAGTTTGATTAGTATTAGTTTGAAACGTATTATCATTAAATTGAAATTGTATTCATTCGTTTAATTATGATGTGTCAATTGTTGTGCCAGTTTCTTGATAAATGTCTATTTGCCAATAAACAGGAACGTTCAATTTTATCGAGGATAATATAAGAGATCAATACTTTATTTCGCTATTGTTGTTGTTATTGCTGTCAATTAATGGTGAACTTTTCAAATAGCAAAGAATGTTTACCCAACAAAAAGCCGCTACACCGACGAAAGAAACTCGTAATGTTGGTGGTATTAGTAGAAAATTTAAGAACTGAACTGGTAACCAATACATGCACGAGGTCTAGAAAGAAAAGATTAGTTTTAAATGCTGAACGAGAAAAATCTAATGTATTTCTGTACCTTAAACGTTTGAAGAAATTTCGCTTTGCATTCATTAAAAATATCCTGCTTGCCTTCCATTAGGCTCATACCTAAAATATTAAAAACCGTATGAGAGCAATAATATTCAAACATGGTAACGATACAGACAAATAACAAGAAATATACAAACTGATAAAAAATATTATAATCAATGGTGGTGTAAGAACAAATTGGTCGACACAAAGTTTTGCAAGAATTATCTTCATTGCCGTGCCTTTGTAGAACGCGTCTAACCATTTGTACCTGAAGAAAATAGTATTGCATTGTTTAATTCGTTTTCACAAAGTATTAAGAAAGAAAAATTGGTTTTGGACAAATTGATGATAAAAGGAATATTTTTTTTTTTTTATATATATTACTTGATTGCAATTCGTAATTCGTAATTTTTTGCGACTCATACAGGCGAATTTTGCGTCGATACAAATGGCAAAGCAGAATAAGCTCACCGAAAGTGATAAGTTGAGAGAAGGCCAACGTGCCGATGAATGTAATCGTGCAATCGTCATCCAGTAGATAGGTAGTTTATTTGATGCTGGTATCTATAATAGAAGGTGTCTACGAGAGATCACCACCATCAAAATCGAGCAACGATCGGTTATTTACCGATAAATAATTAGATATATGTTACTTTTACATATATAATAAATATGAACGTTTTCTGCTATTATTATACTATAAGTTCCATTGATTTTTATCCCATGTAATATAATTAATAATCTATTCGAACATTTTGAGTCGATCCGTTGCAAAACTTATCGCATGTACATACGTGTAAGCGTGCGCGTAATACATAAATGTGCTTTGAAACGTAAAAGCAGAATGTGATAAATATATATTAAGTGAGAACTGATATAAAGCGTTATAGAAAAAAAAGGTAGAGATTGTCTTTGAAAACGTAATCATTCAATTTTAATCGCTCATGAGCGATCGTGGTACGAGCGATCAAAATGATCATTAATATTTTTATCAGTTTAACATTTTTGTACAATTAGCAGTAAATGTTAGAAAATTATATTTATTTTTCAAATAATTTTTTAAACTTCTTGTTTCAAAGTTTCATAGTAATCTAAATAATGATTTTGTTCAATACGACATGAAATTAATTGTAAATCGCGCATGTTGATCGCTCAGATTCACGATCGCTCAGATTTTGAAGGATGATCATAATAAAGCGTGATACCATGCATGTAACACCGGTCCTGCAATGAAACAACCATAGATAGCATATCGCTTAAGTTGGGCCCAATTGTAGTCTCTTAATCCCGTTGAGTTGTTTTCGTCCAGTAAACCCAACGTTTCGTTGAATTTATTCGTCCAAATAAATAGCGGTCTCTTGTTCTCGATCGTATTCAATTCTACGGTGTTCTCCGACATTGATGATAATGGGAACTATATACAATCGAAACGATAGACCATCGAATTAAAAACCTTCGTATACAATATAACATTTTTTATAGTTACCTTTTATTCTCCGTCAAGAGAAATATTACCTTAAATATTCTGCTATAAGTTTGTCGTGTAAATTCAGCACCAGTATAAAATGAACCGTATATCACTGAATTGAAGAGTAACGGTCTTTTTTGAGCGGAATGCTTCAACTTTTGTAGAATTCTCAGGACAGACATAGTTTTCCACAAATTACAAGTAGTATGTAATTTTTTATTAATAACTTATCGTTCACCTCAATCCTTTGTTCTGTTATCTGAAAAATAAGGCGTTACATTAAACGGATGGCAAAAGTTTTTCATCAAATGAAAAAAAGTCTATATATTTTTTCTTGGTCATTTCAACTGTAAAATGTCTCCGCGTTGTCATAAAGAATAATATCTAATGAAAATTTGTTTTCCTAAACAACTGTATTATCCACGTAATTCACGTTTTTACCACCGTCGATCGCTTGGTGATCATTTTTAAAGTAGTAATTAACTAACAATTTAAAAAACAGTGGATTAACTCGAAAAGAAAGGGGGGCTGCACTTTCTCTTCATTCTGGGCCAGATTCGATAAGACTCACATATACTTATGTACTTACAAAGAACTGTATGTATGAATGTATTACACGTATGTACTTACATATGTACCGTATTATATAAGGAATACTGAAATACCGAGGAAGGAGATACTGAAATGAACTGATTTTTACAAACAGTACAAGTTTGTACATATTTAATAAAAGAAACATCATAGACGTAAGAGAAATAAAAAATCTTTGTGAATTAGAAATTTCACAATTTTGAATTGCTCTTAACCAACAAACAAAATATAATTTAAATACTTTTTTATAAATAACTTTTATCGAATATACAGATATGTAGATACAGTTAACTATTGCATTGAAAAATCTGCTTTGAAATATTTATATAAACACAACAGATGAAAAAAATACCAACTTATATATACCATTAGTTACTCACATCTCGTATTTTCGATTACATCGAACGTATTTTTGACTAGTTATTGACCGAAAAAATTTCGATACACCGAACTACGTTGTACTGAATACGCTTACATTGGACACATATTATCTACTATGACCACTTAGAATTAATCAAAACCAATCGCGTCTCAGTTACACCAATTGAAAGTAATGCTGATACAGAAAATTATTTGATAAATACAAAATAAATGTTTTAAAATCTGTTGAATTTTATAAGATTCGCGATAATAAAAATATTATAACAAAATGTATCGCGAATGATATTTTTTCAATCATTTATACAATTATTATCCATCATAAGTTTCATAAATAATTGTATCTTTAACATTAGAATGAAGCCAATCCTTCCATTGTTGGTCTACAACTTTCTCAAAAGTATACTCTTGGAAAATATGACTTTTCTCGACCTATTTTACAGCATTATCGTTGATTATTATATATATATAGATGTTAGCATTACTTCTACTAACTAACGATAAATATAATTTGATAAACAGATTACCTTGTAAAATTTTAATTTTTCAAACATGTTTAGGCTCTTCTCATTGTTGAACTTAATCTTTGCCATATATTTGGTTATATTTAATTTTTCAATTCCTAATATAAAAAATTTATCTTACACAGGGATAAAAAAGTAATTTGCAAGTAACCAGTAAAACAAAGAAAACAACATAATATGTATGCATACCATAAAGTAGCATTAAAATCATTGCTTCCCAACCTCTCTTCTTTCCTCTACAAGCAACATTTGCTATCATAATTTCAACCTCCGCGCTATTAAATTCATCTGACTGATTAAAAAATAAATTTGTGTCTCCGATCATAGCTTCTAAAATTCGTTAATATCAATATATTATATGTATAGGTATGTAAATATGTACATACTACATTTCATATGTACAAATTCACATTTGATGTATTTATGTATTTATGTATGTATGTATGTACCTATTTCGTTTGCAGTTGCAGAAAAAATGCTTTTTTCCAAAATGATAAAAGTACATTCTAAAACAAATAAAAATACAAATAATGGTTAAATTTTGTATTTTATATGTACAAACAAATTTACTCACTATCCTGATCTTGATGCCATCGTTTTTGCATTTCAAATTCTTCTTCTAGCGTTAAAACCTCTGAACCTGTAAAATAACGTAATTCTTCCGACTTCATCCATTCGTGATATCTGAAAATAAATTTCTAGAATATCTTAAATATGTACATATGTACATACAAGTATAAATGATAAAATATCATTTAAAAATGGCGGATATTTTGATAACATAAAATTATGAGCATAATCGATAAGAGTAAACGACACTTGCCTTTTAACATGTTTTTCTTTGTACGGTATTAAAATCACATTCGTTCCAATAATTTTGATATGTTCGTTGTCTTTCATATTTAGCTGACAGATAATTCGTATTTAAATAGTTAAACCACGAAAGAAACGAATGAACTGTATATAAATAGGCTTTGAAGTTAAGAAGGTTACATTTGTCATTCTGCCATATTGGATGCAGGGTTCGCAACGATATGATCTAGGATTTTCAGCAAGTACACATATATTCACTTTCTTTATCCTTTTACTGTTCATAATTTGACTAAGAATTATTATTGAACGGTAAAGAATTTAAAAGAAGATGGCTTATAATTTTCCCGGTGTGCCAGCAGCCGCTATGGCACCAATGGGTATGCTTATCATTCATAAATATTTTGTATTAACCTTTTCTATTGTACTTCGTATCTCGAATAGTTGTTTTTCCTGATTTATTGAAAGTTACGTTTATTTTATCGTAACTTGATGCATGTATATTTGTATTTAATATTGTATACTTTTAGGTATGGGACCGATGGGACCCCTTGCTTCAATTGCTGGTCCACAAAGTTTTATGGAATTAGCAGGAGGCCAAGGATTTCCTCCTCTACCTCCACCGATACCATTACCTGGAATGAATGATTCTCCTTTAGAGTTCAGTACAAACAAAAATCAACCACCGGTAGCTAGAGAAACATCTGAAGATGGTAGTGACAAAAGGGGAGAAAAAAATGATGTTAGACGAGATAGGGAAAATAGAGATAATAGAGATAATCGAGATAACAGAAGGTTTTTTTAATTTGTTTTTTATTTTATAATATTTATTTAGCAACTTTACTTGTATAATGCTCGAGCATATTTTTATCGAGACAGATCTAGAAGTGAACGAAGCGATAGAAGAGAGAGGGATAGGGAAAGAAGAGAAGAAAGAAATGAAAGAGATCGAAGAGAGGAACGACGACCAGAAGAACGAAATAGTATGAATTCCACAAATAATAATAATAACAATAATAATAATAATAATAATGGGCATAACAATTGTAATTCGAATGGTAATGAAATTCCATCGTCATCATCGTCATCAAATACAAGTAATACTCCAAATTTGGGCCCACAAATGGAACAAGCAACAGGAGTTTGGGGAATGGGAGTTGGATATCCGGTAATGGGAATGGGTCCGATGGGGCCAATGGGACCGATGATGGGTGAAATGACGCTTGGTCCACATATGGGACATACTCACAGTTACGGGCCTATGAGTATGGGAATGATGTCGCACGATGGTAGCATGATCAGTGCACAGATATTAGGACCGGAACAAATAATGAACGACGCTGCCCAGATTATGAGTAGCGCTTTACCTCCTCCACCAACAACACCGCAAGGTACCAAAGAAATTATACATTGTAAAAGTTGTACTTTGTTTCCACCAAATCCAAACGCTCCACCTCCAACAACTAGAGAAAGGCCTCCAGGATGCAGAACAATTTTCGTCGGAGGTATTTTCTTTTTCTCTTTTTTTATTTTATACCATTTCGAAAAATGAAAATCCTTACTATATTTACAAATGTCTTTTTTTGTAAATTTTATGCAGGTCTACCAGAAAATATTACAGAAACGATAATTCAAGAAATATTTGAACGGTGCGGTGAAATAACGACTCTACGTCTTTCTAAGAAAAATTTCTGTCATATACGTTTCGTACTTGAGAACAGTGTGGATGCAGCTATATATTTGTCTGGATACCGAGTCAGAATAGGATCGAGCGGTGATTCTGCAAACACTGGAAGGCTTCACGTAGACTTTGCTCAGGTTTGTAACTTCGATATACGCGATGATTAAATATTAAATAGATGTCTTGAAATACAGGCTAGGGATGATCAATATGAATGGGAATGTAGGCAGCGTCAACTACAAAGAGAGCAGCGTCACAGAGAGAGGGTTGAAAAGGAAAGACAAAGAGCACCATCCAGTCCACCCCCGGTAGTACATTACACGGATCATGAAGCGTCAAACATTTGTGAAAAGATTAAACAAGATGATACCTTTATGAAAGCGGTACAAGTGAGTAATTGTCATTGTTATCGTTCTACAATATATATTTTATATAATTTGTTATTTTAGCAAATAAATGAATAAATTACATTGCTTTAGGTTGTCGTGACGTGGCTCGAGCGTGGAGATTGCACCAAACGCAATGCTAATACGTTTTATTCGATGATACAGTCAACCAACTCTCACGTTCGACGATTACTTACAGAAAAGGTCGCGTACGAAGAGGAGCTTCAGAAAGCTAAGGAATTGATGAAAGGCAGAATGCAGGGACTTCTGATACAATGTACGTTTATATGCTTCACATATATATTTATATACATATATATATATATTTTTTAAAATTAGCTCTGTGCCACTGTACATTTTTTGTGTACACAAGAGCAAACCTACATACGTATTGCTTTATCTGGTAAGTTTTTTTTTTTTTTTTGGCCATCAAATAAGGATTCCATAATCCTTTGACCATTTGTTATGAGAAATATGATTACGGCAGAATTTCACGCCTCTCACAATAGTGAAAGTCTTTCTTCTTCATTGTACATCTGGTAAATTGTTTAACTTTAAGAATTTATCGTTGTAGTAGTTACAAAGGTATGTTACTTTTGATATTAAAGGTTTTGATAGTTAAAGATATAATATGCAAAATTGATTTAAATTTCTGAAACTAAAAAATTATGTTTCGAATTTTGAAAGACGCAAAATATTCTTGATAGCCCGTCAATCGTGATAAGTTCGTTGAAAAATTTCATCCTCATTGAGATTCAACATCAGGTGTATTGTAAGAAATTTATTATGTAACGAGTGTATTGTGGTCAATGCACGATCAGGACAAGTCAGTAAAGGGATCAAAGACAGTAGGAGAAAATATAAGGTGGGTGAAGAAATCCTGACTTCCGATTCTAGGCTCTAATGATTGAACAAACGAGCACAAATATCACAAAAATTCATTTTATAGAGACATAGTGTATCTAAGATTTGCATGCTTGCAATGCTAAGGATTAAGGGTGATGGGCTAAATATGTACTTGTTACAGAGATAACACTACGTTACGATTCTTACTGGTATTGTATGTAATCAGTTCATTTATACGTTGACGAGGTTGTACAAGAATATAATTATAAAAAACTTTTTCAATTTTCCAATTTTCCAATTTTCCAATGTGTTTATCTTTTTCTTTTTCTTCTTGTTAATTTTTCTTCTTTTTATTCTTTTTATCTTCTTTTTGTTTTAAATGGAATCGTAACGTAAGATTATCTTTAACGTTGGAAGCCTCTACATGTTGTGTAAGGTATTGAGAAGATGGTGCACATTTTCTGAAAGAAAATGAGCATTATTCATGACGTGTCAAAATAACTGATTGGTAGCCGAATTGCAAGGCCTTGAAAGGATCGTCAGTATGGTGAAAGCAGTTTATGAAAACATTACACATTTGGATAAGTAATTTAATAGCACGATTTATAGAAAAATTTGTATAGGATCGTCGAATAGAGTAATAGGTGTCGGGATAAATTGTCGAATATGCGTGCGAAGGAAACGTTCGAATCTGAATGATACAGGAAACTCGGAAGAAACTCGGTAACAACATGTCAATGGTTGAGATGATTGCGAAGAATATATTGTAAAGTGTATAGATAAACTAAAACGAGAGTAAGAATGTTAGATGAAAACGAATGTAGAGTTTAAAGCAGGGTATACAACAGACGATTTGTTGTGTTTTTTGTATGCAACATGCGACCATGTCATCAACAGTCAGTCAGATTGAACGCGTCTTTACTGCGGCCAGCCACAAGAAGGTCTGGGATCACTTCACAAAGGCTCAACGGAAGAATATCGAAATGTGGAAGAAACAATCCTCGGTATGTATTTGCATTTCCACGTCAGTAGCGTGTTCAGTACGTTACTCTTTTTATGATTAGACAACAGTAATCATCAACAAAGTCTTACGAGTCTCAAAGAGCTTCTTTACGCGATTGCACGTTCATCTAGAATATGCCACGCGTACGCGTTTTGCAAAAACTTTTTTTCAAAAAAAAAGGTAAGTCAATTAAAAATTACAGACGATTTCGAACAGTCTGATCGTTGAACTTTTTCCTATATGATCGGTGTTTAAACTTTGGAAATATTGGAACATGGAAGGTAAAGAACAATCATGTTAGTTCGAATTGGACATATACCGCTGACCGGAACAAAACAGGTAACAACAAATTCAACAGTTTGTAAGATAAAATACATTGTTGAGTTTTACAAACTAGATTTATTTATTCTACAACACTGGCGTGTGGAAACTGCAAAGAAAAGAATTTAGAGGAAAAAGGATTATTCTATAATAATATTACTTAACGTAAATATACATATATTATAAACAATACAGGTTTTTTTATTCAGATTTTTTTTAGGTAAGCAGGTAATTTCTTCATCAACACTTTTGGAAGATAATCAATGATTATTTTTTAAAACATTAACGCATAATGAAACGAAATTATTGTGAATCTGAAATTATAAAAATATTACATTTGAAATATTATATTAAGAAGTAACATTTTTTTATTTTTTTTTTCTTTTTTTTTTTTTCTTTTTTTGGATATTCGATGCTCTCTTTTCGGCATTAAAAGACACATGTGTACATACATATGCGTATTGCGTATTGCGTATACATACATGGCATGTTTTTTTGGTGTTGTTTTTATTATAAAATTGGAATTAATATTAATTTACCGATGATTTTTATTCGCAACAGGAGATTAAAGCAGTACAATTGGAAGAAACGTTGATGGAAGGTGAAGGGGAGATGGAAGTTTCGGATTCTGAAGAGGAACCTCAACGAAAAAAAGCACGTAATCAATCGGATGTGCACGATGATTCTGAAAGATTGCAAGCTTTGAAAGAAGAAAACGATAGTCTTAGATGTCAATTGGAAGCATATAAAAACGAAGTACGCAACAATTTATTGTCAGTTTTCAAAGATTCAAACTTTCTTTACGTATATGAAAATTGTCGTTAAAGGGAAATTTACATTTTTTGTTTTCTAGGTGGATTTGCTTAAATCTGAGACAAAAAGTGAAATAGATGGAAAAGATAAACAAATGAAGATGCTACAACAAACTTTAAAAGGTATGCAAGAGCAACTGATGCAGTCAAGAAAACAACAAGCACAAGACGATCAGAAAATCAAGGATCTAACTGTAAAACTAAATGCTACCAAAAAGGAAGAACCTAGAGAGAGTGAAATAATAACACTGGATAAGGATGACGATATAAACGAGGAACCTCGAACTCCCAAACAATTAGTTTCAACGTCCAACTTTGTTCAAATTACTCAAAAGGATGCCAAACTTATAGGTAACTTTGAATGAAATCATTTCAGTCATTTAGAATAATAGTTTTAAATTCTTGTAACTTTCGTAAAATTCATCATTGCAGGATTAATAGCAACATTCTTACATATCCACCCGTTTGGTGCGAGTGTAGATTATTTATGGTCGTACTTACAAAAAATGGAACCAGGTATTAAGCCAAACGAAGTAGAAGCCCTAATGCAACGATTTCCACAAGTTTTTAAACAAGACTTATTTGGAATTGGAGCAAATATGGAAAGGCGTTGGCAGTTTTCAGGCTTTAATGTTTATCGCAATCACTAATCGGCGTAGTAATTAAACTAACAGAACATCTGTTAATGAATTTTCAAATATTATCGTGTCGTGGCATTTAGTGTCATATAAATTTTTATTGTGATACTTATGATTCTTGCGGAAAAACTTTATTTCATAACGTCAATAATTGTCGTTATGAATCGGAACACTTGTAAATAAAATCGATAAATTGCAAAGACTTTAAAAAAGGTGGCGTATGTTTGTTGGTTTCAGAGAAAAACAGTTGCATAAAAACTATTAACTAATTTCTAACATTTCTTCTTCTGAATGAAATTTCAATTTATTTATACACACGAATGTCTTTATAAATCATAAAAATATCATAGAAGCAATCACATATCTCAAAGAAATCGTTAGTATAGCAAACTTATCCATAATATGTTTTCTTTATGTGCATATATTTACATGTTTTGTGTGATCAATACAGATAAAGTGAGGTGTAATCAATCCTTTTTCAAAATGACTTCATTTTCTAATCACATGTAAATTTTGAATACATAGCTTATCCAATTTGAATTTCTGTATACCAAGCTTCAATTAGTAAAAACTTCGAAACGTTGATTATGTATAAGTTTTTTTTTTTTTTTTTTTTTTTTTTTTTTTTCAAGTATGTCCAACATGTATTTCATACTTTAGAAGCAAAAATTTCATTACAAAATGTAGTTTATTATATCTATATCTACATATATTACTCATGATATTACAAAGGAGGACATTTCTTATGAAAAGCGTCAATGTTTCATAATAATTTTGATTTATAAGGTACACACGTTTAATTGTTTTGTATATATTTACGTAAAAGTCGAAGTACTCATCATTAGAAAATTATAAACAAATATATTGAATCAAATAGATATTTACAAATATCATCATTGCAATGATACATTTTATATAACATAATATGTAATTGGATTATTTAGTAAGAAAAAGACATTCGCAATTTGACATGCAATACGATTAAACCTTAATTATGTAAAAAGAAACGTTTTTTATTTAATACAATAGCATAGACTCAATTGGCCATAAAACGAAGTGTGGTAGTAATTGATTGCTACATACTTTTTAAGTTAAATATAGCAAATTTGGAACGTAGAAAGAAATAAAAGGAAATTAAATCTTATTTCTCGCTGTGTGTTAAAAAAGAAATCAGTCAAAATTAGCACAAGACCGAAAAATGATTAAACTATTTATTTTGCAAACTTGTATTCTAAGAAGACCGCCATATTTTTAAAGTTCGGCACCAGCGACATCTGTACAAAAACGGTGGAAACTACTCGGCGATTTACCGACCGATTTTCTTTTGATGCCATCTATTAGAGTATTATTAAAATAATAAATTTCAATAGTAACAACAGTAATTTAGATATAATAATTATTTTATAAAATAATAAATAATTCTTTTGTTTCGGAAAATCGGTCGGTAAATCGCCGAGTAGTTTCCACTGTTTTTGTACAGATGTCGCTGGTGCCGAACTTTAAAAATATGGCGGTCTCTTTAAAATACAAATTTTTGAAACAAATATTTTAATCATTTTTCAGTCTTGTGTTAATTTTGACAGATTTCTAGAAAAAAAAAAAAAGAATCAAAGGGCATAGAAATGGTGCATTTTGAGTTTTGAGTCCAAGATGAGGTAAAAACGGGGCTGGTAAAATAGGTGCGACTGTCACATTGAATGTGCTGTGCACGTGTAGACCTAACATCACTTGGGGGTATCTGCAGTGATTACAGATTGCAGTCACTGTTATTTGTGACCTTCAAAATCATAACCCTTTGAGAACAAAGCATGTCCAGTCTGGTCCAGTCGTGCAAGTCGTGTGATTTAGGGTCACTGCTGCATATGTGTGGAAAGAAATGAGTCAAATATTTGTTAGGTTATGTGATGTATTCAAATGCGACTTTGTACATACATATTTACTTACTTACGTACAAGTAAATACACAGTACCATTACATGGATTTATATTTTTAGTGCGTTTAATAATTTACATTAACATATAACGTGAATTTGATGGATCATTACGATGTACTGGGTTGTACGAAGGACTCGACGTTCGAGGATATAAAACGTGCATATCATGCGTTAGCTTTAAAATTTCATCCAGATAAGAATCCATCAGAGTTGAATAATATAAAGTTTCAGCATATATTAGAGGCATGGAATGTTTTACGCGAACCTAAATCAAGAGAAGAATATGATACTATGCAGAAGCAGGTAGAACTAGATTCCGAGTGTATTCCAGTATATGCTAGAATACATGTTAATGAATTGGAAATAGAAAATGACGACGAGGCTACGTTGATTTATCGATGCAGATGCGGTGGGCTGTACTGTGTTGAAAGAAAATATGTTCAGAAAAAAGATCAATCGATACACGTTCCATGTTTGGAATGTACTTTTCTTATCATTGTTGACACATAGTATTTATATACAGAGATAAAAAAATTGCATCATTAAAATTGTATACAACTTAATTAGAAGGTATGATGTATTAAGATATAAAGCGTAAAACAACAGGATTTAAAATGCAGCAACATTTTCTATTTCTTATAAAAAATGATACAACAGATAACATATTGTTACAAATATAAACTATTGAGCAATATACAAATAAAAACACGATCCTTAAAATATCCTAGGTTCAATAATAAAAATTGCATTTACACAAACTGTGTTATGTATTGGGATTAAAATTTATGAAGCTTATTGTCAACGGGAATCTAGCGTTTGCATATTCGCTTACATAATTCCTATAATGACAAAGTTTGTATAAAAAATTGATTTGCTATAAAAATGTACAATAAACTGAAACAGATTGTAACTTGTCTATATTTATTCACACATGATAATTGATATTATTTTGTTTAATCGATTCGTGCATATTGCACAGAATAAATTTGCAACTCTTATTATTGCACCATGGCAAAAACAGACTTGTTACTAATGTCAAAATTAATACATTTTATTTAAATATCGATGATCCAATTAATTAAATTATTATCACGAATGTTGAATAACCCTGGTTGTCTAATTAATCGGTGAATAATGAATAGTGACTGACCTCTGAACGTGTCACGCGTGGAAAATTAATGAAATATTTGAAAAAGTATTTGATAATTGAAAAGTATAGACTTTACGTTGTAGATTGCATTTGTACAACTGATTAAGGAAACAATAAGATCTCTACATACATATATTGTGATGTAATATAGGCGAACTCGATCAATATTCAGTACATACAAGAATTCTGAGTAGTAAATTAATCTTGCATGAATACTGTGTATCATTCTTTTCTTAACACTCGAAATATTGTACATCGTTTTATAGCTTTAACAGGGTGTGTTTATTATTACCCTAAGGAATTCTTGTTTTGTGCCTTCAAATTTGTAATGTTTTTATTACAAGTACATGTTTAACGAGAACATACTAAAATGCATAGACATATTAAATTTCTGATGCATATGGATATATATATATACACACACACACATATATATATATATATCAATAGCTAAACGAGATTATAATAAATGCGTATTTGCATATTTTACAATTTACTTATTACAAAAACTAATAAAATCTGTTGAGTGTATTTATTCTTTTGTACTCAAAGTGACTGCAGTAAGGGAATAACTGTTCCTTTCACGTAACACGTTCACCAACATTCTGATTAACGAGCAACATAAACGATTTAGTTTCTAATGTAACATAACATTAGCGTCATTAAAATGCTAGAAATCGCTATGAGTTTAAAAAACGTGTTCTTAAAAATCGAAAAGACAAATAGGTAGATAGAATAGTATGATTTTACATGAACATTTGTGCATGAACAGTTTAAACGATGAAATCAAAGTTGGCGCAAATTAAACGAAATAAATCTAGTGGAAAACAATGTTCATTTCATTAAGAAATGATTAAATATTGATTATATTATCCAATAAATTATGCACAATTCCCATAATAATTAATTTAATCAACATAAATGAAGAATTTAAATAAGTCATACGTAATACAACAGAGTCGAAGAACTTATTATATAAAGAATATCCTTAGTACTCTGGTCGTTTTTTTGTTTTTTTGTTTTATCTAAATTTACCATTTATTTATTCCAATTTTCTTTCTCGTTCTTTCGTTTTCTTCACTCGAATCTTTTGTTTACTTTTTTAAAATTTGAGATTCTTCAAGCAACATTTGTATCTATAAGTTCGATAAATACAGTACGAAATTTTGTTTTTTATAGTTTAAAAATACTTTCCTAAACGCCCATACAAATCGTTATGTGTATAATTATAATGTGTTTACGATGGGCTGTTACCGTTTAAAATTACCAGCGACTTCTTTTAGATTTTGTAACAGCAATAATACAGTAATACACTGTTAAGCTCCTCGTTCTTCTTAATTTGTTGAGTCTTTGAAATCTCACATTTGTACACCACGAATAATACACTCCATAATTAATATAATTAATGCCTTCGATTTAAACGTTCTAAACCATTTTGGAGATCTGATTTACAACTATCGATTCATTGTTTGACTTTCTACGATCTCCTTTCAGGTTTCCGACATACATTCCTATCACAATCACACCACGTAATACATGAATCATTGTACAGTAGATTGATTACGCTACCTAATTCGAATATGTACAGAAGTCATAGAGCAGGATAGTTTTGCACCGCAGAGTGCACTATTTTACCTCTACATCAAAGTCGAGAACAAGAAGTTTGGTTTCCTCCGTACCATTACGGCTACCCACTGCACACACCAATTTTGTATCACTTGCACGTATCCTCCACACAACACCACCACTTCCGCCGCTTTCGAGAGCAACCAAGTTTCTTATAAAATCACCTAAGGATACACGGGGTAAATATTAAAAACCAGTTTGATTAAAGAAATTATTGTCAAATGAAAACTTACCAGTTTTAACATCCCAAAGTTTCACGGTACCATCATCGGACGAAGTAATTACAAAATGACTGTTGAATTGAAGGCAAGTAACAGCAGATTGATGCTTATTTGGACCAGAAAGAGTTTGAAGGCAGTGACCACTAACGATATCCCATACTTTAACGGTTGAATCAGCATTTCCGGATACTAGAATATTATTACGTAATTCCATTCCCGAAGTAAGCGATTGATGTCCCATTAACGTATGCCTGCATGCACCAGTTTCAACTTCCCATACTCTAATGCTTGTATCCAAAGAACCGCTAACAACATGTACACCATCGAACTGATATAAACACAAACACAAAAACAAAAAAGAAAACAAAGAACGTGTTAATCTTTTTTCATATCTATGCGTCGTAATCTCTATCGTGGTACAGGTAGATTTTTTTTTTCTGAGTACAATTTAAACGATACTTACTTGGAGGGAATAAACACGATTTGTATGTCCTTGTAACGTATGAAGGCACTCCTCACGTTCCGGATTCCAAACTTTGACCATGTAATCATAGGCGCCGCTGACCACTAATTTTCCATCGTATTGCACACATCTAACAGCTGCCAAATGACCCACAAGCACATGTAAACATTCGCCAGTATCCACTTGCCATACCCTTAATGTAGCGTCCCTACTACCACTGACTACTTTATTCCCATGCAGATGCATACACCTCACCGTTGAGGTATGCCCATACAATGTATGAATGCACTGACCAGTTTCAGCATTCCACACTTTTAAAGTACGATCTGTACTACCACTGATTACGGTAGTACCGGACATTTGTGAGGACCATACCCCACCAGTATGTCCAACTAATGTTCGTAAGCACTGTAAGATAAGATAAAATATAAAAAGGTAATCAACAAAACTGAAGTAATAGGAAACCAACCGCTATGTAAGAAATTTATATTACTTCGTAATTATTCATCTTAATTTTTCACTTACCTTACCCGTAATGGCGGACCACACTTTCAGAGTATTATCGTCAGAACCACTCACTATTCGATTACCGGAAAACTGAAGGCAGGTAATCACATGATCATCGTGTCCTTTCAAAACTTTTGGCGTGCGGATTGGCTTTGTCCTCCAATTCATCTTTATGTTATGTTGCCTCATGTATGCTTGTTTCCAAGGTGAAGAAGAATTACCAGAATTTCTACAATTCTTACGTTTAACTGGAGGTAAATCTTTCAAGTCTTCTATACCAGCTGCTCTACATTTTTCTTTCCACAACAAATTATCATCAGCGAGAAATCGCCAATTACGACATGTTTGTGCAGCACGTAAAAGATCCCTCGGCTCTAAGAAAGCTAATACCGACAAGGCCAATTCTTTCGGTAATAATGATATGAAGTCTCTTTGAAACTGAGGCTCGATCACCTGCATCATGTGCCGTACTTGCGTTGGTTCGCATCGTTCAATTAATTCATCTATAGCTAACATTCTTTCTGCGTTTGACCACCTCTGTAGTTATAATTAATAATTTTAATTTGTACCTACTTTTTAATCGAATGCAAGAACTTATTTGATCAAAGAATTTAGTTTTCTTATACCTGAAACTGAAGAAGCCAATTACTCATTTCAGGTGGTGGATTATCTTTTGTTGGAATAACGCATCTCATATGTTTGCCTTTCTCATCCAATTTTTTAACGATCCTGTAAATAAGAAAAAAAAAAAAAAAAAACATGTGCATTATAAAATATCTCCAGAATTATTTTCAAAAATTATTTCGAATAATGTTCTTTAAACTGTATTTACATTGAATGCGATTTATTATCTTCTGGATTAAGCTTTTTACAGGGTAAACTCGATTCTGTCTCACTTTTACGTTTTCTTTGTGGTTGAACAACGTCCAAGGGTACGCAAGTGTGTAAAATGGGACTGTGTACTTGTTGTGTAAGAGACTGCGATTGTGTTGTAGATAGCGAACAATTATTACTTTCGAGATCGGGTTCACATTCTGCATCACAGAACATTCCAGTGTCACTGATCTGAAATCAAATTAATTTTAATATGTTAATGCACTCAAGTTTTTGCATAATGCTCTTGATACAAAAATAGAACTCACTTCACTTTCTTCTTCGCTACTGTCATATTCTTCTTCCTCACCATCCTCACCATAATCTTCTGATTCTTCATCTTGCGGTAATAAAGAATGCATAGGTTCCAAGGAACTAGGTCCTGGAACACCCTCAATGCCTTCTACAGGACTAGGACTTGTACCGCCTGGTTTACCATTAGATATTTTATTAGATGACGAAGAAGGGACAGACATCACTGTCTTATGTCTAATCTATTGTATTACCTGAACAAAAACCAATAATTTATTAATGTGTTTCTTGATTAAAGGAATTTTGTTTCATTTCAAGTTGTTATATAGGATGTAAGAAACTTACAAAAAAATTATTAATCAAATGTAAAATTTACTGTATTTGCATTTTTATTACAATTCTCTGGACCATCAAAGTATGTTTCTAAAATCTTATATGCGTAAAAAATTACATAAAGCATATTAATTTATAGAGTTGTGACCATTTATGTTGATTCATTTTATTAATTTTTACACTGAAAGATTATCATTCTACATTTATTATCTATTGCAATTCTAATTTTATCGATTATTAAGCAAAAGTAAAAGTAAATTTTACAAAAGTACGAAAATATCATAAATTGGTAATCACAAAGAAAGTAAGTTTGTTATTTAATATTTCTTCTGTATGTTTTAATATTCAAATTTTTGTAAGGAAAAAAAGGAGTAATAAAGAATTAACAAAGATGTACTGATAAGAAGGGTATTCATGAAAATACAATTCTTCAAAATGAGTAGAAATCCTAACCTTAGATAGAATCTAAAATTAAGTTAAATTCAGAACATAGCCTAGAATAATAAAGAACCGGTTAGCCACACCCCTAATTTTCGCGAGATTGTCATAAGAAGCGAAAGAGTAAAATAAGAAATCGGAAACGAGTAAACAAATCATACTTAGATCAAACGTTTTTCCTCAGTTGTTTCCTTATTGTATGTACAATTACTAAACCACGATGATCCAAGTTTCGTAGTTTCGATTAATGTTTCTATCATATGGTCACAGTACGCATTTTTAGTATGTCGATATTTTGCTAGGTTAGAATCTAATAAAGTTAACTTTCTGTTTAAGGATTTAGGCCCACACGAGTGTTGAAACAAAAATAAGAAACAGGTGTAAACACAGAAAAAGATCCATCGGTAGCTCTCAGTAGCCCCGAGGTTTTTATCTCTTCGGATTCGGTGCTTCGTAGACAGGTAGCTGTTGCACATGCGTTCGCCTTCGTAAGCCGCGTATTCACTGCAATTCACTGATCTGTTTTTTTTCATCGTATCAGACGATTATATATATATATATATATGTATATATGTATATGTCAAAATACTTATGAACTGTTTCCTAAATAAATAAATCATAGTCTTTACATAATTATAAAATAAGTAGAAACAATTAAACAAAAACAAAATATAATATGAAAGTACTATATCTATACATATGTATATATGTATGCATGTATGTATGTATGTATGTATGTATGTACGCAAGTGCATATGTACAATTGATTTCATTTGACATTTTATTTTTACTATGATCCATGACGATTGAAAGAAAAGAGATACAATATTTTATGCTTTTTTATTAAAAATAATGTACAAATATTTTGGAAATAACTTATATATTGTAAAATTGAAAAATATATCAAATACATTTTTATTCGTCTTATAGTTATTACCGTCCATATTATATTATTTAAATATTGTTGTGTGTGTATATACGTATATACTTGCATGGGACATACAAGAAGACATTTATATGCGATGAATACACTTTATGATTTACCAAAGATATTTTTATTTTGTATATAAGCGATCGTTTTGTAAACAGGACTTTATTTAATTCCTTATGTATGTATGCATACCATAAGGAACATAAACGTCGTGCAGAGACTCTTCAAAGATTGGTTTACATAGAAGTGTATGGAAGCGTATGTGTCAGTGAGATACATGATATGTCAAGTAGTGACGTTGGACAACTGAATTTTGAAGGTTATCAAACGACAGAAAAATTGAAGTTTTAACCGGATACCTTTTCAATGCGGTAGGTCGCCGTTTCGAGCCCGGCAACTACTTATTATTTCCTGGGAACGTTACGTCTCATCGTGACGGTAAAATATCGTGTAAATATTTAAAAAAATCTAGGTCTAAACAAAGGTTAGGTACGATTTAAAACTAATAGAATGGCTTTAGGCACAATATTGCAGGTGAGTTACCGAAACATGTTACTTTCATTATATTTATTTTATTATTAAATTAACCCTAACAATTATAAATCCATTTGATACTACACAGAAAGCTATAGACCTGGTTACCAAAGCAACAGAAGAAGATCGTAATAAAAATTATGAAGAAGCACTTAGATTGTATGAACATGCAGTCGAATATTTCTTACACTCTATCAAATGTACGAGCAGTGTCAGGTTTCTTTTAATATTAGATTCACGTTACTATAATTTAGCAAATTACACGATTGTTAATGTTGTTTACAGATGAAGCGCAAGGAGATAGAGCAAAGGAAAGCATAAGAGCGAAATGTACTCAGTATTTGGAAAGAGCTGAAAACTTGAAAGCATATTTGAAGAAAAAGAAAAAACCTGTAAAAGCAGGTGAAGATAACTCTAAAGCAGAGGATAAGAAAAGTGATAGCGGGGACAGTGATACGGACAGTGATCCTGAAAAGAAGAAACTTCAAACTAAATTGGAGGGTGCGATAATTATCGAAAAGCCAGATATTAAATGGAGCGATGTAGCTGGTCTTGATGGGGCTAAGGAGGCTTTAAAGGAAGCTGTTATCTTACCGATACGTTTCCCTCATCTTTTTACCGGAAAACGAATCCCATGGAAGGGTATTTTATTATTTGGGGTAATTTTTTGAGTAAAGAAAAATGAATAATTTTTCATAGTTATTTTTAAAATAACTTCAAGATATTTTTAGCCACCTGGTACCGGTAAATCTTATTTGGCGAAAGCTGTAGCAACGGAAGCGAACAATTCAACATTTTTTTCTGTTTCATCTTCGGATTTAGTAAGTAAATGGCTTGGAGAATCCGAGAAACTTGTAAAGAATTTGTTTGATTTAGCTCGTCAACATAAACCTAGTATTATATTTATCGACGAAATTGATTCACTTTGTTCGTCACGTTCTGACAACGAATCAGAGTCTGCGAGGAGAATAAAAACAGAATTCCTGGTTCAGATGCAAGGTAATCAAAACTGTTTTATAGCCGAATGATTTAGTAATACTATTTTTTCTTATATATATATGTATATATTAAATCGATATATCAGGTGTGGGATCAGACAACGACGGTATATTGGTATTGGGAGCTACTAATATACCATGGGTATTGGATTCTGCTATCAGGAGAAGATTTGAAAAGCGGATTTACATTCCTTTGCCTGACGAGCAAGCTCGTGCTATAATGTTTAAACTTCATTTAGGAAATACTGCTCACTATCTCACAGAAGAAGACTTTAAAAAATTAGCAGCTGCTACCGATGGATATTCCGGAGCCGATATAAGTATTATTGTGCGAGATGCGCTTATGCAGCCAGTTAGGCAAGTTCAAACCGCAACTCATTTTAAACGTGTAAGAGGACCGTCGCCGAAAGATCCTTCCATTATCGTTGACGATTTATTAACGCCATGTTCACCCGGAGATCCAGCCGCTATTGAAATGAGTTGGATGGAAGTCGAGGGTGACAAATTGTATGAACCTCCCGTAACTATGGTAAGTGTACAACCATTCACTTCCAACTCATTCAGTTACAACTTTATATTTTATATTTTTAAACAAACAATATTTATTTCATATTTAGAAAGATATGCTAAAATCGTTAGCAACTACTCGTCCTACGGTGAACGAAGAAGATATGACCAAGTTAGAGAAATTCAAAGAGGATTTTGGGCAAGAAGGTTGATATTTAGACTCATTCAAGAAAGATATTGGACACTTTCGACAGTATCTTTCAGTTATCCATGCACTTGCCTTATGTCTTTTTTGATTATCGACATTGCTGTCTAGTGTTTCTATGAAATCACTTTCGTACATTTTTTCCTTCTTTTTTCTCAAACAGTCAATTCGCAATAACAATGATAACATTGTAAACTTGAGGTTTTTTCATGAATATTGTTTATCAGAATTGACATAAAGGAAAAGAACAAGAGACAGAATGAAATATATATTTTGAAGTGAAATGCTGTTAGATTTTAGTCGGCAAAAAATAAAATTATAGACTGTTTTTTAAATATTCATAAATGCAAAGAAAATGTTGAAACGCGTATAACGAATTCCGTGCGTTTTTTAACTTACAGTTATCGCTATAGTTGTACCTAACAAATTAACTGTACAATATGTAGGTTTATTAAGTATTTCTGAATAATATTTTGATTTCAGCTGTCGATTAGCAGTTTCTTTTATTTGTAATTTTTATTCTGCTTAAAAATTCGTAACACCTTGCGTCTACGATAGCTATATTCATTTCCTCTGATAATTAAAATTACGAATAATCAATTTAAATAATTTGTTAAATTAAACGAGTGCGACTATATGTAGCATGTGATATATATATATATATATGTGTACGTATTTCAAATAAGCATAATACCATTTACATGTAAATTGTTTTTATTGTTAATTAAATAAATAATAAGCTGTACACACTAATATATCATTTGTTTTCGATAGCGTTTCGTTTAAAAATGATATTAGCTGAAAAACTTATAAATATAATAGAAACGTTTCGTGTATTTACGGAGGGCAGTGTCTTAAAAATTCTGAATCCATATAAACAACAGTTATTGTAATATCGTCTCTAAATATTCGTCCTACCTCGCTTGGTAACGTTAATAATCGTGATAATTTCGCATGGTCTATTCCATATTCTGTACCACCAAGAGCATTTCTCAATAAGTGGGTCGCCGCATTACTATCAAGAGGTTTCTTCTTTAAGCCTTCTTTACGTTGCAACAACATCTTGTTTATGTCAGATAATTTCATATTTTTTCGAGGTAACCTTAATGGGCTCAATGTTACTTTTCCACTCATATGTTCACCTACTAAACGTACAGCTTGTAAAGGTGATATCAAATCCCATAGGCCGTCACTTGCTATTATAAGAAATTTATCTCTAGGGGTTAACCTATGATATTTAACATCTGGTTTCGCTGTTAAATACGGGGGAGTATGATAATTTGGAGGAATTGCGGCTTCGCCGAAGTACGGTACTACAACCTCCTTTATGATTTTTTTACTCCACTTATAGCGAAAATCACCTAGTGAACGCAGGGGTACTAACTGACCAAGTAGCCTCTCCATTTTAATTACAGTTGATTTTTCATTTAACGGATGTTCTGATAAAATTCTTTCGACTTCTGCTCGATTGTCGGTATTATGTTCCACCGTCATTAACTTTGCAGACCAACCGTCATTTTCTATAATTTATACGTGGTAAAAGTAAAGAAGTATTTAATAAAATTATCTAGTAAATAACAGGGATACAATGAAAATGATAAATACCAGAAAATATACCAAGTACAGCTTGACAATCACCCACTCCAGCAACATGAAGATGTGGACCGTCTATATGCGCAACAGCAGCTACAGCACCAGACATTGCAACAGCAAGAGTCCTAGCAGCATTATTTTTATCTAACTTTAAAAGTGCTTCATTTGACAAATCATTGTCTAATCTGAGAAAAGCATTTTCTAAAGCTGTTTCCATTTGAAATTCTTTTGTACATTCTGTTCCTATTAAATCCTTGACAAAATTTAAAAAACTTGCTTGATATAAATCTTTAATTTCAGAAACAAACTCAACTTTATCATTGAATGTTTGAAGAAGTTCTAATTTATTATTGGAGTTAACTGTATTTAAATATTGTTTTAATAACTTTGTGGGTAACAAACAAGCTGATATGTAATGAAAAAGTCTCTTTGAAACAATTTGTGCACAGGTACTACCTCCATGGCCATCGAACACCCCTAATAATATTCCTGAAATAAACATGTATTTTGATTTACATAAAATGGTTGGAATAAATCTATTTCTAACATATGTTTACATATATATGAAGGTCTATTGTCATTCATAGTTTGTACAGTTTTTCATAATACCTTTTGTAAGTAAACACTGGGCCTCTGATCGAGTATCTTCTATAGGATTATTAGATCCTAACTGATTTGAATCATAATACTTTATAGAACTGTCTCCATTAAATTCTTTAGTATATTCGTTAGTTTGTAGAACTGCGGTAACCTATAACAAAGAACTTAATACATTTGATTTGTTGTTAAAAATTGATTTGATAAATCTTTGTTACCTCTTGAGGTGTAAGCCGTGGTATTGTCATGTATGATCTTTGAATACATGTGTTGCTATTTCGTTTATTTTGCTTAATATATGTATTAGCAACTGTTTTAATTAAATTGCTACTAATATTTTGTAGAACCATTCTATTTTTGCGATTTTGCAATGTACTTGTGGTAACATGTTTTTGTACATTTATTTTTACATTACATTTTGATCATTTTGCAGGTTATGTTGCATATTCATCATTTCAATGTCTTTCCAAGGATACTTTTATCTCCTTAACCATATATGTACATACATATGTAAGAATATACCATGTATTTGCATGCATGTGTAGGGAAATGTGGTAATGGAAATTTGTTCTGTTCAAAGTCTGATAGTTGAAAGGTTAATAATTTAATAATTTATAAGAATGAATGAATTTATTATCAACTTCAATTTATTAAAACATTTTTAACAGCAAACGTGTTCACATTAAAGTATCATTGTATTTATCATTCTTAGAACATTTGCGTGCCCTCGTTAGTATGTATGTATGTATTTTGGAACTGGTATTTAGCGACATCTTTCCTTGAACAGAGAAAGTAAAATCTTCTAATTATAATACATATGTATGTACATACATACATACATACATACATACATATATAGAAATTGATAAACAATTGAAGAATATGTTACTAATTCCTTCATAGTTTTAGTTATCTTGTAGTAGTAACTTTTGATTCAATAAAAATAAAGTCACTAAAAATAGATTGGACAAACTGCTTCTAGAGACAACTTCAAAGTATAACAATTTGAATTTCAAAACTTCGTTTATTGTTAACGGTTGGTGATGGGTGCTGCAATCTAAATTAAAAGAATCTGCTATGGTGTTCAATAAGAAAGATTTGGCGAAAGCATTTTCGCCGAATAAAGCCAAAAAACTGGCAAAGAAACGACTTTCAAATAATGGAACAAGGCCGAGTACAAGTGGAAGTACAGCTTTATCAATACAAACAGAGTCTGGTTCGCAAACAAGTATCAAGGTAATAGTAAGAGTACGACCGCAGAATGATCGCGAACTCCAAAGCAACTGTAGAAGTATCATAAAACTCATTGACGATAAAATGTTAATTTTCGATCCGAAAGAAGAGGAAAATCCATTCTTTTATCACGGCGTAGCTCAGAAAGGTCGTGATCTACTTAAAAAACAAAATAAAGAATTGGAATTTATCTTTGACAAAGTATTTGATATGTCATCTAACAATACTGATGTATTCGAAGGAAGTACTAAAGACTTGATTATTAGTTTGTTGGATGGTTACAATTGTTCTGTATTTGCATACGGAGCAACGGGTGCTGGAAAAACTCACACTATGCTTGGCAATAATCAGGATCCTGGTATCACGTATCGTACAGTAGCAGAATTATTTTTTCAAATAGAAAAACAAGGCGAGCATCGTGAATTTAATTTGGGTGTAACATATTTAGAAATCTATAATGAGAATGTACAAGATCTTCTGCATAAATCTGGACCTTTGCATTTAAGAGACGACGGTAGACACGGAGTAATTATTGCTGGTCTTAAAGTAATTACTATACATAGCGCCGAAGAGTTGTTGACACTTTTGGCAAAGGGTAATAAAAATCGTACACAGCATCCTACCGATGCAAACGAGGAAAGTAGTAGAAGTCATGCTGTTTTCCAAGTTTACATTAATATTACTAACAAACTGGATGGTCAAGTACGACAAGTCAAGCTGTCTATGATAGATTTAGCAGGATCTGAAAGAGCTTCTGCTACAGGCTGCAAAGGAGCACGGTTTAAAGAGGGTGCAAATATTAATAAATCGTTATTAGCACTTGGAAACTGCATTAATAATTTGGCAGATGGTGCAAAACATATAACATACAGAGATTCAAAATTAACACGTCTGTTAAAAGATTCATTAGGTGGAAATTGTCAAACAGTTATGATAGCTAATATTGCACCCTCTAGTTTTAGCTACGAAGATACGTATAATACGTTAAGATATGCGAACAGAGCGAAGAAAATTAAAACTCATATAAAGAAAAATATAATATCTTGCGAGATGCATGTAACTGCGTACATTAAAATGGTGGAAGAACAAAAGAAAGAGATAAATTATTTGAAACAAAAGTTATTGGTATTTGAAAGTGGATCAACCCCCATGTTGCCGGAATTGAAAGATAGTAAGGTTGACGAGGAAATAGATAAATGTGCGCTAACAATTAGTAACAAATTAATCGAACTGCATCATAAAAAAAGAGTTTTAAATGAGAAGGTTCTTTCGTTAGAAAGCGCTGACAAAATATTGTGCTGCAGAATTCAGTATAAAAAAGCAGCAGATGAGAGATTACAGAATTTAACAGCAGCTGTTGATGCTTCAACGCCTGAAGAGCAAAACACTAGTGGCAAATCAAGAGTTAATAAATCGTTGCATTATTTTGAACGACAAAGAGATTCATTAAAAATACAAATAGAGGCTGCATGGGAAGAATTATGCTCGATAGAAACAGAATTACAAAAACTAAATATAGATATAAAGTCGAAAAAATTTGGAAAGCTCGAAGACATGATTGCATTACAAACTTGTGAGATAGAAAAGTCTAGATTGCGGCAGCAATATGAACATGCAAAGAAAGTGAATAATCTTCAACAGTGTGAAATGCAGTCTCATTATTCAATGATTAAAATGATGAGTACAACTTTACAAAATTATTACAATATGATGAGAGGCTATGGAACAATGACAGATACAATGAAAGAAGAGTTTAAACAACTGGTCAAGTTGTTAGAAGGAGTAAGAAATATTAAATGGTCAGACATGGAAACAATTAATCACGAGGAATGCTTCTATAGCTTGACTTGTCTTAGCATACCCAATTTGATAGATCCACTTAATAATAAAGTACCTATATGTACATTATATCCTATAGATGATCAAAATCAAAATCAAAATTGTACTAAAGATACATTGAATACCACGTTTAATGCGTCTACTACAGAGAAAGACAATGTGTCCGATGTAGTAGTAAATGATACAACTGTTACACTGCAGACAGATAGAAATATAAGTTTTAATGAGGAAACAAAAGGAAAGAGAGAAAGGAAGGAAAGCATAGAAAAAGAGGATGATAATGTAAATTGTACAGAAAAAGTCAAAAAGCGTGTCCTTTTAGATAAAAATAATATAAATATAATAAAAATGCCTACAAAACAAGCAAGAAAAATATTCCCAAGGGATAAAGATACATCTTGCGCAATAGGAGCCAAAGAAAAAGAGAACAAACAACACCTACAAAAATCGCATTCCATAACAATGAGCGCTAGAAGTGTAGCTATATTAAATAAATTAAAAGCGGATAAAGTTAAAAAAAATAACCTTGATAAGGAAAATACAGATAGATCATTGAAAGTAGTAAGAGAAAAAGAAAGGCGAGGGTTGATGACAACGCATCCATATCAAAAGCCAATTAGTAAACAAAAGTAAACATATAATGTAGATGTACTCTTAATAATTTGTAGAAAAAATTATTCGGTACAACTACTTTAGAAAGAGAGATAATTTTATTCGTTGTTACAGATTGATAGCGGCTCCGCCTTCGTCTCGAGTACCACGATAATAGTAATAACGATTAGTAATAGCATTAGTGTAGTAAAAAAATAAAATGCATATAGAATTATTATTTATGAAGCCAGTAAAAAAATGCGCCGAAAACTGGATAAATGTTTCATATGTTTACTAAAATATAAATAAAAAAAGAAATCTTTAGTGTATCCTAAACTAATCGTACTTGGATAAAAAGCTGTCTTGTAATAAGAAAAATAATAATAATAAACTATTTAATATTATTTTGTATATTACTAACAATAAGTATGTAACTTGTAATATACATCTGTGTACTGAGCAATTTAGAGTTGAGTATTGAAAGTTTTACCAAATGATGAAATTATTTTTTAAGCAAGTAGATAACGAATATGTATTTAGCACCTTTTTACTCGTAAAACGATCAAATTTATGTAACTGATAATGAGTTGGAACGATTAAATGAAACATTATAATAATATCGTAACATTTTTATACAGATTTATTCCGTTATTTTATATTTAACACATTCTTGACAGCTTGTTTGTACTGATTGAGAAAAAAATGATTTTCTTCGTTATTCATCAGTTCTGATACTGCATTTTTATATTCTGTTGCATGCGGTATCGACTCGTAATTGGTATCGGTTGGCGAATTGGGCCAACAATGTACAGCTGTTAAAGTTTGTCTACTCTTACGTTTATCCCAGTAATAATACTCCATGTCATCTTCAGATTTTTCAGCTTCCCATGGTTCGATACGCTAAAATAAAAGTTTAAAATAAAAGTTCTAGTTGAACTGTTTCATTCTTATTTATTAACAAAGTACTAAGTAACTTACCCAAGATATATGATATAAAGCTGTTAAAAGATATTTAGCATAGTCTAAATTTTGTTTTCTGGTTGGGCATCTGTCAGCAACTATGGTTATTTGGTCCGTTTTAGAATTATATCTATCACCCACTAATCTAAGCATTTTATCTTTAGCATGACCATCTAAATGTAAAGAAGATAATTTTACTCTCAGAGTCACTATTCTGGCAAGAGGTTCTCTTATTGTAGGAGAAGAATAACAATAATCAGATGTAGATATTTCAATAGGGAAATATTGTACAGATTTTTCGCTTGTTTCCAATTCTTTTGGCCATTTTGTGCAGAATTTCTTTAACGCTTCGCAATGTTTTTTAATCACAGGTGGAGTCAAATGTAGAAAGTTTGGAATTTTCATAAGTTCTGCATTTGCATATTTATCAGGATATATGCCTTTAGAATTTTTATATCCTTGTCGTAAAGGAAGGGGTACAACATCAGGATGAAATGTTCGCGCAGCAGGCCAAATTGCTTGCCAATTTTGATTTGTTGGCATTGTTTTAGCCTTAGTTGTTGATCTATTTATTACAAACAGTTGTGAATGTTTTCTTTTAGGACCAGTTTTCTTCTCTTCTGGTATTAATTGCAACACTCGAAATTCTACGAATAAACAACAGTATAGTAGTGAGATAATTGAAAATGTGTATTATGTTTAGTGTAAACATTTATAAAGGAAACCTGTATCATCGTTGGTACTGCTTGCCGTAGAGAACGGTAACGAAAGTTTTCTGATTTTTAATGCTACAATAATTTTGTTGGCTTCGTAACATTTCGTTAATGATATCATTTTAACGTTCGTGTTGTTTATCGATTATAATTACAGACAAGCAGTTTATTTATTACGACTGACACTATTTACATCTTCAATCTTCAATCTTCAATCAAATCCTGGATAACTGTGGTAACGTAGTACCCAGACCATACGGTGGTTTGAAAAATCGGTCGATAAGTTGTCGAGTAGTTTCCGCCGTTTTTCAACAGATGGCGCGACGGTCGAATTTCCATTCATTCATAATAAAGCCTTTGGTGACGTCACCCACGTCATGGAGAGCTATTTATGTAACTATATGTAAATATATGTATATATTTATGTACAGGACTGTCAGGGAATGATGGCGTCTCCACGACCGAAGTCTCCGCGACCACCCATATCTACGAAAAAAGATGAAAAAGAAGAGAGTTTTTGGGATAAAATTGGCACATTGGGGCGAAAAAAACGTATTAAAGAAGGTATCGTATGACAGTGAACGTAACATCATAGTTAATCTTGGTTGCGCTTCGTTTAAAAAATTTATAGAAAGTATTTCCTTATATGGTAAGACTAAATAGATGTTATGTATATAATATACACATAGTTTTTTTTATTGCTCAGTCAGAGCTTTGTAAATGATATTATGTCTTTTTGAATTTGTTTACCTCTAGTGCAAGAAGTACAGGAAGAAGGAAAATATGCAATTGATTCACCGGGATATGCTGCTAATCCAGAAATGCCTCCGGAAGAATACGCGTTAGATGAAAACGAAGAACGTTCCATGATAGAGCCTAGATCTTTAGAAGATTCTAAACTTAAAGAGCTTATATTTGTTTTGATAGAATGGATTAACGACGAATTAGCCGATCAACGGATTATTGTAAAAGATATTGCAGAGGATTTGTACGATGGACAGGTACTGCAGAAGCTTTTAGGTATGTAAGAAAGATAAAATTTGTTAAAACTGTTATAGGTTCGGTAAGTATGCACGTACAAGTGTTATATTAATTTCAGAAAAGTTAACAGGAGAGAAATTGGATGTACCGGAAGTAACACAGTCGGAAGAAGGACAGAAACAAAAGTTGGCTGTTGTTTTATCAACTGCTAATCGTGTACTTTGTCATTATCCTCCTTATAAATGGAGCGTAGAGTTGGTTCATTCAAAGAATATCGTTGCTATTTTACATTTATTGGTTGGTTTAGCAAGACAGTTTCGCGCACCTGTTAGATTACCAGAAAGAGTAGCCGCTCAAGTTGTAGTCGTGCGTAAAAAAGATGGCCAATTGATACACAAAACGGTCAGAGAAGAAATTACGTCAACGTACGACGATCTAGGAATGCGTTGCGAACGCGACGCTTTCGACTCACTTTTCGATGATGGACCCGATAAATTAGCAGTTGTTAAAAGAGTACGTTTTCATTTGACCTATAGATAATAAGTTAGTTGAACGATCATTCAACTTGCTTAATATTATTTTTCAGTCGCTAATTACTTTTGTTAACAAGCATTTAAGTAAAGTACATTTGGAGGTAACGGACTTGGACACGCAGTTCCACGATGGTGTTTTTTTAACGCTTCTATTGGGACTTCTCGAAGGCTTTTTCGTGCCTTTAGGTAGTTTTCATTTAACACCTAAGACACATGATCAGAAGGTGCATAACGTATCATTCGCGTTCGATATCATGCAAGATATTGGATTACCAAAACCTAAAGCTAGGCCAGAAGGTTAATATATGTATATTGGAATTTTAATGATTACTGAAAAGTAAATATTTTGTTATTAAATATAAGTTTGTTTTATTCGCAGATATCGTAAATTTGGATCTAAAGTCTACTCTACGTGTGTTGTACAATTTATTTACAAAATACAAGAGCATGAATTGAAATTGATGAAATTGACAAGCATTTCGAAATTGAAAAGCAACGCATTAACGCACTAACGCATTAACACATTAACCCCACTAACCAGAAAAAAGAACGTAAGTTTCGCATCGAAAAGAAAAGAAAAGAAAAGAAAAGAAAAGAAATGCAGTGCCTTTTAGAATTATTATTAATGTTATATGCTCGCAGTGTGTGATCAAGGAAAACGGAACGAGGAAGAGCCGAGTGAAGAAAGAATATGGTATATAAAGTTTTCCGAGAAACATTGTAATTTTTACAACGCTGTTATTTGAATCAAGATATATAGAATTTTGTACATTGTCGATACGAACTTGACAAGTTGAAGAAATATAATATTTCATACTTGGATACCTGTTTAATATTTCTATCTTTGTTCGTTGGTTACTCTTTATCTGATAAATATTTCTTTTTATCGACAAAGAGAGTAAGTACATAGATGGGACTGGTTAACGAATAAATTATTCGACGTTGTCGATCGATTTCGATCAATTTACGGTAGAGTAGAAAAGAAGAAACGGTAGCGATTGCTATTCAAACGAGGTCTGCATCGGCAATTGCTATAGATGATTATGTAAAGGTTCTATTAATTTCAACGATGTTAGAAGAATTACGAGTATACCGAGCATACGCTGGTTTCCTTCTTATCAGTGGTATGAGCGCGGATACTGCGAACCGGTACCTATCATTTTGGTCGATATCGTCTTGTTTAATTTCGTTGTTGACCGCAGTTAACACTTGTGCGAAAATGTATTAACGCAACTGTAAAGGTGCCTTTGTTCTCATTTGCATATTGTATCGCATCGATCGCGTAAGAAATTACGGCTATTAAATGATACACTTGATTCTTTACTGGACGAAATATCGAGCAAGACACGACTCTCAGATCGACTGCTTTTAGTTAAGACATTTTGATATCTATCTTATCAGTTATTGCGATACCTTTACGTGAACCGGTGTTCCAATTACCCGCGATACATGATACACGGCAGCGAATAAATGGAATGATGCACGAAAGAATCGTGAAAAATGTTGATTTACCGCTGTCAGCTTCTAGTGAATTGCGATTCTTATTTTAGGATATGCATAGACTTCACGATTTCACGATTTCACGATTTCAAGATGTTATCGAAACACGCGACGGTGCGACGCAATCTTATCCTTGCAGTAATCGTTCTGCTCGTCCTCCGAACCAACGGATTCAACGCGAAAGGTACGTTTCTCGTTATTTTTTTTACAAATTTTCTTTTTTCGTACACATTTACTGGAATTCTGGAATTCTAGAATCGATGGAATAAAGAAATAACGCTTTTCAATGACGATGAGGAGAGTTGATGGTGTAGAGGGTGAGAAAACTGTGAACTCTGTTTGTAAGAGTTCGCTAGCAAGATGGATACAAAGATGCAAAAATCTTCGCTACAAAAATGACAAGATAGATGAGAAAATGGAGGATTTCATTCTGCCGAGCAACGAAGACTGGCGACATAAGGTTTATTATCAGCTGGTCGAATTGCAAAGAGAATACGATACTGAATTTTCAACGAAAAGGTAATTATTTCCTTTCAAATTTCGATTCGATTCGATTCGATAGTTTTGTTTCGAGAATCGTTTAGTTTATTCGATATCGAGGTTACGTATTGCATTTCTGTTTTGAAAAAATACCTACTTACCGATCTCACCAATCTACAGTGTACCGTCCACCATAATACTATAATAACTCCAGTGCAAAGTAAAAAAAGTGATTTTTGTTTTTCGTTTTCACCCATAACCAATGGAATGGTGAACATGAGCGTTTAAATTAGTTGGGATAAATATCATGAACACCTATCAGGTTAAATGCATTACATATCAAATCTTTGTTTCGTGTAATTATATTCTAAACAATTCTCCGAGTTAATCAATTTCTTTTGGATACCGAAAAAAAAAAAAAAAAAAAAAAAGAAAAAATGCTACTCGACGATTATCATCATTATTCGGAAAAGAAAGAAAGAAAGTAATAGGGTAAGAATAATGGAGTAAACGAGAAGCGTCGTTGAAAAGTTACGCGTGCATAAAAGTTTAAAACAATCAAAGGGTTGAAGAAATTACACCGGATTACATCGATTCGAAGGGAAAAGGAGAAAGAAAAGACGGAACGGATGGAAAAGGTGTCGGAAATGGAAGAAGGTGTTGGAAGAGGAGGGTGGGAATGGGAGCCAAAGTTTCGCGGGTTTATTTCTTTAAAGGCTACGGTTAGAAGAAGCGGAAGGGAAGAGATAAACGGATCGTTGAAGAATGTTCGCGGTGTCGGTGGCTCGATGACGGAAGAATACGTCCAACCAGGTTGGCGCATCAACGATATCTTGTTGGCTGCAAGAATTCTTCGGAAAGTTCAACCTTCTCCAATTTTTTCCGACGAGGCCGAGATGCGTCGAGTGTTTGGCCTCGTTTACGACGTACTTAGGTGTAAGCTGATGAGATTTCCATCGAAAATTCCAATTCAAGCTAGATAGTTTTATTTATCTTTTCCTGTTTCTTCTTTAGACAAGAAAATATTTGATCGCGCTCTGAAAGATATAGGATTTTGGCGTCGTAACAACGCCATGAGGGATCGTGAAAGAATCGTTTGGTTGTTGCTGTACGACATGCAAGGGAGGAAATTTGCGAAACAGCGGGAGATGGATGCCGTTAAAGAACGCAAAACAATCTTCGAGGTTAGATCCGTCCTTTTTCTCCTTTCTCTCTATTTGCTTGGATGGACGCATGCTCTTTCGTTGATAATTGGCGTAAAGTAATAAATGATCTCGAGAAATTTTTGATCATTCCATTTCCTTAGGCTGCAGGATTGGCGGATATAGAGAATGCTCTTCTCGAAGCGAAAACGCATCTTGCCGCAAGTATTTCTCGTCAGCGTATTCGCGGCTCTGCCCTTAGTCTCGGTGAATATATTATTTGTCTTTTAACAGAGTGCAGAAATTGTTACAATTGTTAATTTGTTACATGTTCGGAATCGCAAAGACGAATTGCTACCGTCTCGTTTACGCGTGATCGAGGGGGTAGCTTGGGGCAAAGAAGCTGCGATCGCTTTCGGATGGGTGAACATTGCGAAACTCGACAACAAGGAAGAATTTCTGGAAGAAATGTCGAAATTGGGATTGGTGTGTCGTCAGGATGATGACACGACGATGGAGCTCGAGGAGACCAGTTACGCGTTTGATTCGATTTGTCCGAAATTGATAAATTTCCACGAAAAAGCGCGGGAAAAGTTGGCCGTTTCTAGTCTCGTTCGTGATCATCGTTTCATATTTTTAGTAGGTACATGCACGTACATACCTATATATGTATACGTATAACGAACGAGCGTGTAAAGTATAAAATGACAGAAAGTCATTTTCGGCGATGACTAATGAAAGATTTTGTTGCTGTGCGAACGAACGAACGCACGAACGAACGAACGAACGAACGAATAGGAGAGATCGTTGTGCATCGGTGCGGCAACTTTGGCGAAGGCGATTCGTATCGGCCGTTTTTGCGGTCCGGTCATTTTGACGCACTGTCTCGCACCTCGGCATACCGCATATTTGGCCCAACTGTTGACCGAAATCGACCACGCTGGCAAACTGTTAGCATTCGGAACTGGCGATCGTCGATGCGAATACGAAACATACTTGAGGAAGCTCGGCGTGACGTTGCAACAATGTCGCGTCTTCTCCGAAAAGTATCCATATTTACATCTTTCGAGAGTAAACGATTTTCTGTAATACATTCATTTTCTTTTAGATACGTATCGCATTCGGCAACGGCCGAATTAGAGAGAGCTAGTGTCGTTTTGGCTGTACCACCGTCTAGCTACACAGGCGTTAAAGACATCGTCGATCTTGCCGTAGCTCGCGGAGGAGACTCGGACCTTCTCGAATCGTTAACGAACGCCTACACTAGCGACGATAATCGTAACGACCATCGGTACCCGCAAGCATTTTTAGCTGATCAAATGTCCACTTTGAAATATGCTTTAACTAGGCCGAATGTTCAGTTTCTCATATACGAGGTGCACACGATTTTATCCTCCGAAACGACAGTAATGGTTCAACGAGTCGTCGATTATGTTAATCGTCTAGCCACAGAAAAATATGTTCGTGAACATCCGGTGAGTGAAGACTCTTGTTGTCTAGCTCTTAAAAAAATTACCACGAGTAATCCATCATCCTTTTTTTCCTCTCTTGAATAAAGAAAAAGGTTTCAAAAGAGGCAAAGGAATTATTAAAATTCGAAAAAATGGACGGATCGCGAGAAGAAGATCGAGTATCGACGATTTCAGCGAACGTTACCGTAAGCCGTTAGATATTTATCGTAGATGCGCATGAAATTCTCCCACGTTAAAAAATGTTTTCTTTGAAAAACAAAAAAGGTTCCAGACAGCGATCTGTTCGAGGTAGGCAGCATCGACGATATTTATGGGAAGAACGCGAGTTGTCTGTTAGATTCTGGATGCTTTCTTGCGGTAATAAAGCGAAAGGAAATGATGCAATTTGATTCGCTATTTATGATCAATGTAGCAGAATCGAAAGGTTTGTTTGGCGATCCAAAGGAACGGCAGGAGGCAAAGCAGCAATCGTTACCTCCACGGTCCTTGGAAAGCAATGTTCGCAAACGAGCGAAACGTATCAAGGTGTCTCTCTTGTTTAAATGAGAATGTAAATATGTCTGTATGTATTCGAGATTGTATCCTTTTTTCTAATTTTCTTTCCTTCGTTTCTTTGTTTAACAGATTGAGATTGACCGAATAATGGCACATACGTATTCATCGTTGTCCAGAAGTAAGAGTGGAACACGAATTTGTCCCCGACATTTGCGTTACAACAGCGATTGGAAGGAAACGATCAGATCTACGATGCAGGTACTACATATACGAAAAATTCAAGCAAAATAATTGTCGCTGGACGAATGTAACAACCACGTTCGCGTCGCATCATCTTCTTCGTGTCGACCAATCAGCTTCCATTCGAGTCTGATATGATCGTCGTAGGGTCGAATCCGAGAACGTTTTTGTTTCATTGGTACCTTCGTTAAGTATTTTCCATTTGGAAAATTAAGGAAAATTAAGGAAAATTGGGTTCTCCGCTTAAAAACTTTCTGTCAAATGTTGTTCATGTAAAAAACCCTGAGATATAATGATATCCAATGGATGATATGTACATAGGACATGTTACGTGCATGTTACATACATGTATCTATGTAGGAGAAAAGATACGAAACGAAGGAAAGCCAGAGTATACTTTATATCGCATTGTACGCGCAGGTATCTGAAAATGTTGAAGAAAATTCGTCGAAATCTTGGCAGCATGATAAAGTGAATGCGAACCGTTTGAACACGCTTGCTTGTACGGAACCACAGCAGGAAAAGGCAAGTAGCTTTACAGATTACAGATTTTTCAATCGACCAATACGCGATTTCACTTGGCGACTATTTTTAAGAGATTACGATAAAACAGGGGATACGAGCGATCAACTCGTTGTTCTCGACGAACGTTGATTCCTTGACCCAGTCCGATGCGTTCACGCTACAGAACGGTACCCTATCTATGCTGGCCAATTTAATCGATAGAAAATCTTTAATACGGTAATTAACGCTCAAGTTATCCTTAAAAATGATCTTTTCAACCTCTTTTTTCCGTCAAAACGTCGGGAAATTAACAAATTTTTATAAAATAGGCAAGAATGGAGGCAGGTTGGCTCGTCAAGTACGATTTTGAAGGCACCGATTCTGACTCGAGCGTTGCAACGCGCTTCGTTCGAAGGCGACACCGAGAATCGCGACGAAGAAAATGTCCAGGTGCAGTTGGAAACGCGTCGCGTGCGACGATCGGCATCAAAAAGAATTAAAAAGTCCCGCCTTCTTCATCCAGGTGGTTCTCCGACGAACGTGCTCGATTTACTTTCCAACACAGTTTAACAACTATTAGATGCACTCTTTTCGCCATCATTTTTCATCAATAACTTGATTATTAAAAAAACTTATTCAACTTTTAGATCTTTAATAAAATTGACTGAATTTTAATAAGATTGAATTGTTCAAAATAGCAATGCAATTGTAATAATAGATGTACATGCGAGTACATCGCTTGTAAAAATCTCTTATTTATACCTACATAAATGACAAAAGCAATGTTAAAATTAAATTTAAAGAATAAAAATAGGTAATAAAATGATAAGTTTAAATTTATAAGTTTAAGAGTAGACTGACTAACGTTTAATTTAATCGCACCATAAGTAGAGATATATCTATCTCTATTTTTCTTCAATTTTCTTTACAATGTGCTTAGAGTTTGGAGTTAATTAGTTTCGATCGTAAACGATCGTTTTTGTTTGGGCAACGTTCGTGTTAAAGCGTATCGCATCTCGTATCGGAAAGGTTACAAGCGGCGATTTCAGTGTCAATCAAAACACGATGCATTAAACGACGAATTCGAAAGAAACGGAATGGTAAATTTTTTTTTTCTTTAAAATTTTTTTTTTAACCAACGTGATGGTTAACGTATGAATGGACAGGAATGTACTTCTACTGGTCGAGACTGTTGCGATCATGCAGAAATCAACGATATCTCTTCTTTACCCGACGTAGGGAGATGTCTAACGATAACGATAAGACGATCACGGTGGACACGGTAAGATTTCATTAGAATCTTTATTCGAAATCTTAATTATCGCATTTCTTTCACCGTTGAAATTTATTTATGTATCTACTTATTTTATAAAATAGAAATACGATTTATATCGTTTGGAGAATGGACCATCGGAGAAAGCAACGATAAACGAAAAGGAAGCTATGTACGCGCTTAAAACGATGATATACATTAGACGAATGGAAAATAAAGCGGCTGAATTGTACAAATTACGCTTGATCAACGGCTTCCTTCATCTGTATTCCGGTCAGGTATGCTTTACGATTAGCCGGGTCAGAAGAATTAGTTAGTTGAAAAAGCGAAAGAAAAGGATGTATAAGATGAATAATTTTTGCGATTGACAGGAGGCAGTAGCTGTTGGTATGAAGATGTCGATGAAAGAACAGGATAGTCTGATCACGGCTTATCGGTGTCACGGTTTCGCGGTGGTGTTTGGTGCGTCGGCACGAGAGGTTTTCGCTGAATTAATGGGTCGCAAAACCGGAATCTCGAAGGGAAAAGGTGGCTCGATGCACATGTACGCAAAGCAATTTTACGGAGGTGACGGTATCGTTGGTGGTCAGGTGAGCGGGCCCACTGTGATCTTACCCGAGATTTTCGTTTTCGCACGATATATATTGATATAAGGTGATAGGTACCGATCGGTGCCGGTCTGGGATTTGCTGAAAAATACAATGGCACCGGTGGAGTGGCGTGGACGTTGTACGGTGATGGTGCCGCGTCCCAGGGTCAGGTTCACGAAACGTACAATATATCGCAGTTATGGAATTTACCAGTGGTGTATATATGTGAAAACAATCAGTACGGTATGGGTACGGCGATACACAGGCATTCGGCAAACACAAAGTTTTACACGCGAGGAGATCTGATTCCAGGAGTGAAGGTGAAATCGATCGGTCTGAACTGAACTTAACTTTTCTTTTCTTTCGCTTCTTTCCTTATTCTCTTGTCTAGGTAGATGGAATGAAAGTGGCAGACGTTTGCGAAGCGATCAAGTTCGCAAGAGATCATGCCGTTCGACGCGGTCCGATCATTTTAGAAATGGTCACGTATCGGTACTTTGGACACAGCATGAGCGATCCTGGTACCTCGTATCGTACCAGAGAGGAAGTGAAAAGCGTCAGAGACGAACGAGATCCGATCAAGTTGTTTATCCAGGTGCTCGTAGAGAACGGCTTGAAAACTACAGCTGAAATTCAAGTAAGTTCGCGGAGAGACAGACAGCAGCAAGATCGCGAGAAATATCAGCTTATTAATCGAGTCTCGTTTATATATTCTGGTAAAGCAAATACAAGCTAGCGTGAACAAGGTTGTAGACGAGGAATTGGAACAAGCTAAGGCCGATCCACCACCAGAAATGTCAGAAATCGGGGCAAACGTTTATGTAAAACCCTTGGAAAAAATCCGTGGCAAAGTGCCCTGGGAAGTTCATTGAATCTTAAAACATTTCTTTCGTTTCGTCTAATAATTATCGTCTAAAAATAAATATCCGTGTTGTTTTATTTTTCAAATCAAACTGTATTTTACGTTTTGCGTTTTGCGTTTTGCGTTTTACGTTTTGCGTTTAGCAAATGAGAAATTTCGACGAGATTTGTGGCGAACGAAACTAGCTAAACTTTGCGGCATACCACAGTGGCTGTTTGTTTCTCGCTCGTTTTCTTGCTCCGTCAATTGGAATGATCAATTAAAACACGTCGCTGCGTAGTGACGCGATCAAGAAGAAGAGAGTACGATGAGAGGAAGAACAATTGAAGAAAGAAGAGAATATATATGTACATACATATATGTATCAGGAACGTGATGAGGATGACAAATTAACGTGGAAGGGTATGCTTGAAAGGAGTGAGTCAATCGTTACGTTTGAAAGACAGAGAAATCGAAAGAAAGAGAGGAAGGGATAAAATACTTGGACGAATAAGCAGAGAGTGAAAAAAGAGTCTTTGCGGGAGTCGCCTTCGGCTGCTCCCTGCTGCACCCACGTGCAGGCTGTTTGCTCAATTTCCATCGGACAACATCGAACAAGATCGGACTATCTTTATTCAAAATTACCCCTCGATACTCGGCAAATGTATTAAGAGAAATTAATATCGAGAAAAGTGAAGGTAAACGTTGGTGAACGCGAGAATGAATGCGACGGCTTTAGAGTGAGATTGTGCTACGTACTTCTAACGAAGATATCGTAAAATTATGTGTCAAAATGATCTATTATCGATTGAACGCGACGACGGTGACCGATTCATCCATCGCCAATCGCAAATGCAAGGATGAATTGTTGCGTTTACAAGAACTGAGATTATTCGATAATGTTGGCGAAATCGTTTAGAATTGTCTACGTCCGTCGGAAACTGAGTCGGTGATTCGAGCAATCTTTTTTCAGTAATCGCATTTCCTTTGATTGCCGATAACAAGTATATATGTACATGTATCTATTATTACAATTTCTGGTTCATTATTTGGTTGTGATATATTTCAGTGAATAATGAAGATTCTCTGTTAAAATCACTGCTCGCTCGTGTTACAATATGGGATTAGACACAGAGCTTACCGGCATTCTTCGGGGTAAGTCAAGTCAAGTCAAGTCAAATCAAGTCAAGTAATTTTAATTTTATATACATTCCTTGTATATGAACATACGGTAAGTACATATAAACGACGCAGCTAATTATGTTGCTCTTGAATTATGCAAAAATTTAAACGCGTTTGTTTATAGATGTGGTGCAGTTTTTGGAATGTCTACGAGAAGTGAAACTTCCAACCAGTCTAGAATGTATACGAAACAATTTGCTGATACGTTCGAAAGACACATTAACGATGTTCATGGTGGAGAGACTCGGGGCATCGAATTCCCCGGAGCCGTACTTAAACATGAACGCAGCCAGACCGAAGGGTTTGCTGGCGACATTGAAAACGGAAAGCTCCGAGCTTCAGGAGTACGTGGGAGCAGAAGAATCTCGAACGCAAAAACAACACCAACAACACCAAGATTATTACGAGACTTTACGAACGATTGACGCGGTAACCAATGAAACGGCCAGTCCTCGTGACACAGACGAACAAATTGAAAATACGCTGTTTGACGTTTATACGAATTTGTCGGCGGCGCAAGCGAAAAATAAGTGTCAAATGTACGGTTCCCTTGATAGGAGAGAAGGAAAGAAATTATTCGTATTCGAACAATATCGACCGTGTTGGGTTGGTAAGTGTACCCACTCGATCGTTCGTTTTTCTTAATCAAAGAATTTCTTTCCACATATTTCTTACAGGTTTAATCGGATTACATTTGTTGATCTATGGAAGCGATCGTGACAATCGTCCTTGCACGGTTTTACCGATACACGGTTATATGGCTCGAGCTGCTCCAAACGCTATTCCTCGAGATCAACGACGAAGCGAAAGTACCTTTGAGATATTTTGTCCTGGCAGTAGAACCTTTCAGGTATAAAACAAAATGAATCTAAGGGACATTAGAAAGATATAGAATAAGAGAAAATGAAAGAACGTTCGATATTTCTATTTCAGTTTGTCGCGAGAAATCGAAAAAATATGGAAGAGTGGATAGCGAAAATTTGCGAATTAGGAGGTGCCGAAAAACCGGACCATAAAACATCGTCAACAAAAGCTGCGATTAACGCATCGGTAGAAAGCGATACAACGCGTCCAGACGAGCAGAAAAATTCGAATTGTAAAGAAGAACGATACCAAGATGTAGGATCGTTAACTATCGATAACGTTTCCGAAGAAGCTTCGATCCTGACAAACGTTGTTGTTAGCGAACATATCGATAAAGAAACAACAAACGATTCTTCTTCGAAAGATACGTCTCGCGAAACCACTAATTCTTCTTCTTCTTCTTCTTCGTCTCTTCCTCCTCTACTTGTTTCTACTTGTACTATCGTTCCTGCTGCATCTTCTATTCTTTCGCCGCCTCCACCACCTCCGCCACCACCTCCGCCACCTTCCTCCCCTGCTCGTATTCTTAATACTTCATCGTTTTCTCAAATCCCACGGAAATTACCTTCTTTACCTGTACATCTTTCGCCTTACGAATTTCTTGACGAGGAAGAAGACGACATTTATCACAAGATCGAAGATTTCAGAGATTCGACGCGATACGGAAATGTTGGTGAAACTGAAACGGATAATGCTCGATCTAAGAAAGAACCTGTAACCTACGACGATGTTCGCGCAAACATCAAAGGCGAAAGTACATCCGATCACGGACAAACAAGGAAACATTCCAAGAACGTTGCAAGAAAATCGTTAAACTTACAAAACGAAACGACTTATGACGATACCACCACGACAAATACCGTATCGAAAGATACTAAAAAGGTTGCAGTCAACGAACAAGCCAAGTTTGTATCCTACGACGATGTCGAGGTAATTGGTACATACTACTTACATCCTGTTATTGCTTAACGACGAATTTTTTCTATCAATTTTCTATCTACCTCGATATACAGAATTTAGCTTTAGCGAAATCGACCAAAGTTCGAGGAACGGACAAGACGGACGAATCGACGAAATCACCGCAAAAGAAATCCTTTTTGGACAGAGTGAGAAGCAAGAAAGAGTCCCCGAAGAAAAATGAGAAAAAAGTAAAATGTAAACCGGCTCCGGCCTCCGTTTCGACTTCGCTGCTTGTAAACGATCAGGAACCACTGCCGATTTACTATGACGATGTATCCGATTTGACTAATGTTCAACAAATGAAACGTTTCGAAGAAGAAAATTCAGAGTACACCTGTCCGCCCGCCCCTAGACCGATTTACGTGAAACCACCTACGATTGTCGGTACGGTGACAGATTCGCAGGAATTTTACGACGACGTTGGTACTTATCGTGAAAGACACGAGAAAGATCACGATCGTGATTTCTGTAAATTTCATCAGGTAAGAAGCTTTCTTTTCGTTAATTTTTCTTTTTCTATTCTCTTCATTTTCATTTATAGCCAAAGAAACATAATTACGGTCGCGATCAAGTTCCCACGGATAACGACCGCTCCTTATTGTGCGAAAATATCCAAGATAACGAACATTATAAAACACCACGCATCGATGCTGGTCATCCCAAGAGTGTCCTTATCGATCAACGAGACGAACTGTACGACGATATTGCGATACTCGCAGACTTTACAGCACGACAAAAGGAATATTTCGGTAAAAAGAATAGCGAAGAAATAACGAAGCTGCAAGTTAGTCCGGAAAAAAGATCATGGAATAGATTTGTTAGCGGAAAAAAATCTAAAACGTTCGATTCGACTGTTTCTGAAACAAACAACAGTCGAGTCTCGAACGGAACCGAAGACACGACGGATGATTTTAACGAGCAACAAAGCTCGATGCGAATGAACACGATTCAAAAATTGATCAGCAGAATGGAGAACTCTTTTGGCAAAGCATCCGTCAGGACAGCGTCATCGATGCTGTTGAATAAAACGAACGTGGCCAACAATGCATAACATTTTAAAAGAAATGCTTAAATTTCATTTTTCTTTCGTTCTTCTATTCGAGTCAATTATTTACAGACCAAAGATAGCACATTACTTATTTCTATGTAACATTTCTATCCTATGAAAATACTTATTTGTAAGAATTTTTTCATCTTACAGAATAAACGACTGTCCCTGATATTTTTACGACTGTACATTCTATGGAATGTTTTCGTTTCTTGTAATTTTATATTTCTACGTATTGAATTATACATATTTAAATAATACAGCATACAAAAAGAAGAAGTATTATTTATCAACTGTAATTCTGATACAGTAGAAAGATATAAGGCAATGAATGTTTCGTCAAAGCTACAAGTACATCATACCGATCGTTAAAGTGTTAAAATAACGAGCTCCATCTTGAAAACCTAATCGTATCGTTGGATTTAATTGAATCAGGAATCTTATATGTATGTATGTATGTATGTATGTATATCGTATACTTACATTACAGTTTATTCATTTATTGAAATGTCTTTGTTCGTGTTAAAATTCTTCTCGTAAACGTAGTATATATCTTTGTAAACGTTGGATACGCTTCGCGTGAAGGAATAAAACATATCGGTACTACGTTGTTGAATCGTCTTCAAAGGTATACCCATGTTTGTTTCGAAATGATTTACAAGTAATTCCGATTGTTTTGAGTACAATGGAAGAATCAGGATTAACATAAGCAGTATTGAACTAAATAGGAAAAGCCATGTAATCGTGTGCAGAAAGGTCCGACACGTATTTCCTGAAATTAAATCAACATGGTGGAAAGGTGATGATAGGAAAATTAATGAATTATACACGTTTAAGTATAATATGGGTATTACCTTTAATCGATTGCTTATCGGTGTACTTTCGATCATTCGTTGCCGTCGAATTTTTCATTTCGCTTTCATCGCTTCGCGATAACTTCGGCAAAGAATTACGTTCATTTTTATCTAAATTCGGTTTATTATCTTTATCTGCTGCTTTCTTCTTTTTCTTTTTTCCTGTCTTTTTTGTCGATACTGTATCTGTTTCTGTATCTACAAACAAAATTGTTACTATATTGTAACAAACAAACGTTATTTAATGGCATCTCTTTTTATTAATATGTATTACCAATAATTGCATTTAGTCTTCGTAACTTTTCTTCTTCTATAGTAAGCTTTACATGCGATAAATATGTAACAATATTACGAGCGCATGCCTGACATTCGCTTAGATTACTACATGGTCCTGCGACGCTTGCCACTGCAGGGGTTAAAGGATTTTCCTTTAAATCTAACCATCTTAAATTTTTTAATTCGCTTAAACTAAGCGGTAGCCTGCTTATCTGTAAAAGAATAAGTATTTATTTGATATAAATTCAATGGGACAATCTATGATAAATTAATTTTCATTCACCTGATTTGCATAAAGATCTAAATGTTTCAATTGTCTTAATTCACCAAAATTTTCAGGAATTTCTGTTAACATATTTCTACTAAGATCCAATTTAACTATTTGCTTAAGATTGATAAAGTTAGTCTGAAACACGATATTAGTCAAAATCACATAACGCATATGCATAAAAGCGAGATACCAGATAAACTTACAGGCAAAGAAGTTAATAAATTATTTGATAAATCCAAATGTGTTGCTTTTTTGATGGTTGTCTGAAATACATGTAAATAAATCGGAGATTCAAATTCATCATTTATTTGTAATTTTATATACTTGTAATCAAGATATACATATTTTAACATACGATTTCTCGAACAGGCACTTCCTTTAGGTCGCATAAGCTAAGATCCAACGTTTCATCTTTCAGTCTGTCCTTAACGCTTTTTAAATTCATTTTGACGATCAAAATAGTACAAATTAATTAAATAAAAATTATGGAACATGGAAGACTTTATGGTCTGCAATTTTCCTGGCGTCACCTGGTATAAAACATGTTTCTGTAAGACTTACAGAAGTAACGTCAAATATATTTAATCAGAACGATCATGTATGTAACTATGTATAAAAGTTTACAACTTCAATCGAAGTGTCGAAAAGATTTATGTTTATTACATTTAAGTAATGGAAAAACAGTTAAGAAACAATACGTGCACGTGGCAAATGAAAACCAATACTAAACGGACACGAATATGTCATTTTTCGAATTAATTTCACAATTTAACAACTTTTAAAAGTGCACGACTGTTGGCAGAACTTGGCGCGATTGTAGCGAAACCTGGTATACAATATGATGTAACGTGTGAAAAAAGTTCGCATCAACAACAATGAGTGGTTCTTCTATACGTTTACACTAATTATGCTTTTATACATATATATGTTCAGTTTCAGTTTCATCAGTTTCATCAGTTTCAGAAGTTTCAGAAAATTGACAAGCAGGAAAGAAGTATTTACATACATATGTTTTAAGAAAAATCAGTGAAACACGAAGAAAATCAATGATTACAGTTTATCATTTTTAAGTTCATAGGGAGTGATTTATAAAATTATTTATTTATTTCTTGCCCGTCCATCTTTCTACGTTTCGATTAACAATTGGACTTATATAAAATGTCCACGCGTTATATGAAGAAAGTGTATGGGAGCGATGTGTTACTCGAAAAAGATAATGAAAACGAAAATGAGATCGAAAATTCGATAATTGGCAATGTTAAGTCGAAAACATTCAATCTATTTGATGTAGTACGTATTAACTGTTTTAATTTCATAATTTTCTTTTTCAAAATTTCATTTGTAATTTGTTCATTGTAAAATTTGTCATTAATTTGTTGAAGATTTCAACATTTTTCATGTGTAAAATCTTATGTAACTTTTTGTTTTTTAGTTGAATGAAAATTCCGAGGTTAGCGAAAAGGAAAATGAAGAAGAACCAGTGATCGAAGACAATTGTGATAATGAGACCAAACGTAAAAGAAGGAAGAAGAGACGAAAGAAATTTGAAAATTCTAAAACTCAACAAGCTGTTGGAATCAAACAAGAAGAAGAAGAAGAGGAAGAAGAAGAAGAAGGAGAGGAAGATATAGATGAAATTGAAAGAACTGTAAGAGAAGTAAACAAATTGCTTGGAGAACCGCTTCCAGGTTGTAGTTCTCAGAGTACAGATAATTTACAATGGATCGAACAAAAATCCAAGGAGGATATTTTATTGGTGCAGCATAAACATTTAAATCCTTATAACGAACTAAAAAGAATTTTTGGTAGTAAAACAGTGCAAGCAGAACAAAAGTATGATTTTAATGAAATTTATTTCATAATTAATTATGAGTAGGAGATTATAATTGGATCTTATAACTGAATAATTAATTTTAATAGCAATAGAAGAAACAGAGGACGTTTGGGTCATTTGAAGAAAACTTGGTTGGTTTCTACTAGAAATAATTGGCCACCGGTTAATAAGTCTGGACTTTCAATGTCTTTAGATCATACCGTAAAGTCTGCTAATAATGTTCAGTACTTTGTGTACGAGCATAGCCCGTCGTATAGACAAGTTCAATTAAAATTCTTGGAAGCTGTGGAAAGTTTAAATCCTGAAAATATTGTTGTATGTTACATTTCATTTTAAATGCTATAGTTGAAAGTATTTAAAACATTTTAGTTTCTTAATACTTTATTTCAGAGTATACTCAATGCACACTCTTATCATGTAGATGCATTGTTGCAAATTGCTGAACTTTGCAAACTTAACGAAGATTTAGCAATGGCTGCAGAATTTACAGAACGAGCTTTATATTGCCTGGAATGTGCTTTCCACCCCTTGTTTAATGTTACAACTGCTCTCTGTAGATTAGATTACAGAAAACAGCAAAATCGGGCTCTGTTCATAACTTTATTTAAACATCTTAATTTTGTTGGTGGACGGGCGTGTTACAGGTAAAACACAAAATTTCTATTTTGTTTTTCTATGAACTTTTTATTTTTATTTTAAACATAATTACAAAATTTGACATTTCAGAACGAGCTTGGAATTTTGTAAATTACTGCTATCACTTGACCCAGAAGGCGATCCGTTAGCTGTGATTTTGTCTCTTGATTTTTTTGCTTTAAGAGCAAAAGAGTATGAATGGTTTATTGAATTTTGCAATCTTTGGGATAATGCAAGAAATTTAACCCAGCTGCCAAACATAGCATTCAGTTTAGCTTTAGCTCATTTTCACTTGGGCCATCAGACTGTTGCCAGTGAACTGTTACAAAATGCATTAATAATGTTTTCAGGTGTACTGATGCCTTTATTAGACAAATGTAGTATACAGTGTGATGAAACGGTACTTTTAAATTATATTCACGATAAATGTTAATAGAAATTTTAAAAAGGCATATTGATACAATAAATATTTTATAGGTACGAATTCATGATTTCTTTAACAGTAAAGCAGTAATTTCGACTTCACCAGCACTGGAAAAGTTACAAAATTTATATGTGGCACGTAGTTTTCGTTTATGGAAAGAAACTGATCTTTTGCCGTGGTTACGTGAAAACGTACATATTGTATTAACTCGTGTTGATTCCAAAGATGATTATGTTAAGTACTGTGAAGTAAAACGAAGCAAACGTTATCAAGGAAAGTTGCCGAAAAATATTTTACGACATATTATATTATCTGATATAAAAGATGTAACTGTAAATATTCAAGAGGTATATACAATCAATATGGTAATACAGTATTACTCAGTGATATTATGACTGTATGATATTCTCATTTATAGATACAAAATGGTGGTTCGGTTCTCTCGCACGATCCTCTACCCCCTGTGGATAGTATTGATATTTACAAAAGACCTACAGCAAATACAACCACAACCCGAACTAGTTCTAATCTTTTGTCTCTTTTCGTTTCGTCTCTGTTCACAGATATTAATGGAGAAGTTTCAGTAGCAGCCCTTGAAGGATTAAATTTGTTGTAAGTATATATAATTTTTAAGTTTTTATACATCAAACGAATAATTATTACAGTGATTGACATTTTATATTTCTAGTTACGATAACAATGAACAAGCGTAAGATCTATTGCTGATTACACTGTAAAGAAATGAAGTATATAAATTTTATATTTAAATGGAAGAATGGAAATGATACTTATAAACACATTTTTAAAATATTAGAGTTACTTTTGTGAAGATACATTTACAAATATTTTGTGTCAGGTAATATATACACACACATATATATATATATACACACATATACGTACACATGTACTATTTAATCATGAATCATGTAAAATTACGGTTATTTTTTATTATTACTGCTATTATTATTGTAATAGAGTTGCCTGTGTATTCAAAATTTAGTATATTTCGATTGTATTCTATACACGAGATTGTGCATCCCGTTATTTGTACAATCTTACAGTTTTTGTTATAATTTTTATGAATTTCTGTGAAAATATCATCGTGTATTCAGTCTTTAAATGTTGTAAATAAGTGAAAGGGATATTGTATATAAACAGTAATAAATAAATTATATTGTTGAAAGAATTATATAAGCAAAATTACTTATTATCGTGCGAGTTTTGGCCGTGAACTAATATTATGCAGGATGATATAAAATATTTCGTGAATGTGATTTAGTAAACAAAAGAATTATTATTTTTAAGTAAACGTATTTTATGTACAGGTCTATACAATTGCTTTATATTATATTCTTACCATTCCTAACAAAGTACATATTTTAATTTTTTATTGAGTGATTTTTCCCTGTATTTTTATTAAATGTAAATGTGTATTTACATAAATATTACATATTTCTGTAATGAGCATGAAAACATTTCCGTGTGCGTTTATTAATATAATAGTGGGTGTTTTTTTTGTACTTATGCCAATTTGCAGTTACAGTGTAAAAAACACCCGTATCATCTTTCCAAGTATGTTGTCATTGCAAATAAAACGAAGTTAAAAATTGAATAAATTACTGACGGACCCGTAAATTACGTTACATTTTCACCATTGGTCCATGGTAAGATTATTTTTTTTTCCAATGCCACTTGTATTTCCACTTAACTTATACCATACTATGAAATACGGGATTGTAACGGCAAATACCAGGACCATACTCTTGATAAGCTTTTTTGGTATGACAAACTGTGTAAAATTCAGGATCGCTTGCTAATAAAGCACCACCATACCATACTGCGCAACGCTGTTTATGATGCGATATAACATGAACATCTATAGGTTTTGGCTAAAATAAGATAAAATTTTCATGATTGAAAAGTGTCTATATCATGTATGTAGAATGTGTATCAGTAAAGTATAAGTTACCGTGATGTGACTTCCACTTAACGTTTCGCTAAGCTTCAAACGTGCATCGACGATTCGTTTTATATCACGTTGTAACCGTCTACCGAAATCTTTGAACATTGTAGAACCACCCGATAATACAATGTTACTGTACAAAGGTCTTCTTACATCTATCGGACAATTCTGTATTACATCGTCCACGATTTCACTTAGCGGGGTTGTGAAATCTGGATTAGAGAACTAAATAATGCGATAAAATTAAGTGAACGTTAGATAATTATTTTTATTATAAAATGAACTTAAATTCAAGTAAACATACTTCAGGATGAAAAAATATCTCGGGTCCCAGAAACCTTTCGTATCCAACATCCACTACAAAAGGCTGCTTTGTAATGCTATTAATACCTTCATATTTTTTTATTTTGGTAGGGTCACTATCATATTTAGCAAATTCTTTTGAAATGTCAGGACATATGTAACAATATTTTTCTTTTATTGCCTTAGCTGTTTCTAAAGATTGCTCAGGTGGTATTCCTATTTCACGCTCTCTTAACAAACTTTGTATAAAATATGTAATGTCACGTCCAGCAATAGGAATATGTTTTATACAGCTTCCAATAACGAAACCTTCTGCCTAAATGATCAAATGAGTTAGTTAATTTGTAAAGAACTTTAAAACAGCACTCTATGTAAATTTATATTTTATGTATTTTATTTTTTATACTTACAACAGGAATTACATGAGTCACTCCATCTCCACTGTCGACAACAACACCAGTTAGCGTTCTATTTTCTACGCTCTTAGCTGTCCAAGATGCAGCTAATGCTAATACTGCTTGTACAGCGATGTAAAGACCTGGTACATTAAATGATTCGAACATTATTTCTGCTGTGTATTCACGATTTTCAGGAGTGTTTAATGGCGGCTCCGTAAGTAAAAAATAATGATCTTCAGGTTCTGCCCTTAAATACTTAAAGATACATTGTTGCAGAAACTTTTCCATTAAATCCCAGTCTTCCACTAGTCCGTGCCTAACTGGATACTAAATGTAATTAGGTATGAATTACAAAACATTTTACAAAAGTTACATATGTAATTGACAAGCTTATATACAGAACATAGCTGATATAACAATAAGTTATTAATATATACTTTTACAGAATATCCAGTAGCTTCAAAAGCTTCATCTCCGATGTATGCATCTAAATCTTCAACTCCTTTAGTAACTCTTCTAGCATTATTATCTCCAACTTTTGCTGTTTCTTTAATTGCAATAGCAGATGGTATCATAAGTTGAGGTTCTTTATTGAATGCAAAACCCAATTTTGTATACCTATGACATACAACTAATTATAATTACCTTCTCCTTTTTCTTATTTCAAATATACTTACTTCAATGTAGGTATTCTGGTTAATATTAAATAATATTTATATTTGAAATGTGCTTACCCCGTGCCTACGTCGATTACACATGCAGGAAGCCGGCCGAGCATTTTTCTTTTCTGTTTCGATCGTTTTTCACTTTTATCTTACGCAAAGTTACTCTAATCACAATTCTTAAATTTGACTCACCACTTTCAACTTTCAACCACACCTCCTTTTAGAAATAAAGCACACGCATCCTTTAAGCAGCGCGTACAATGCGCGAAATTCTCTTAAGGTGATGCAACCGTTGAAAACTTTACCGACAGTTAGGCCTCCACGCTTGAATATATAAAGAAACTATACCTTGAATTAAATTGTACACTGCAAATACACGTGTTGTATGTTTTAGAAAGTATTTTTGAATAATGTTCCTTTAGTATTGAATGAATATAAAGTTCCTGTAATTCATCATGAAGAATAAACCAACTCGTCATAAAGAAACCAATACGTTTCAGGTATGAAACATAAGCAAACATCTTTCTTGTTATCAAATTTTCCTTACATGATCTTCTTTCTTGCAGTTTAAAACATTTTCGGAAAGAATAAGCGAAGTTAACATTGATGTGTTTCATCGTGTTGCTCACCGAAACGAAGAAAATGAGGAAATTGAAACATATTTTCATCAAACTCTTCAGAAATGGAACTTCCTTAACCTCACAGAAGGTTACTGTAACTTTAAAAGGGAAGTTCGTGATATCGTTACACTTACACAGTTAATTAATCAGAAAGAATATGTTGTTGATAAATTAATAGAATATTTGGAAAGAAGGGACATTTCATTTTTACAGCCAATTTTAGAGTAAGTATCGCGTTCAGAATTTTGTGCAACAGGGATTAAAATGATTTCTTGATGTTTTTACATATATTTTTAATTACAGATTGGTTGTAGCTCTATCAAAAGATTTACAGAAAGAGTTTTATGAATATTTTCCCAAATTTTTAACTGTTATGATTGATTTATTGCGTACAAAAGATGCAGACCAAATAGAATACGCATTTACATCATTAGCTTATCTATTCAAATTTTTATGGAGATACTTGATCAAAAATGTGAAAACAGTGTTTGATCTGTTACTTCCATTATTAGCAGATACACAGCCAGCTTACGTAAATAACTTTGCAGCTGAAAGTTTTGCATTTGTAGTACGTAAGATTAAAGATAAAGAATCTTTCTTGAAGTTGGTACTAAATTTATTGGAAGATAATCCTAAGGGAATACCAGGATGTGGGAAATTATTATTTGAAGTAATACATGGTTTACCAGGACAATTTCATTCGTGTACAGAGCAAATGCTGTCATTATATTTCAGTGCATTGAACTATGAAACTGTTAATCAAAATCTGGCATTTAGAGTACTAAAAGAAATTATCACTTGCATCGTGCAAAATATTCATCCTCAGAAGTGTCATGTATTCTGGTCTGTGGTTTTAAATAACATAGATGTTGCTATTGAAAATGCTAAAGATTTTCGATCAATCAATGAAAGAGAGAAAAGTTTAATACTAATAATGCGATTATTACATCCAGTCATTGATTACAAAAATGGAAGGTTAGTTATAGATCCTGTACCTTTGATGAAGAAGTTGGTACAGGCTTTAAAGATGTTTGAAAATCAAAGTGATGCGTTACAAGAGATTATAAAAGTAGCAGTAGCAATACTTTTGGCAGCAGATGTTAAATTAATGCAAGAGACATCTAGCCAAATACTGCTTCAAATTATGTCTGTGAAAGATATTAATCTGTTATATGAAGCTGTTAACAATTTAATGCATTATTCATCATTTGAAACTTTGATATTACCGCATATAATACGACATAGTATTTCTACTACTTTCAATGATGATACTTTAAAACTGTTTACTAATATCATTGAAACAAAAGTGCCATTGTGTATTAATGGCATGAAGTTGGACAAATGGACGAAGTATATTTTAGATATACGTGGTGCCGAAACTGATAGTATCAATTACCTTCTGAAAGAATTAGAAGCTTTACTAGATCAGAATATATCAACTAATGCATTAAGAATGTTAATCATTTTACCACATTTGAAGCCTCTTTCAGAAGAATTTAATGAGGTGTTAAAGAAAGGAATACTGTCTCTGTATAAAGGAATATTGAATCATGACAGTACAGAAAGTAATCTAATTAAACTCTGTCTGCCATTCTTATTAGCTTTAGAGGCAGCAATTCACATTTTAGAACCTGAAACTTTGTACAGCTTTATGGAGACTAATGATATAAAAATATTGAACCTTATCAGTAAATATCCTGACAATAGATTTATCTTGAATGCAACAGATTTATGTATAACATATTTTAGTACAACAGAGTACCGGGAAAAGTATATGAATCAAACGGTTTTTGATATCTTAAATAGTAGTATTGCATCAAACTTGAGTTCTCCTTTCGGTGAAGTCCGTTTAATCGTAACCCATTTGTATTCTTTATTTTCTGATGTTAAAGAAATGACATCATCTACTACAAATGAAAGTACAGAAAAAAGTGCTATGGAACACATGTATTTAGCAGAATGTGAATCCATAACAGTACAAAGTTTTAGGGACAAGTTATTGCATTTACAGGCCTTGTCGTTTGAAAATAATGTAGTGTCAAATTTAGATCCCAAGTATTATAAATTTCCACTACAATACTTATTGGGTAATTTATATATAAATTTTTCTTTGTTATGGGAACCTGTAAACAAAATTATAGCAACATATGCGGATAAGAAATGTGAAGACTTTTGGCCAACGTTTCTAGCCGAATTAAAACGTGAACAACAAGTAATCACAGATTATAAGCCAGTATTTGAGTGTGAAACTATTTCTAAAATAGAAATTGCAATACAAAAAAGTAATGATAAGCCTGATTATGCAAATCACAAAGTTTTATCGTGGAAATGTATGACAAATTTTGCACAATTTTGTGAAATGAAGAACAGAGATATTACTGGAATGTTTATTGATTTCGTGAATGACAATTTCTTTAAGTCAAATTCTGAAGATGCTAAGTGTTGTAGTATTCTGAAGAAGCAAGAATTAAATTCCACTGATAATAATATGGAGATTGATGATGATGATGATGATGATGAAAGTGATAATGAAGCGGATGAAAATGAAGAAAAGAAAGAAGAAACAAAGGAACCTACACCTTTTATAAGTACAGACTCAAAGCAAACATCAAAATTTACAGTAAAGAATAATTGTAAAATAAAGCTTCTAATTGCTCAACTGGAGGTGTTTGAGAAGATAGCAAATCCAAGATCATTGTATAGGGAAGCAGAGATACAAAGAATTTATTTAGATCTACTGTCATCAAGAAATCCTGACATTCAAAGAGGTGCTTTCAATTGTCTTCTTACTTATAAATACAAATATCTGTTACCATACAAAGATAATTTATATAATTTAATTAATGAAAAAAATTTGAAAAATGAAGTGATATGTTTCAAGATCGATCAAGAAAGTAATATGATACAGAATGAACATCGTGATGAGTTTATACCTATATTAATGAGAATAGTTTATGCAAAAATGGCTTTAAAAACAGGAATGAGAACTGGCGGTAAAGTCGGAGGGATTACGAGACGAAAACTACTTTTACGTTTCCTGGGCGGCATTCAGGAAAGTGAGATGATCATATTTACAAAAATGGCGTTTAGACCTTTCAAAGCATACATATCGTTTGAATCAGATGAGAAAATTAACTTAAAGGAACTTACTCGCAGTATCGTTAACACAATTGATTTAAATAATGTCATACCTCCTAAACGTCTGAAGAGTGCTGTAAACTTACTTGGAATTTTAATAGAACAATTTGGTAGTAAAATGGCTAAAAAATTGTTGCCTTGTTTACTTGGCTTGGTACTATGTATTTTAGCAGCAGTTACTGGAATTTTACAAAAATCAGATAAAGTGTACGCTGGTTATTTACCGTCTATCAAAAATGTACGAACAAGTTGTATTTTAATATTAGCAAGATTCTTTAATCATTTTGAAGATTATGAATGGAGTGAACACGAATTAGATGCTTTATTCGATGTAGCGGTATTTCCATGGCTGCAAAAATTGCCCATGGAAGGTATTCATAGTCCTACACCTTTATTGAAGTTATTTATGTCATGGAGCCAAAATTCTCGTTATTATCCGTTATTTATAAAGCATCGAGAAGATGATAAATCTGTCAGTCCTCTGCCATATATTATGCAGCTTCTCTTGGGACCCAAAACTCATGCATCTGTAATTAATGCTATTCTTGACATGATTGAAAAAATGGTAACATTACAGGATTATGGAAAGACAAATGAAAATGATATGGAAATTGATGCACCTTTTGTTCCTTTGATACCTGTGCTTACTAATTTACTTGAAGTAAACGAGAAAGCCTTATCTAGTGGCATTAATTACGGATCTGCTATACTACTTCCACATGTTGTTAGTATCTTGGAACATATTAAGAATAAGCTTGGCAAATCAAACAAGAGGATAAATAGAACAGAATTGATCGTTTTGTCACGTATTTCGGAATTTGTAAAAGATCCAAATGCATGCGATATTCTTGTTACTCTTACTTTACCAATATTAATTAAGAAATCTTCTGCTGGAGGAGCGGAAGAAACAACTGTAGAATTAATTACAACTGTTATAAATCTTATAAAACACGTTGCACAACCAACAGTTCATATACGTGCAATCTTACCTTTATTGGGGACAGTATCGGTAATTCCTGCTCGCAAATTGCTGTTAGAACTGTACCGAACAATTGTCGAAAGTGCTACTGAAGATTGTCGTGAAATACTGATAAAAAATTACAATTTAATAAGTGCGCTTAACGCGTGGGATCGCAGGTGGATCGATCAACCAGATTTTCAAAAGAGATTGGATGCATTTTCTGAAATTAATAACGCAGTTGAGAAGAACGAGATTACACTGGAATTTGGTATAGCCATTATTCATAATTGTTATTATTTTCTGAAGAATGAAGCAGATCTAGCATTAAGAGATTACTCAGGACAATGTCTTAAACTTCTTGGTTCTAAATTAGCAAAAGAGCATAGAGAAAATATATCGGACAGGCGTTATTTAATGGATGACACAATTTTACTACTCATTAAAAATGGAATAACTAGTAAAAATGAAGTGGTAAAACTACAGTCAATTGCTTTCTTAGGGCATATGGCTATAGAATGCCCAGAGGTGCATCCTGTTTTACGAGATCTATCACTGTTAGCTAACAAAGCAGATCCTGAAGTGGATTTCTTTGAAAATATGCAACATTTACAATTGCACAGAAGAGCTCGTGCATTGCTTAAATTCTGCACTGTAGCGAAGACACTGCAAAAGAAGTTTAATCCAAGAACCTTAACTCAGTTCATTCTTCCATTTGCTTCCATGTATTTGTGCAACGAAAGCTTCATACATAAAAACAGTATCCTTGATGCTGCAATAGAAACAGTTGGAACTGTCTGTAAACTTTTGCCATGGTATCAGTACGAAATTATATTAAAATATTACATAGGAAAGCTAAGAGGTTCTGCTGAATATCAGAAGCAACTTGTTAGGATTATTGTTATTATGTTAGATTCTTTTCATTTTAATTTATCAAAATACAAACCCAAGGATGGATCTTTGGAAACAAAAGGTGTTAAAGAAACTTTAAAAAATGAAATATCTTCTGATAAAAAGGAAGATGTCGAAAAGGAGATTGATGAAAATATAAATGAAGAAATAGAAGAAAAATTGGAGGAAACTTTAAAGTCTGAAAGTTTGGACGTTATCGAAGAAAAAGATGGAAGGGAAGCACAGGAAGATATAATACCTATAATAGAGAAGGAAATAGTTCTTTCACCCTATGGAGCACAAAGGGTTATATTTACTATATCCAAAGAATTGTTGCCTCAACTTCACCGTTCCATCATAGCAAAGACTAGTCGTGAAAGTAGTCACAAATTTAATAAGAAAAAAGTTGCAGCAAGAAATGAGGAAGAAGAATTAATGCGAGTTCCCATTGCCCTTGCCATGGTTAAATTATTACAAAAACTACCTGAAAACATTTTAGACATCAATTTACCAGGGTAGATACATACATATTTGCTTTTATGTAATTAAAATATTTTAAGCTAATCTAACAAATTGTTTCAGAATCTTTATGAAGTTGTGTACATTCTTAAAATCGCGTTTAGAATCGGTAAGACGCGCCACACGAGAAATATTACAAAAAATTATGATAACTCTAGGTCCAAAATATCTTCATTACCTAATAAGAGAAATGAACACATTATTGACAAGAGGGTTTCAAGTTCATGTGCTTGCATTTACAGTGCAATCAGTATTGGTTGCTTTGAAACCATATTTCCAGAAATTTGATATCAATAAAAACCTTCAAAGTATTTTATCTGTAAGTAATATCATTTTTATAAATTTTGATTTTGAATTTAGTGTGTTTGTTAATGAATAATATACTCTTTCAGGTATGTAAAGTAGATCTATTTGGTCCAACTGGAGAAGAGAAAGAAGTGCTAGGAATTGTAAAAACTGTCGCGGAAGCAAAATCTACGAAAAGCTTTGATATTTTTCACATATTAGCGCAATATATTACGGAATCTTGCTTAGTAGATTTAATTTTGCCATTAAAAGATGTGCTTGTGAAAACGCATTCACATAAAACATTACAGAAAGTAGTAGAATGTTTAAGGAACGTTGTGTTGGGTTTAGCTGATAATACTTTTATACCATTAGAACAAATGCTGACGTTTCTTTACGGTATAGTTTCTGAAAGTATTCCCGAGCTAATGCCTGAGAAGAAGGATAAACAATTGACACCGAAAGAAGCAGAAGTGATGGCTAGACAGAAACCAGATTGCTTCCTTATACCACCTGAGCCAAAAAATAAAATGGGCGTAAAAGTTACTTCAAAAACCTCTAAAAATACTAATGTTCACGTTATTATAGAATTTGGTTTAAAACTTTTGCATATTTTGTTAAAAAGAGACAAAATATCTGGTGGAGAATTTGAATCCTTTTTGGATCCATTTGTACCGCTCATAAGCGATTGTTTAAAATCTCAACATGTCAAGGTAAGTTTATTTTACTGCTTAAAATGATAGACTAATCAATGTATAGTAAATTGTATTATAATTTTTTTTCTTTCTTTTAGTTAAGCACCTTAGGTCTACAGTGTTTAAATTGGTTACTCAAGAAAGACTTACCTTCGATACATGAAAGAATCTCAGACATTTGTATATCTATATTTAACATATTGCATAAATATGCAGCTGAAGGTTTGAGCAAAGGAGATAATTTTGACCTTGTAATGGCTGGTTTCAAATGTATGTCTGTACTAGTTCGTGACGTAAAGCATTATACAATTAACGAAGAACAGTTGAAAGTTCTAATTATGTATGCCGAACAAGACATGTACGATAGTGATAGGCATGCAACAGCATTTGGGTTACTCAAAGCGATAATATCTCGGAAGATGGTACTTCCGGAAATCCATAATGTCATGAGCAAGATTGCTACTTTAAGTATTACTTCAGATTTGGAACATATTAGGCAACAATCTCGTTCCGTGTTTTATACATATTTGATGGAATATCCCCTTGGTAAATTACTGAATAAACATATACTGTTCTATTTAACACAACTTAGTTATGAAATGCAACCTGGTCGACTGAGTGCATTAGAAATGCTTCACAGCATTGTTACAGGATTTCCTACAGTGAGTATATTTTTGGTTCACTCAGAATATCTCTTGTACAATTTAAAGTATGCATTAATAAAGTTATTTAAAATACTTGTAGAGAACCTTGATTATGAAAGCAGATCCGATATTTATAATGGCTGGTGCAAGATTGATAAACGATGATGATCCTACGTGTCGGAAGTTATGTGCCAAGTGTATTAAAGAAATGGTTACACGGATACATCACAATAAAAGGAGCAAATTATTTAACATAGTCATGGAATGGTTAAGAGACACTAAAGTAATTATTGAGTATCAAAATCTGATGGTCGTCATGTATTAAATTACACAATACTAAATTATTCTATTGTTCCTTTTTCTAGATAATGCATCGTGCTTTGGCTGCTCAATTATGTGGTATATTTGTAACAGTGGAGAAAGATGCTTTCGAATCTCGTCTCAAAGAATTATTACCCCCTCTTCTAAAACAATTCCACGCAAATATTGATGATAACGAAGAACCCGGACGTTTTGTAAAGTTACGTACAAATGAGGAAATGGCTGAATTAGAAATGCAATCTAACATTAAGGATCCGGAAAGAATGAAAGATCATCATATGTTTCAAGTTTTACAGTTATTGTTAAAAATATCAGCAAATTGCACAGCTTTTCTAAAAAATGACGAGTACAAAGAAGCTGTTCGTTCATTTGCTGGTAAGTTCAGTGTGTTATTATGCTATTTTATTTACCACCTTTTTAAATACTAACGCAATTTTTTCTACGTTTAGAATACAGCCAGTCTTTATTGGCACATCCTCATACGTGGGTTCGCTTAGCAGCGTCACAAATGATCGGTTTTATCTTAGCTGCCTTAGACATTGACAAGATCATAGAATTCTTAGAAAATCCTGAAAAGTGTGAGACTGAAAATAGTTACATGTATTCTGACCCAGCCGGTACCATTAGAAGTTTGACTTTAGACTTGATCGCTCAATTGCAACCCGATATGATGTTAGAGGAATTGGCGGACCAAACTGTTAAAAATTTAATTTTTATTGCAAAAATTTTGAAATCCGTCAAAACAGTTACGACTGTTACTGTGGATGAAGATAAGAAAGCAACAGATACTGATAAGAACCAGTTATCCCTTTCTTGGCTGGTTAGACGATTGAGAAGATCTGTAAATATAGAAATAACTAAAGCCCCTAAATCGATAACGGTGGTAAGTGGTAACAGTAATGTTGATCATTCTTTTTTTTTTTATAATAAACAATCTTAAAATGAATTTTTTCTTTTTTTAGCGGACTGCTTTCTTTAAATGGGTTGCTGGAATAGTAGTTACTATACCTATGGAGTATTTAAATACAGTACTTTTTAACATTATGTCACCAATCGTACGTGAAATTTCAACAATAGAAGAAAAGAATACTAGTTTAAGACGACTGGCGAAAGAAGCTGCAGCAATGATCAAAAAACGTTTAGATAACGAAGAATACATCAGATTATTGAGTCGAATACAACAACAGTTAGATATTAAAAAAGCAGAGAGGAGGAAAGTACGGACGCAACAGGTGGGTTTTTTATGTTCTACTTATACTCTTTTTCTTGTTATTAAATAATTAATAATGAGTTGAATACTTCAATATTTTTATTACAGTATGTAACTGATCCAGAACTGGCTGCTAAACGTAAAATTGCAAGGCAACAAAAGAAAAAAGAAGCTAGGAAGAGGAAATCGGATACTGTAAGGGGGAAAAAAGGAGCGAAGAAACGTCTAAAGAAAGAAATTGATTTAGATATTATATAATTGTTTTAGTTTAAGAAAATTCTAAAATTACATATAAGAAAAATCGTTATTTTTATGACATTATTTAAATAATAATCTAGTCTGTAAAATATCCATATATCATATATCATACGGCTGTTTATTAAAACTGAATATATACATTTTGTAGATGAATATGTATATATTTTGTACATATGCATTTATGTATATACGTATTTTGTATTATACGTTTCACGAGTACTGATTGTAAAATAATACAATTTGCATATATGAGACCCACAGTTTCAGCGAAATATTTAGAATCTTTTTATACTGTTGTATTTGAATATAAAAAATTGTTTAAATATTTGAACGACCCCTTAATAACGTAATTTAAAATATAGGGACATTATAATTAATCGGAATACAATAATTGTGGGACGTTTTTCTATACAATAAATATTACATGAACATTATTTTATTTCAAAGTTTAGAGTACAATGTTTGTATGTACCAACTACTAGAAAAATAGTTTTTTCGATTATACAATATAGGGAAATACTTATACACGAGTTCTCGACTTCCGGTGTAAGATTTCATATTTGCTGTAACGTATAATTTTCAGTTTGCTTGTTTAAATATTAATAATTATATTATCATTCAGAACAACAAAGGTATATTAACGATAGTATTTAATATTACAATATAGAATATATTTTATAGAAATTAGAAGGAAAAACGTTATATCATTGTCAGTATTTTAACATTTATATAGGTGGTTAATAGGAGTATCGTTAAATGGAAGGAATTAAAACGAAAATGAGCTAAACAAGCTACGTGACATTACGCGTGATTGAATGCATTACATCAGTCACTAAAACTTGTCTAACTATATCTCATTGAAGCATCGCCAACTTGGCACTTCTTTATTTCTTTGACTTTGATATATGCTTATAAGCAAGGAGTTGAGTATCGTTTACCTGTATTTAAGCTTATCGGAAAAGCCGCGTTATCGGCGGTGGTTGGACATAAAAATCCGACGCGACGATTGAAACGAGAAATTTGGCATATAAGCCGTGGCCAGAGAATTACTACCGTCTAGCTTACTGACCATCCATTCTTCACATATATAACCAATTTAAGTTCGCACGTTTTCATTGATCATCGGCATATTGATTTTAAGTTTTACGTGCACGAAACGATTCAGTGATGTTCATCACCGTGGTACTGATAATCCTGATTTTGATTTTAGTGGTAGTCAAGCATAAAGTGAAAAATCAACCGCCAGGTAATAGGAGTTATTTTATGTTTAATTTTTTTCAATTACAGTGATCGATACAGATTGATATCTAATGTTACCTTCTGTTTTTTTCTTTTTTAGAAATTATGGTTTAATGTTAACACGTTAAATACTACAGTGAAAACAAACGAACGTAGCACGGCACTATAGCGTTATTTAAAATTTTCTTGGACGTTCTTCCTTTAAATTATTCGATTATATTAAAGTGCCGGTGAATTTATTGTTATTAACAATATTGTTTTCCCCGTATTTTTAGATAATATTTCATTTACACGGATAGTAGGGATTATACGAAAATTTGTTTAAAACTTTTTCACAGACGACAATATTTATATACGTTCTTTAATTCACTGATTCAACAGCAGTTTCAAAGAATGTTTCATTGAATGAACGAATTCCTGTATGGTAGTCACGTGTTACACGACTATATACAATGATTGGCTTAAATTACAGTGAGTATAAAAAGTATTCTAATGATTCCTTGGTGGATCGTGGACCTCGATCTATTGAAAATTTTTTAAATTTTATTCAAGGCTTTACATTATTTTTTGTAAATTTATAACAAATTTTCATTTTTCTTCAATAGTTTCCTTATCTTTTCGTCCAATTTTACGGTTATCGCTATTGACCATAATTGAATTTTAATGTGGAACAATATCTATGCTGACAGAGAGTCCAGATAAACTAATGTTAATCTAATGTTATCTATGCAAAATACTATGATTAAGAAACTCTACGAATACGTTTTACACTCACTGTAAATTAGGTCTAAATTAGGTCTAAATTACTCGGTACATCCGCTGTCCGAGGGTTAACATCGAATAGATGATATAGCGAACTAGAGCGAGATTTTTCGGCCATTTCCGGTCAGACCGGAAGTCTAAATGCTATATGTAGCCCCCTTCTCAAAATTTTCAATCTTACAAGATACGGTTTGGCTAATAAATAGTTCTATATAGTTTCTATTCAAAAATGAAGTGTCAATTGAAAAATCAGTTGAAAAATGTTTTATCTTCTTTTTTTAGGTCCGTTTCCGTGGCCGGTTATCGGCAATCAGTTTCTACTAAAGCGCTTAACTCATAAATTGGGAGCACAGCATTTTGCCTTCATAGAGCTGTCGAAACGATACAATAGTCACCTGATAAGCCTAGGTTCAGGCGCCAATAAGGTATTAGTCGTTTCTGGAAGCGAATCTTGTATGATGGAGGTACTGAAAAGCGAGGAGTTTGAGGGCCGACCATGGAACGCGTTTATCGAAATGCGAAATATGGGGAAGAAACAAGGTATCAGCTTCGCTCCTATGAGTTTAATAAGTATTATAGAGTAATTTGAAACATAGAAAAACAAATATATCTCTTATCTGAACTTTCTTATCTTCGTCTATTAATTCGGATGATAGAGAGTCTATAAAAGTTTTATCACCATTATGTATCATCTTATAAGATTGTATTGTAATTGTAATTGTAATTGTGATTATCAACGTTAGGTATCACGATGAACGACGGAGATGAATGGAGGGAAATACGTGGTTGGACGATGCGGACCATGAGATCCTTCGGTTTTGGGAAGCAAAACATGTTGGATATGATCAAGAACGAATTGAATATAATCCTAGAGAAAATGAAGAAAGGGGGTGTACAACGATTGAAACCGATGATCGTGCCTGCTGTAATAAATGTCCTTTGGATGTTGACGACGGGAAAACCATTTGGCGATGATCGAAAGTACATAAATCTCTCCTATTTATTTTTTATAATCAACATTTTTACCTGAAAATGCGTTATTCAATACCTTCCTTATTCAATTTTTAATTGAGAAAATTAATAATTTCTTCAATTGAGGGTTGAATGCAAAATCAAGAATTATGAAACCTGCTCCCCTTTTACTTTTTCTATGTACATACGCTTATGCAATTGTCATATTTCTTTCTGTGTTGTCAAGAAAATTAGAGCAACTCGATTGTTTGTAACGAAACAGTCTGTAAACGCTGAACAGAAGGTAATGTGATCCATAGCAAGTACAGAGGAGCAGGTAGTAAGTAAGTGGGTCATGTATGTATTTGAAATGCATTGAATTGTGATCGTTTATTCTCTTTCTAACGTTAACTCGTAGGTTACAGTATTTTACCGAGTTGCTGGAACGTCGAGCACGAGCCTTCGACATGAACGGCGGATTTTTAGCCGCTTTCCCTTGGTTACGTTACGTTGCACCCGAGATCTCAGGGTACAACCTTCTTGTAACGCTGAACAACGAGCTCAAGGCCTTCTTAATGGTACGTCCGTTATGTAAATCAATTATCATTTTACTATTATGTTAAAAAATTATGGCCATTTTTATGCAGGATATTATCAATGAACACAAGCGCCAATATTCACCAGAGAATAACGACGATTTGATAGATCTGTTTCTTCATGAAATGTATAGCGAAAATGGTTCCAGTTCAGTTTTCAACGGTACAGTAATTGCTGTTCAATTATCTAATTAATAATTTCAAGAGTTCACGGTAACGAATTTCAATTTTCAGAGGATCAACTGGTAATGGTATTGATTGATTTTTTCCTTGCTGGTTGCACCACCACGGCCACGTCCATGGACTTCCTGTTTGTAATCATGATGTTGCATCAGGACGTTCAACGTAAACTGCAACAGGAAATCGATTCGGTGATTCCACGTGACGAGTTCCCCGACTTGAAACACAAGATAAAGTAATGAACAGTTTAATTTGTTGTATACGTGAGATTTTGACATTTTTTCTTTTTTTTTATTGTTACAGGCTTCCTTATACAGAAGCTGTAATAACCGAGTCGCAACGACTCTGGCCACCATTCCCTATAATTGGACCACGACGATGTCTTCGCGATACAAACCTTGGGGGTTACAAGATACCAAAAGACTCCACTATACTACTAAATATGTATTCCGTTCACGTAGATCCCGAGCTATATACTGATCCGCACACGTTCAATCCCGAACGATTCATAAAGGATGGAGTCTTCGAACCGAATGTAAACTCCTTGTCTTTTGGAAAAGGTACAAAGTGAGATGCGAAGGACATCCTTCGTTACACAAATGTTCGTTATTATTCGTTACCTTGATTATCTTTCTTATTTAGGAAGAAGAAGATGTCCAGGTGAAATGTTAGCAAAATCTGCGATGTTCCTTCTATTCACTGGCATAATGCAGAAGTACACCCTACTTCCGGTCCCTGGCAAAGGACCAACTTCCCTAGAAATTAATCCTGGCCTGACGATCTCACCAAAGCCTTACCAGTCATTAGTTGTGCCACGATAATTTCTTTTATCAGGCAATCTCTTCCAGTAACTAAATGAATATATTTATAAGTTGTTATAAAATTAAGATAGGGTTTATGGTTCTCTTTCTCTATCGTATTTTCTATTTTTAGCATCTATGACGACGCTTCATAATAAATGCTAAATACTTATTAGAATAATTATCAGAAAGTGAAAAAACAATAAAGGTACAGCAAAGAAATTATATATTTTTTTTTTGCTTGGTTAATCGTGATTCTAATGAAAAGAAAAAAAAAAAAAGATACCAGAACGCGAAGTTCTCGATCTTCGTAGTTCGAGGTGTTAGACAGCCAGCACGTTTATTTGACTTCAACAAATTTTTCTCGCGGATAATGTTTATTGTTTCTGCTACGTGAAAGTCGCTTTACGCGTCGTTTTACTCGTTCAACGAAATCGGCTCGTTTCGCAGAAGTCCAAATGTACCTTCGCCCCCACGTCACGTGGCGATTCGGCCCTTTTATATTAAGTCTTCAACGTCGGTGCTAAATATTTTCTTGTTAACTAGGGTACCGTTCGAAGTACAGAAATATATCCTATTAGCAGATCTTTTCATTTTCATTTTCATTTTATAAATTCTATACCGTTTATTTAAATACCTAATACTGTTTTACGTATTTTATTAATCATTTCTCTCACTTAAAAATGTGAAAATGTATATAAATTATAGTTGTGTTCATTATTATTATTTTTTTATACAGAATCATAGTTTGCCAAATCATCTTAAAGTAAGTTTCAGATGGTACGGTTTTGGCGATATGGTGAAACCATCGTAGCCGTTCGGATCTGGCTTTCCATGGTCTGGTGAAATTTCGATATCGAAGTAATATACAACGTAGGTGAAGAATAAGAACAAGGTTGAACGAGCCAGCATTTCTCCTGGACAACGTCTTTTGCCTAAAACGAAAGAATTTAATTTGAATACATTTGAAACAAGAACAGACAAATAATTTTTCACCTAAACTGAAAATCATGCTTGCACTATTTGGACAAAATCGGCCAGTATCGTCAAGAAATCTTTGTGGTCGAAACTCTTCCGGATGATCCCAATAAGCCTTGTCATTGTGGACACTATGGAAGTCCAGAAGAATCATTGTATCCTAAAATAATACAGATACGTGTATACTTATACTCGGAACAGGCACTAAAAATAAGATACTTATGGTATTTACTTTAGGTATGTGATATCCATTCAGATTTACGTCTTTCATGGTCTTATGAGGTAGTCCAAAAGGTGCCAGGTTTAAATATCTCTGTACCTAACATGGGAATGGTATATTTGAATCGAATTATAATGGTAATTATAATAATAGAATTTTACCTCTGCAAGAAACGATTCCATCATCGGCAATGACGAAGAATCTTTCAAAGCTGGGGACCGTGATCTACCGACAACGTTATCTAGTTCCTCTTGGAGTATTTTAATCCAGTCAGAGTGCAAAGATAGAAATAGCAAAGTGGCGGCTAAAGTATCTGTCGTTGTTTTTGAGCCAGCCAAGAAAAGATCGAGACACACGATCAACAAGTTTTCTCCTAGAAGAAAAGAATATTATAATTAATTTTCTTGCCACGTAATGCTTCGTAATTGTTGAAATTTTTTGCAGATTAAAAATATGACTCACGATCAAAGATCGAATCATCGATTATGCTGTTAGACGAGATCTCCAAAAGAAATGCCTCGATTAAATCCTGAGGCTCGTTATCAGACAGTTGTTTCTCGTGAATGGTGATCTCTTCGTCTAAGAAACCCCAAAGCTTTCGTAAAATTCTCATTAACTCGTTGTAACCGGATAATTCTGGTATAATGAAACGTAAAAATGGCATATGTGACACGATACCGCCCATGGTATCCATCAGTCTAATGATAGAAGAGATTTTAAGTTAAATATGTATGTGGATACCAACACATATGTGGACTTGGACGCATATGCTACTGGTTCTGTCGCGTGAGTATGTTTACCTGAAGGCACCGTGAACAGCATCAAGTATCTCCATCAGTTTTTCATTGTTATAGTCAAATCGATGGCCAGCAAGCATGGACCAAAGGGAATTCAAAACGGCGACATCGAATGCCGTGTGCATCGGCACCGGACCTTTCGCGCTAGCTCGACGAAGATAATCTACGAAATTCTCTGCTTCAATGATCAACTGTTTCTCCATAATTGATTGGCCAAAACCAAATGCCCTGAGGTGACGCATCGTAAAACGACGACACTGCGCCCACGTTGGCCCTTCGGCGAATAAAATTCCTGTCGGAATTCAATCGATCCAAAGTATATCAATGTTTTATTATTAAATAAAACTGATAATACTTTACACACCTCGTTTTTTACCAAACGCACGGACCCTGAAGAAGAATCCATCCGGTCTGCCATTGAACTCGTCCTGAAGAAGAACCTTCTTTACCAGATCATGCGTCGAGATCACAACCACCTTCTGTGTTCCCAGTTTCAAACCCAGAATTGGACCGTAACTTTTCATTAGCTCGTGAAATGCTAAGTAAACGTAGCCATTCTTCAGCTTCAGTTGTCGAAAGGTGAAGAAGCAACCGATCAGTGGCATCCATTTTGGGCCTACTCGCATATTACACAAGAACGCATGAATACATTGAGAAGATAGTAAATTACCACACTTTCTTTATTTCTATTCAAAGATTGTATTAGATTAATTGCAAAAGTTCGTCGTATATTTGATGTTACGTTGTAATTCTAAATCTTTAAACAGTATTAACTTTTGTACATTTATTTCAAATATGACAACATTTTTCTATTAATCCAATACATTACTAACAAAATTTTTAGTCGATCTCGAAAAATTTCAATTAGATGTTCCGTTTAAATTCAGAGTACTTGATAATTTAAACTTCCCGAGTTCCTGATAATCACAGATTATATCGCACACTAACGCACCAGGAGGATAATTCTGTGGCTTGAAGCAATCGTAGACGCAGAAGATACAGAAAAGAACAAGGAGAAGACAAATCACCGCGTAGAACATCTTCGTGAACACTGATAGTTCAGATTCGGTGACTTCGAATGCAGTTACTATACCAACGCATATATACATATGTATGCTAAGAAAAAAAAGATTCTGGTGCCACCCTGTGATATTATCGCCGTGACACCCATGGCCTCTGACGAAAATATCTTTTTCTACGAGAAGACGTCCTTTTCATGGTACTCTTCCCTGCTTTATATTATATATATTAGAAGCGGTATCGGTCTTTTTTCTAGCTCTGATATAGCAGAACCCTGATGATGAGTTGCTAGATATGTAACAATGTAGAAGAAATGCCTATCTTCAATTAGTATAGAAATCACATAAAGATGAAGATCTAAGAAATAGTAAGGGGACAAATTAATTTAAATGCAATTATTTAAAAAAAACTGTTCTAATCTTATTCTAATTTTCAGGAATACAAATGATAAACTATACAATGAGATTATTGGAATTGTATAGTAATTCTAAGTATCTTTCTACTTACCAAAGGAAATGAGATATTGATATACCAACAATGTGTTATTTATTCTCATGAAAAGGGAAACACCGTACTCTCGTAATTTCTGTTCATTTTCATACGAGCAATTTGTTGGCAACGCATACTTAATGGCTTCCGTTTCGAATACAAAATACATGAGATCACTGGACTCTCTACGCGGAAGACTTTTAGCAAAAATTTGATTTCTCTGGAAACAGAAGTTCCGGCTCGAAGAATAATAACTATGCTAGTCATGATTGAAGAGAAATATATCAAGAAGCTTGTTGTTTTATTTATCTAAAATTTTATTTCAAGTCGATACAAGTTACATCAATTGAACGAGTTATATTTCTTCTTTTAGTTTTAGTTACACGCTGTAAAGAAAAAAAAAAAAAAAAAAAAAAGGGTGCGATGTAAGAGGAATGCACAGCAAGTAGAGTGAACTTTGAAAGTCGCCGGTGAATTATTTCCTGATCGGGCCAGCTAATTGCAGCCAAACTGGTTTTACTTTTCAACGAGCAACAGAGAAAATGCGACACGATTCCACAGGTTCACGGGCTCGCTTTAATTATACGTTTTGGATTTATTTGCGTAGATGTTGACCTTCCGCAATGCGGAGAATACCTTCGATACGCCCACAACGCATCGCTCGGATTGGCTTTTGTAGAAAGTTTTTGGAAAGTAACTTCGTTTCTAGAATGTTCTTTTATTTTATAAGTAAGTTGTCTGAATCAAATTGTTCAACATTGTTTTAACCCTTCTTTGAATTAAGAGAGCCTCTTTCATTATATTCTGTTTCGTTTCAGAAAATCGTTCAGTTCACTGACATCGGTACGGCGAAGTGTTTTAATGGCAAACAACACGTTCGATCTGGTGTACTTGAACAGGTATGTTTTACGAGCAATATTTCCAGATACATTGTTCTGTTTGCGTAAAATCGATCGTTATCGTGATCCATTCAAAACGCGAGATTTCCATTTGACTAGGGCTTGCAGGCGAGAAGAACGTGGATAAGAATTATCTTAGAGAAACGACCTTGAAAACACTCGCAATTGTACTTTGAAGAAAAGAAAGAAAAAAAAACTACGGTGAAGCGTTAAAGGAACTCGATGGAAGATAGAATCAGGTCAATTGCAAATAGCAAGTGGAACAGTTTATTTTAGAGTTTAACCAGAAGCTATTGGCGACCTTCTAAATCGTTTAAACATCTCCAGTTGATTGTTTGTTTAACGTAAGACGAAATATATTTTCAGGGACATGTTATTAAGTAAAAAGATGAAAATGTAAGTAAATAATTTTATTGAAATAGTGTTTTTCATAAGTTTCCATCGACAAACGGGTAGAAACTCTGACGCAAAGTGAAAATCACGAGCACGGTGTCGAGATCGTTTAGAAAATACTGGCATACGACATTTCTCCAGTTTTTTTCCCGCGGCGATCAAACAACACGCACGATGCAAAAGTCTGACCCTCGATGGTTGTTGGATCGAAGCAAAAGTTTCTCCTGTCGTCGATTCTGCCCATTACCCAGAACTTAACTTACTATGGCCGCGGCTGGATAACGCACAGAGGAGGAGAGTGAGTACGCTGGCACGGATTAATTTATGCCGGTGGTAGACAGACGCGTGTGTAATACGTGGGCAAAACGTTCGAGCGTGTAAGAAGGTGCACGGACACTTTCTCCACGGTCGAGGTCTTCCATATATACATACAACGGGCCCCGAGCCCCGACTTCCTTCCATAAAAGATACGACTTTCTCCGGTTTCGCAGCGGCAGCCGCGTGCTCCTAGCCACGTTGCGTCATGTCGAGCGTGGGCAACGCGCAATGACAAAGCTTAACACAGTAATGCGGAGGTGTCAACGAAATATTAGGGAACTTTATTGGTAATACCGACGGATTAGATCCTTTATACATACTTTCCCCAATTTGAAGCCCAAGTTGCGATTGTACGTATAGTAGTACATATTTCGTTGGAAAAATTTCGTAACTTACAATTTGATTTCTATTAATTTCGTTTACGTTGCAGCGTTCGATGGAGGACGGTGCTGGAATAACAACAAGGATGTAACAAAATATTACTCAACTTTATTTTTAACGGCAGTGGTTAACAAAGAAAGGTAACAACAACGTGTATAAAAAGAAGAAGATAATATACATAATGATAGAACTTAGCATTAGGGTGATGATACGTGAGCACCTTAATGAAACAACTGGGAAGAAGGGCCGTGTCAGTCGATTAGATTCTCCAGAAACTTAACTCCCTAAAACTTATCTATCGTACAAGTAAGGTAATATATACAGCGGCTTATGTTACAATACTCTATGAAAAAAGTGTTTGTACAAGCTTTACTCAATTTTATCAGCGTTTTGGGAACGCAAAGTTCGCGCTGCTTTGATTGGTCGGCGCTGGTGGAGGTACCAAGTCCTGGCTGAGCGATGGAGCTTCCGTCTTGGACGATCTGTCCCACCTGACCTTATTTTCATCGACCTGACGTTGTTGCTGCTGGCCTTGAGCGTTCTGCTTAGCTAATGCTTCGGAACTGTACGGTACAACCTGGCTACCTTGAGCTTGACTGTCCTTTCGATCCTCCCATCCGTGATGATGCGGATGATGGTCCTCTGCAGGGAACCATTCCGAAATCCAGACGGGTTTCCAAATCTTTTTCCAAGCTGGTACCCAGATTTCTTTCCAGGCAGGTACCCAAATCTGTTTCCAAGCCTCCTTCCAGGATAACTTTTTATCCGGCACCCATTCCAACTTCTTGTCCGTCTTCCAGATTTGTTTCCAAGCTTCCTTCCATTCCAATTTTTTATCAGGTACCCAGATAAGCTTTTTGGATGGTTTCCAGATTTGCTTCCACTCTTCCTTCCAAATCAACTTTTTGTCATCCACCCAGATCTGTTTCTTTGCTGGCTTCCAGATTTGTTTCCAAGCTTCTACCCACTCCAGCTTCTTGTCTGGTACCCAGATTTGTTTTTTAGCCGGTTTCCAATACTTTTTCCAAAGCGGCTTCCAGATCAGTTTCTTCTTCCAAAGGTCGTGACTGGTGTACTCCCAGCCGTGGTGATCGGTGCCGTGGTAATGTTCACCTGGAATGCCAATTTTCACCCATTCTGGGATCCAAATCTTCTTCCAAGCGGGTACCTGAATTTCCTTCCAAGCTGGCACTTGAATTTCCTTCCAAACGGGCTTCCAGATCTTTTTCCATGCAGGTACCTGTATTTCTTTCCATGCTGGAACCTTGATGGGCTTCCAAACAGGCTTCCAGATCTTCTTCCACGCTGGTACTTGAATTTCTTTCCACACTGGTACTTGGATCTCTTTCCATACGGGTTTCCAAATTTTCTTCCAAGCTGGTACCTGAATGTCCTTCCATACAGCCTTCTGCGTTGGCACCCATATCGGCTTCCAGATCTTCTTCCACGCAGGTTTCCAGATCTGTTTCTTAGCCGGTTTCCAGATCTTCTTCCAGCCTGGTTTCCAAATCAGCTTCTTCTTCCAGTAACCATGTTCGTGATGATGGTCATCGTGGTGTTCGTCCCCTGCTCCACCGGCGTCACCACCTCCGATATCGCCACCGCCAGAATGGCCAAAGCCACCGCCAATGTCACCACCACCTCCGGAATGACCAAAGCCGCCGCCAATGTCACCACCGTAACCTCCTGAATCTCCACCGTGACCACCGAAGTCTCCACCATAGCCGGTACCTACATCTCCACCTGCATGACCACCTGCGTCACCACCCCATCGCTTCTGAGCCACTGTGCCATATCTGCGTACAATGATTTCATAATTAATTAGTATTCTGCTAAGATGTTTATACATATAGCACAAGCTTTGGGACGTACGGTATTTGCTGCTGAGACTTCTGCTGTTGCAGCTGATTCTGGTCCAATGCCTTGCTCGCCACCAGAGCGACTTGCAGTAGCACCGCTAGTGCAGCCTGTAAACAAGATAATTACATGGATATGAAATTTCACCGATCGTATCGTCTTAATGGACATTTGAACTGTGCAACTTGGCGTGTTCGTTCTATTTAGGTAAGCACTTGGCTCATAGAGAAATCTCTTCTTTTTTTCACGATAACATTCTCGATGTTACTCTTAACAGTTATTCGTTTATGGAATCACTTTCGAAACTAGCCGTCGATAACCAAGCAAACACGTTCATTGATGAGCAGTGATCAGCATTTTACAGTTTCGCCTTTGATGTTCTCGATTCCTTTGATGCTTGTTGAAGAAATTATTGTATCAAGAAAAGAATATACATTTATAAAGATGATCTATTCTGAAAACAATTCTGTATTCGGCAAGGTACCGTTACGTTTCCTGAAATAACAAGGTAATACAAATTAAATAATTCTAAAACGTAAATTAAACTATGATTTAAATTAACCAACACATTCGCATTACAATCTACATTACAGAATTGAAGTTGCATCAACCCCCTGAACAAAATGTGTCTGGAGCATTCAGTGTTCATCCAATCGGTAAATGGTAATCGGTATTTATCTTTAAATAATCTCAAACACGACATTCTTGACAATCGGTTGATCACCATTCGTCGATCGTGACACTCACTACTTACTCCAGATACGATGATCGTTCGATGCATCACCGTTTCTAACCGAACGCACCCCCTTTTTAGTAGTATCGTTGAAGAACAATCAAACGGTCGTAGCGGTGCTTACGATCGTCACCAGGTTTATATTAGAGTATAACTGAGACTTATTTAAATAGAAACTGACCGCGCATCCCGGGCGAATCCTCATATTTTCTCGCAATACCGCCCGTCGGGCTCGGGCTGCGTACTCTTGTTCCCTAAGTGCAGGAAAACGTAAGTTACTTCGCCCAATCAGCGGAACGCCGTAGTTATATAGGCGCGTATTCCTCCCCCAGTGCTATCGTGGTGTGCTGGGCCAGATACTGCGAAGGTGGTGGTAAAGTCGTCCTGGTGGAGGAGGTAGTTCGCATAGTTGGAGGAAAGGAAGTCGCGATGGTGGTGGGTCCCAACGGACTCGCGTTTCGAAAAGCTCGTACCTTGGATAGCGATGGGGCCGATCTTGTTTATTGTGCAAAAAGACTTTTACTTTTATTTCGCTCTTTAACTTATATTATCCTTTTATTTTCAGATCTTTGCCTGTCTGTCGGTGATCTTGAGATGAATGTATGCAACAGTACACTCGTGTCTTCTCCCTGAATTCTGAATCCAAGTACCAATTAATTTGATAAAATTCATCTTATAATCTATAAGTTGCTTTCAATCTAACCAGTTACATTATATTTCAGGTGTTGAACTCCCATGAGATTAATTGAATACTTTCCATCGTATCAAGAGAAAATTGAACCCATCGCTACGTCCGTTCTCCTTCTTCCTTGCTGTTGTCCACCTCCTACGAACCTGGCGATCTTACTTGATAGCACGGTTGCCCATCGTTCCGGAGAAAGTGATCGGGAACACGATGATCCGGTCGAGCGAGTCAAGCGGTTTCGTTCTGTTGCTATTTACACGGCTCTGTCCGGCAAAGGCGAAGTTCACGGGGAGGCAAGGTTATGCGGCAAGGTTATACCTGGTGATCCAGATTACCTGACGACGAGAGAGTGGTGGAAAGAGATCGAGCGCGGTACCGTGGCGTTTGATGAATCCTTTTATTTTTTCTTCTGTAGACGGTTTAATCGATTTCAGAATGGCGCCGCCGCGCCGCGCCGGTCCTGTCCGGGTTTCTCTTCCGGGAAGGCCCCGGGGCTGGACCATTGCCGCTTTTCCTTTCATGTATTCTGTCTTTGGTGAAGATTGCCCTGAAGGGAGGATCGGTGAAGAAATGTTAGAGATCGAGAGATAGAAATAGTAAATGGTAAAAGTTCATTGTCCCACAGGTGAATTTCACTTTGCTTTCAAAAGGGTCATTCTTCTCCTGGGGATGTCAGGAATAACAAATTTGACATTTCATATAATTAAAGTATTATTGTATTTTTTATTTGGAACAGTAATACCTATATAAGCTGCATTAGATACGTGAAGTATGCATAATTATAATAAAAGCGTGAAAAGTGTCGCCGTGGAAAATCGGGAAGCTAATTATCGCTGCTAGACACAATCTTCTTCCCCTTCGCGATGAATGATTATAAGCTTCCAGAGTTCGCACGATTTCTATCGATTCCTCTTTCATTAATTAGGCATTCAAACATTAACTTTCGACTCGAAATCTTACAGTTTTATTGCTCGTTAAGTGATTTAATCCCAGTCGACAAAGCTACATCGTGTTTATAATCAGCTTACATAATTCAATGTTTTTATCAAGGTCGTTAAAAGTTTGTCACGATATGTAAAGAAGATATACATGTTCTTTTTTTTAGGAGAATCAGGGGTCCCCCGGAAGATTCTTCATTCCGTGTTATGACCGATAAGTTTTCGCAAGATTGAATCTTCTTAAAAAGAACAGCACCCATCGTATTCTGACGAGACCGTGTTGCGTTTTATTTGAAAAGCTCATAATCACGAATACCTGCACGGGTGAAAGTACATACCGAAGCTGAAAGGAAGAAAATTTATAACGTAAAAGCAACGAGTATGCCATCCAAGGAATTACGAGGCAAATTTTACGGAGGCGAGCAATTACGAGATACAGGTCAATTTCACTGGATCAATTTTGCAATTTAACGGAATGATAAACTGACTGAAAAGAATCAAACATTTTGTCTCTGTTCCTTTTAGCTGAACCCTAGAACTACCACCTTTGGAGGATGAAACATAATCGGCCATATATTTCAGCAGAAGAACCTTCATGAATTTTGTAATTTAAAATAAGAATTTTAGAGTTATTTCGAATGATTTGATGCTTCTAGAACTTGAAAGCTGAACGATGTTTCAGGAAGTACTGTGACGAGTCACTCGGCTCGATTTGCTAACAAGCTGAAAGCGATAAGTGGTTAAATTCGCACGAGATACATCGTCATTGTATATGTATTCGTCGAATGAAAGCGAATTCCTTTACTCTACGATAGAGAGCCAGACAACTGGGAGTACATGAAATTGCTAGGATCCATTCCAGTACTTATTGAAGTAAAAAATCCGAACATATATATTTCACCTGTTTAGTTTCTGTTTTTATTTTAATCAATTTTGTTTTTAACATGCAAAGAAATCTTGATTAATTTGCATAATATTCTTCCAGGATGTTTAACAGGATGCAGGTGTCGAATCGGCGGACCAACCCTAGAAATTTCTAAGTGTGATTTACAGGAAGAGGAAACGTTATAGCTAGTGGTAACGCGTGGGCAGAAGTAGAAGAACGGCGTTTGAAACATTCCAAAGACGCGATAGTAAATAGAAGAGCATGTATTTGAGAAATTTTTATTTGCACTCCAAGTGTCAGGTTTATGGACGAGTACCTACGATTCACTTTCTAAACGTCCGTCCCTCAAGGTAGCCGACGATATCGCTTTTCGAAATGTCTAGCTGTTCGATATTTGGGTTACGTTCGACGACTTAACTTTCATGGAAAACAAACAATTGCGACAGTTTCTTAGAAAACTTCAGTTCCATTGTTAACTGTGTCATCTATATTTTTTTAAGGAAGCTGGCAATATCATAATTTTCATTTAAAAAAATAATTTCTGTAATGAATTTAAATTTTGAAGCTGCTCAACATTTCTTCTTTCTAGAATGAAGCATCACTCTGCACTTATTGTCAGTCATCTCGAAGGAATGTCATTCCACTTTTCCTGTGCATCAATTCTCTTGAAACCATGTTTTTGCGTGTCTCACCGAAGTCATGGATAATCAGTTTAAATCTTTACACAAATTTCACCGTCGTCGCGTCTGTGATTTCTTCTTCTCGCTCGCCGTGCCCCTATCTCGAACAACCCACAATACAATCCGTCGAGAGAACGAGCGACTCACAGCGTATAGAAGAAAGTTTTATCCTTCCTATTTTACGCACGATACATATCTTTCGGGTCTACGGTTTCTTCTTACTTCGCGATCATAACATTTTGCTTTCTACCATTAAATGAAAAATGCGAAGAATCGTAAATTAAATCATCTTCAATTATCTCCTGGAAAGGATAGAAACGCATCTAGGATTCAATTGATATTTACGAAGACGTAGCCGCAGAAGAATATTCTTCAGGATTCAAGAATTAATGAAAACGCGTTTCTCGCAGTTTGTACGCGCGTCTAACTTTTTCTTCGCAAAACCGATTAGTTTCTTATTAATCCTCAGGGTACAATTATGTTCTTCTATATCGGAAACCTTTCATTTGTCTTGGACTTTTTACGAGTGTAATTTCGCGCCAGTGAAAGGCGTCGCGTCGGAGATGATTTCATGCCGGGGCGGTCGAACACGCGCACGTTCACATTGCCATATAAACAAACGGTTATCGCGTTACCTAATCGTTACTACTCGCCATCCATTGTCAATTAGCACGTTGCCCAGTATTTTCGCCAATTAAAGCGACCGTGCGAATCTATTTCGTTGAAATGGTCGACTTCAACGCCTCAGTTTCTTTTATGAGCCACTGAGGAAAGGATTATAGAAATTATCTCGACAAGCGCTCCGTTATTAAAGGAATTATTCTTAATTCAAAACTTTCATTATCGTCTAAGTATTTAAAATGTATTTAAAAATTATGTACTGAAAAATTATTATTTATTGAATCGGAATTTTTTTACAAAGACTGTAAAGCAATATTGATTGTGTATTTTTCTGTTTAGGATGCACAAGAAAACCGGATGCGTCGCTCTTATAAGCTTCAGGAAACCACTGCAGAATTGGAGGTTCCTTTTCTTCGCTGTGAGATCTTAAATTGAGATTTCAAAACCAGAATGAACAAAGAAACACGGGGATCAGACATAAAATGTAATTGTCAAGAGTGGCATTGGAGAGTGTCAGAATGCGCTAATCGTCTAGCAAGCAGGATCAACTTTCACATATTGTAACAACTTCATGAAGTTCTCAACAAGCAGGAAACGTTATTATCTCAAGTGACAAGTGGTTTTATTTTAAGCTAGAATTTTTTCTAAAAAAACGTGATACTACTAGAAAAATGTTACACGTTACTCTTTAAAGGAGCAGGCAATCAGGTATATTTGAATAAATCCACTTAGATTTTCTCCACGCCAAATCAGTGTCGCTATTAAATACCATCTAAATAATCCCATTAGTTTATCGACAGATGTCAAGTTGTTAAAAGTCAGGCGAGGGATTACGATGTCTTTTATAGTTTCATAGAGGATCGATAAAGTTTATGCTTTGTCAGTGTAGAGTAACGTTAAGTGAAAAGAAGTTGAACTATGCTTTTGACTTGGAGAACTTTGGCGCACGACATACATCAATCAACGAAAACCATTAATCATCCATGTCGGTATTGATGCATTTCTACACTTCAGGAAATAATCTATGGAAGTAAATTCCATTTATAGAAACTCCATCGAATTCTAATATAACGTTGCACATTTCAGACTGTGATACCAGTGAAACCATGGATAGTGGAATCGAAAGGAAACGCGTGTCACGTATCTCCGAGGTCATCAGGTTCAAACGGCTACCCTCTTCCCATGTGACTCGGTCTTCTCTTTCCTGGTTGTTGGTCACGAGACGATTTCCACGACGGGAAAGTCACGGTCATGTAACGCGGGGACATCCTTTACCGCATCGAAAGAGAAACAGATGCACGAGAGCTGGCGGTTTTCGATGAGCAAAACGAACCGAGCCTGCACACGCTTCCGCTGTAACGAACGAGTAGAGAGTAGAGGATGCAGAGAAGACGAAACTACCAGGTCGAGAGTGAAACTTAACTGTTCGATGCGGCAACGTGATTGCACCCAATTAAGAAACTCCTTGAATCAACAGTTTTCGAACCGGTGTATCAAGTTCCGTGAGAGGTTCAAGAGGCTTCCGCGAAAATATTCTTAAACTAATTAACGAAAAATGAAGACTCAAGTTCTCAGAATGGCTATTTAACTCGTTCTCTGAAGAGCAAAGGCTGTGAACATCTGTTGAGAAATAGGTAATTTTAATTTTCAAATAAAAATTTTCAATTAATTGTTCTATATTATTAATATAATAGCAACTGCCGGTCACCAGTGACCCCTACAGCAGTTTACATATTAAACAGAGTTCACTGAAGCAATGAGTATTGTTCAGAAAAAAAGGTATCCTCTGGGAAGACAGAAGCGCGCTTTCCCTGAAAAAAACTCATTAATAATGCATAACCGCGCGTTGTTTTTATATACAAAGGAACATCAACTTTTTTCCCATGTTTCGTATGGATTATAAATCCACGAACTGCTTATATAACCGTGTGTAATTTTGTCGCGGATGCTGGGGGTCGGATATCTTCCGGAATTTCTATAAATTTTCACATCATCTTCCAGCGGCAGCTCTCGAAATGTATATATGTAAGTAGAAAAATGATCAACTTCCGGGATACTCGTGTGCATCGTGCTGGGTATAAGAACATGGATGCATTGCAGACGATACCGATTCGAAAGTGAAACTCGACTTTACGATCAATGATGCACCTTGTCTAAGTGAAATCTCGACGCTTAATCGGCTGTTTGGTTGAATGTCACGGAACGTCCGTTTCTCGTTGATTTTGTTCTAGAAATTACGTTTAGTCTTTGAAAAATGGGTCACGTTCATTTTTATAAGACCTTGAGACTCGAAATGATATGCCACAAATGGTATTTCGCGGTACTTTCTGTGACACGCAACAATTTATATTAATTTATATTAATTTATATTAATTTATAGAAAAGATAAATGTCTTTAAATGTTAGATACGCAAAGATGTGTTGTCATTAGTTAAAGTTCACCGTTTCCAATTGAAGTTGAACGTCTTCTGTCTGTCGATGCAATATATTATCGTCTAGTTAGTATATTCACGAACGTGTAAATATTGAAGCGCAAAACCAAATACCACGTGGCGTTCGCGAAACAAACATCACCGCTGTTATAACACACGAGTCTGCGGGCAAGATACGTTTGATCTCAATTTGAAAGTGAAATTGGTTTCTATCCGTAGCCAGCGATGCGCGTTATCTAGGTGAAATTACGTTTCTAATAGGCAGTGTCATAAACTATCATCATCCGATACATTGACCTGCATGGTTGCATTCACGTGTTACTCGCTCGCTTGGTAGATCGTGTAACGATATTTTTTCTTCTTGTTTATCGAGGCATGTTTGTCGAGCTAATAACACACTTTATTTTTCTAAACGTGATATTTCTTTTTAATCGAACTAAGGAAGAGTTTGTTAATTATTATTGTTAATTATTATTCTATGAACGAACGAGGTCGAAGCAATTACATTGTTAATTATAATAAGAAAGTTCTAAATACCTATGGTCGCATTGTTGAAAGGAACTATGTCAATGTCTGTCGAAATGTAATATTGCAAAAGAAAGATACTGGATGAACGAACGAATAAACAGAATATCTTAATTCTTCATTCTTCATTCTTCATTCTTCAGTCAAATAGGTAGAAGGTTCACATTACAATTATTAAAATCTTGCAAAGGTGCTTAGTATGTTATTAGACGACTCGTTTAGTTAATGATGATGTCCATCGATTGCAAATTACTATAAAAATTCAACGTATGAACGATTCGCTTTCTATTGAGTAATACATGTGATCATGTCCTCATGGCGTCGTGCCATACATAAAGCATGAACAACTTTCGTTGCTTCGATTTACTACAAGTAGATTAAGACTGCATAGACATTTCATACATTGCACTCTAAAAAATAATATATTTAACGTAAGAAGTGACATATTTTATAGTCATCTTCTAACAATTGATAATATTTTTCAGATGCAACTTGAAGGCTGGAAAATCACGGCTGTTCTGAGGCTCTCTGTGTAGCTGTAACCAAGATATACACTTGCACCCACCACGCACGCACGCACGCATCAGGAGTTTCACTCTTCAGCGAAGCCTGACGATAGGAGCTTCTCTTCAAACTTGTTCGACGGTCATTATACGATAATTGCATTTAACTTGGCTAACCAAGGTGCTGCTTCCACCTGTAGGTGGACGTTCGAAAGCGATTTTCCTTATCCGACGAGGGAAGCCTGGCGAATCGATGTTAACGTGAGATCACGACGAAGAAAGTAGAGGAACGATACTCGTTATTAAGGTCGAAGTAATGAGGAAGACTGCACTCGTCTTCGTGACCAACTTCTACTGCACTCTTGTGCTGTTGGTTTTTCTTAGACTTACACTAATATAAATAGAGAAGACAATGAATAGATGGAAATTCATTTCTGAATTCAACACCAATGATTATTAAATATGTAGCAAAGTGTTGAGATACTATATTTCTTCAATAGTATCAATTATCTTGTAGATCGTAGATCCTATGTTCATTTGATCACTATACATATAGTTAAGAATAGAAATTGCCTAATCGTACAGTATTCAAGAACCAATTCGAATTAATCGATTCACCGAGGGCAAACACTTTTCCGAATGAACCGCGTTTAAAATTAATACCACACTTTTTCTCTCGGCGAAACTTTCTTCTCATCACGCCAATCTCCCATCGTTGATTCACGATGGAGATTATTATTTACTGTGAACATCAGATGTTTGATTCGTTAGGGCTATCGTGAAAGGTTGCATCAATTGATCACGTATAAAGTTGCATGGACGATTGACGGGTTGTGCTACTTCCGGTGTCTCCAGGCATTTGCTTCTTTCTCATCCCACACGCTGTGTCGTGCAGGAGAACGGAGAAAGTAAAGGTCGTGGACGAGGTGAATCGCGACCCCGAAGATCCACGGATGTGCTGGTTCCCTTGAATCTCATCTTATCCCTAGAAAGCATCTTCCTTCTTTCTTCTTGTTACCTCTCAGGCTCTCTTCGTTTCACGATGTTTATGTTAGAAAACCACGCTTTCATCTAGCGCGAGAAAATTAATGTCTACTCGAGGATTGTGTACTACTTGTCTCTGAATGAAGTGTGACGGTGGGAATTGAAAGAGATATCTTTGCACTTTTATTTGGGTTACCTCCTGTTGAGTTCAGGAAGGAACTGACACATCTCCTCAAAAAACAGTTCAACGAAGAACTTTAATTGAATGAAGGTACGGATAAAAAAAGGTGTATTTTATTGTCGTAACATACACAAACATTGTACAAAAATATCTGTATGTATATATAAGTGTCTAAACAATTGTTATTTACAAGTAAAAAAAATAATTACATACGTATCATGAACGAAATCGTCTACAGTCTGTAGACGAATAATTAGTATTTCTACTGGCTAAGTAATCATTTCATTTCATCCATACAGTACACGACTCCATGGTTCGAACTTATTCACGTTGTTCGACATTATTTTCCATGGATTTGAAAAATTCGAACATGTAGTCCCGGCTGACGACGCGACGCGACGGCCCGATAAACGCACCGCGGTTTTGAAGCCGACTTTCGACTCGGACCTTTGATCCGAGTCACGACTACACTAGCGGAAACTTAACAACGATGACGGTTTATCGTCAAGATGAGGAAAGATCGAAAACGATCTCACGACAAGAATTTACTTGTAGCCGTGGTGGTGTTCGTCATGGTGGGGTTCTGCTGGCACCCAAACTTTCTCCCAAACGGGCTTCCATATCTTCTTCCACGCAGGTACCTGTACGTCCTTCCAAACCGGCACCCATTTGCTCTTCCATTCGTCTTTCCATACCTGCTTCTTCTGCGTGACCCAAATTTGCTTTTTCTCTGGTACCCAAACTTGAACCGACTCCTCCTTCCAGACTAACTTCTTGTCGGAAACCCAAACCTGCTTCTTCTCAGTTTTCCAGATCTGTTTCCATTCAGCCTTCCATTCCAACTTCTTGTCACTGGCCCAAGCCTGCTTCTTCTCCGTTCTCCAGATCTTCTTCCATACTGGTTTCCAGATCAATTTCTTCTTCCAGAGATCGTGGCTCGTGTATTGCCAGCCATGCTGATCCTTGCCAACGTATTGTTCACCAGGAATACCGACCTTGATCCATTCAGGTACCCAGATTTTCTTCCAGTCTGGCACCTGGACTTCCTTCCATATTGGCACCTGTATTTCCTTCCACACCGGCTTCCAGACCTTCTTCCATGCAGGTACTTGAACTTCCTTCCATGCTGGCACTTGGATCTCCTTCCAGACAGGCTTCTGGACCTTCTTCCAGGCTGATACCTTAACCTCCTTCCAAGCCGGAACCTGAATCTCTTTCCACACTGGAACTTGGACCTTCTTCCATTCTTGCTTCCAAGTCAACTTCTGCTCTGTTTTCCAGATTTGCTTCCATTCCGGCTTCCATGTCAGCTTCTTCTCCCATCTTCCTTGTGGTTGAGCAGGAGGCCCGTAAGATTGAGCTGGGGGACCATAGGATTGAGATGGGGGTCCATAAGAGGAAGATACTCCTCCACCACTTCCATGATCTCCTCCAAAGGAGCCTTGATCACCTCCGTGGCCTCCGCCACTGTGATGATCACCGAAGGACCCACCACTGCTGTATCCTTGGTCGCCACCGAAGGAGCTACCATGGTCAAACGACGATGGGGCGCCGTAGGAAGAAGATGGTCCTGATGGGGCACCGTAAGAGGAAGACGGGGCACCGTAGGACGATGATGGCGCACCGTGAGAGGAAGAAGGTCCTGAGGGTGCACCGTACGAGGAAGAAGGTCCCGATGGAGCACCGTAAGACGAAGAAGGTCCGAATGATCCACCGTGAGAGGAAGATCCCGATGGTGCACCGTAAGAAGACGAAGGCAGTGGGGCGCCATAAGAATCGGACGGCGCGTTGTAAGAGCTTCCTACGTTTGGGACTCCATAAGAGGCCGATGGTGGTCCATACTGGCTTGGGGGAGGACTTAACGGAGCTCTAAAATGTACGGTGTTTTCCTTTACAATTCTGATCTCTACGTTACTAATTATTTAATTAATTATTACTTACTCTTTCTTTGTTCTGATTGGATCTCCAAGGGTGGAGACTAAAAAGAAGCAACCTAGAAGTAGCTGAAAAGAAGATCCGAATTATTTTAACCATAAAATAGATAAATGTTCGTGAAAAATGTATTGTTTACGGAAACAGAATTTGAGATCAATTGAATGCAGTAGAAAGAAAGCAAGCAGTGAACGTTACGGCCAGAAATGCAAATGAAGTAACCATGGCACGTTAGTCATCTAGGTGACTGTACCAGCTTCGTAATTACCTAGTAACACAATACTAGCTGCTAAAAATTCATAAACTACCGATAAGATCTGAAACAGCAACTTCATACACGAGCATTATACTTAATAATTAGCAGCCTGATTTCAATCTATACTTGGCCTTCGCACGTTATCCTTCCTACCATCGCCTGCCAAGGTGTTAACGTTCAGTAAGTACGACAATCAAGCTATTCTTTTATAAATATCGATCGGAACGACCTACAGGAACAGAATACGAGAACAAAGAGAGAGAATGGTATAATGGAAAATTACAAGTACCAACAGTTGATGCCTTTGGAATGATGGATAATATATCTTACGGGTTTTATGAGCTTGTCCCTCAAAAAATGAAAGTGTCCAAGCGTAAAGTAACGCGAATGGACGTAAACAAGTCCGTGAACGGGGTCGTACGTGGCTCGGTTTATTTTTCTTCCTCTTACAAGCTGAAAGAGGAAACCTCGGCTGATCGTGAAACTCGAGGTTGTTCATTAACGCTGGACCCACGCGAAAGTGGGCCTTCTCAATTTCGTTTTTTACCCCGATCCATACATGTTTCTCTCTTTTCTATTTTTCTGCCCTTTGGGCATTCGTCGATCGGTTGCTCGTTCCGCTCCTGTTGCGACGATTACCATCAGCCAAGATGTCAAGATCAAGGACCGACAAGTTTAACGAGCAGAACGTTATCTGATTTTTCATCGTATACCCTCGTTAACATGTATCGTCGTTGTCGATCTAATATAATGAACACGCGGACCGTGGACGCGTTTACGAAAGTAATACAAAAGATGAATGGAAAGTGACCCGTGGATGTTACGTTAACGATAGAAAGGGAAAAGTGTAATGTGCCGTGGTACTTTCGATGCGTTCGACGCTCTCCATCGTTAGAATTTTCATTTGCAAGAGGAATACTAACGAGGTTACATTTGACAATGTTACACGCAACACTGTGCCTTCCTGAAGGAAGATGGTCAGAAAGAAACCAGAAAAGGTAAATGGGCCTAGAAAATAAGCTTTGGTGCAGTTTCACGAGAGATGATCATTCGAGGCACGAGTACGTTGCTCGACTTTCCATTCTGCACGACGAGAATACCTACTTAGGTACAGCACCTAGAAAATAGACAACATAATTAAAATCTATCCAAGTTCCTATCATAGGTACAGGAACCAAACTTAAATTTGCCCCTAATTGAAACTCTTTCAATAACTAAGAACTGATAGCTGTTTCTATCATGGCACTGAACGTGTTAACAATCCCAACGGAACAGTTCACTACTTGATCATCGGTATCTATGACGTTATCACTCCTCCACGTGCAACAATAATCTCACAATTCACAGCAGGTGCACTTGGTACACGATTTATCGAAGAACCAAAGAGTCCATTAGAATTTAGTAAGAGGGTGGCAAGTATACTTGTTACACTGACCAGGCTAGACCGCATCTTCACAAAGGAGATGTGTGTCGTTCACACAGCGGCAGACGAGAAAAAACGGCAACTGCTGCTGCCTTCTTTTTTTTTTTTTTTTTTTTGTTACGGTTCGTCACTTTTCTGACGAATTCCTCGTGATACCGGGGCCTTTTATAGCGAACGTTCCTCCGCCTAAGCGTCTAGTCGCCCTAAGCATAGAAGACACGTCGAGGAGGGGTACCATAGAGTAGCTTCGCGATGCAATATGGGGGTCCCAACGCTACATCCTGAACTCTCTTCCTCTGGAGGGGATCTTAACTTCGCGTCGTTACTCGTCGGCCAGAAGGTAAAAGGGGCATTTAGGTGCTACCAGCGAACCTGACACGAAACGTGAATTTTTTCATAACATTGTTCCACGATCGCTTCACTTTTTTCCCACGTGTACGCTTTCGAACTGTCGTCATTAGCCGGCACCTTGAAGAACTAGAAGATCGTGTGCTTACAATAGCTCCTTCTATAAGGTAATCTGTTAATTTGCTTGAAGCAATCCAAGTAAGATCAAGTAACGCTTGATACGTTCATTGATGTTTCTTTCAATTATTAATGTCATTGTCCTCTTTATCTGGAATTAATAAAATCTGAGAAATTGTTTAAACGAGTGCACCTGTGCCCCTTCGAGGATGCAACCGGAGTGAAAGAAGAAAACAATATCCGTCAACACGAAGTTGGTTCACCAGAGAAGATAACGAATGCTGGTATTCAATCGTGAACACAAATGAGCGTTGGATGATTGTGCAGTTGTTTGCTTTCACTGATACCTACCACTGTTCGAGCATTTTATACAATTGTGTAATGCCGGGAAAGTGATTTATAAATTACCCATCAATTCGTTGAAATCAATCAATTTTCTCTTCTAGGTCACGCCTGACCCATCCTAAAACTAATTCTAGATTAGATTTACAATATAATTCATAGTAATAAGAAAAATGTACTCTCCTCGATGGACTGCAAGATATTTTGCTATAAATTCATTTTCTCACTGTTTCACAATAGGTCTCGAAGGAGCCAGTTTTCATTGTCCAAGGGTTAATACAGTCTTCCTCGCGTTTCTAATTCATTCCGGTTTTGATTTCCGTGTCGTGGTTCAGGTAGTTACGAATTCCTGGTTCAACTCGTGCGGTCTTTTAGCCCTCCGGACAAGTTTCGGGGGTCCACGTGTCTTCAACAGGATCTCGCGGGTTGCCCAACTGAATCGCCCTGGGCACCAGAACACAGATTACGCAACCATGAAGAGAAGATTAGATGCAATGTGAGAGTTGCCACGAACGAGGAATGGGAACGAAATTATCGGTCGTGCACCGTATAAAATATTAATGACCTTCAGAGCTCGCGAAATTTGCTTGCGTGCCACGGAAACCCGACGGGGATCTTCGGTTTACGGTGAAACTTTTTCACAATTTTTAGGCGGTTCGAAAGCAGCAAAAAAAGGAGAAAGAAATCGAAGAAAGAGGGAAAAAAGAAGCAAGTAGCTCGAGAAAGATAGAAGGAGAAATTGTTATCGATGACCGTCAAATCGGTGTCACGCTTATACTGAATTTGATTTACATCAATTTCCTAATTAATTTCCCCTTAAATCTTCGTATTCTAATCGGTGAATTAATCAAGCGATAGTAATTAATGTTTACGTAATACAAATGGAAATCACTTGTTAACAATAATTAAGGATTTAACGTCTTCCTTCTGGAGAGCTAATCTGAAGAAAGCAATTAGGTAGTTCACGAGTCTCTCTGGTATTTTCCAAGTTGGCCTACTGCTTCTTTCTCCTCTAACTCTTTCACAACCTCTTCCTAAGATTTAGAAAATAAATCATCGAGAAACCGATGAGCAAAATATTCGGTGTCATGGTCGTCGTGGTTTCTTTTACAATTATACAGGAATCGCTACGAAAACGAGCTTGAATTCATTATAACCATATACACAGTGACTCAACATTTGGAATATTTTATTAGTTCAAAAACACGCGACATGAATAATTATTGAAATGTGTGTAAATATACTAAACTGATGCTTCAAGTTCAAGAACAAAATAACGTCAATATAAAAGTATATGTATGCATATGTAACTAGAAATTTCTTATTTATGCTAACCCTCTAAGAATCTGCAGAAGGAAGTATTGATCACTGCAGGCTCCATAGAAGAGGAAGTTGTTTGTATCTTCCTTCCTGAAAGTACATCTAATTGCCTTAGGATGTAAGTTATATGAAAAAGGAGAAATGCATCGCAAAACATGAGTAAGAAGCTCACGAACACGAAGCTCATCGTATCGGAGGTACAAAGACTTGATTTTACCATTGGCAGAGTCACTTTGACTTTCATTTCATTCTGCTCGCGACTTCCTTCCTTCGCTGAGACATTAATCGATTTGATACCTTTCACCGAGTCATCTTCTGCTTCCGTGGCTATCAAAATGGCTCGAAATTAATACCATAGTATCTTCATGACCTTTCGATTGAAACGTATTATTCTCCATAGAACCACACGACTGGAAAAAGAAGAGAACATCGCTTCGGTATAGTTAATAATTCTTATTCATTTCCGCGGTATTAGAAATTTTAATTACGAGCGAAATGTTAAACGTCGGTTTAAATATACCGCGGTAATCTATACGTAATACATATGTATTGATTTGCTTCTATGTTCCGATAAAAGTTACTCCAATCGTATTTTTTATAGAAATCTACAGTATAATATTTCTAGTAAGAATATGAATATTTAAGTACAAAGTTCGACGATTACCGCTGAAAGTTTTACATTCATTACGTTCATGTTCGGGTCGCTTTGACTTTCTTTCAATTTAGGGTTGCAGCTGTCTTCTCCCCATTTTAAAATTCCAAAGGATAATGGCACTGCTTACTTTCACTGCGCCTGGAGCATGTACGATTGCCAATGGAGTTTGAATCATTTTACAAAACATGCGAAATCATCGTACTTCGTAATTTAAGAGCTCCTAGTTTCATAGCTACAAAAGAAAGAAGAAAAAAAGGTTCTTACGCATTCAGTTTTTATGCATTCTAAATCATGTTGAAATATATATATATATATATATATATATGATTTAATAATATCAGCATAAGATTTCTCATACTTTGTAACTTGATCAATTAAAACTGACATAACGATTATGAAACATATCATAACCAATAAGTAGAAAGTATTTAATGTACTGTCTACTTTCGACCAACGTAGAAAAGGTTAGCATTGAGACCAAGGTACACAGAATTTTTCGAGAATATACACGAAATAGATTTCACTTTTTTTACTGCTATTCTTTAAAAAACAAATTTAGAAACCCTTTTCACTACTTCCGAGAAAGTGTTTCAAATTTATGGGTTGTTTATCTTGTATGTTACGCATCGATAGGAGGTAACTTCGCGTCAAACGCGATATTTCGACGCGTGTTTTTCAAATATAACCTTAAACGGTGCGGTGAGCATTCGAATGATACAAAATTAAATAATTTGTTGATTACAGATAATGATAAATGGAGGAGAAATTCTTGAGACGTACCAGTACACCTGCAATTTATTGAAAATAATTGACATAGCAGCCAAGTAAAGCATTTTACTTATTTCAAGTCTAAAATTTCGCGCTTCGTTGTTTCTTACGATGGCCAGAAGAAACATAAAAGATCTCCCTGGTAATGTTCTGTATTTTCATTATATTTGTTTATCAATTGATCATAACTTTCTGTTTTATAATATGAGATTTCAGATGTTTATCTCGGATTTTTTTTTTAATAAAACGAAACACTTTTTTTACATCAATAGGAACTGGTTTCCATTGTGATCGATTGTCGTCTAAGATCTTTTATGATCGATGAAGATATCTAATCATCGTCAAACATCGTTAGAAGGCACGAAGTGAACAGCTGGAGAAAGTGACTTTTAACTAATCCTATTTTTAATGGCTACGTCATTCACTGACGAGAAAAGAAAAAATTTTCAGCTGGTACCAGGTATCTTTCTTTTCGAATACTCTTTAAGGATCTATACTTTCAACCATTTCTATACAAGAAAATGCTTATTGAGGATCTTAAACGATTTTTATAACCTTATTTATGAGAACGTGAGGTTATTTATTACTCGTACGCATTCATATTTATTTGTCGCGGAGGAGAAAGGTCTACAGAACGATTACAATATCATGTAACGTTATGGTAAAGGAAGTAAGAGTAACTTGATTGATTTACAATGACTTCTATATGTACAATATCTTATAAATTTACGAATAATTTTTTCATATCAATTTTGTATCAAAGCACATAATAGTCAGGGCCGGCCCTGAGATTTCGGGGGTCTAAGGCAAGCTCCGAAAAAGGGCCCTAGCTCAAATAAAATTTATAAAATTAACATTAGTGCGTGTATAACTAATTTAGACTTGCATTTGCATCGATTAATATTCAAGTAAACATTACTCTTCTTGCATTCTTATTGTTAGACGCAAAATCGTCTGCCTAAGCTCAGGACCAGATAATAGTCTATAAAAAATTGTTGTAGGTGAGAAAGTTCTTGATCTAACTAGGAAGCTCGATTCAAAATGACTACCGAGCGTTAGTTTCCTACACGTTAGAAGTTTCTGCGGGCGATTCTGCTGGCAGCTTGTGCAATCGATCAACCTGCTCGTTGCGTACACGTGTAGTTGGCCACATTTGTAACATTGTACAGGAATTCTTCATTACATGACTTCTTCGACCCGATTCCTTGACCTCACGATTCCGATGTCTGGTTTTTTCGTCTTACCTTTGAATTTCAAAGATCGTAAATCGGTTTCGTAAGTTTCACGGTAAAAGTAATGTCCAAATTTAACTCTTTTTTTTTTTTCCTTTTTCATTTCAAGTACTTTAATGTGGATGCAAAACTGACAGAGAAAGTTTTCTAATTTTTTTACAGGTAGGAAGTATGAAAAATTAAGGAAAGAGAAGTAATTTGAACGAGAGAGGATTCGTCCGTAATTTCGGATTAATTTGCAGAACGCATGAGAGGCGTTAAAAAGGAAAAATGTATGCGAATGAAAGTAACATCTTTCTGTACGTCTTAATGAGTCGTGTTTACATGAAAGTCTTAAACGTCTTCCGGCATGGCAGTCGCATCAAGCTAAGGTTTGTTTCACGATTACTGTTGTGATAGGGCTAGCCATAATGATCGAAGGAAACAACTCTAAAATATTCACGCCGACAGCTCTTCCGGTTTGTCGTTTTCGACCCGGAGGATATACTGTTATGGCTTTTCTGTAAATGATTTCTTATATGTATGTCGTATAACAAGTATTAATCAATAAGGTATATTTAACACCGAATACTAGAAGTGATTTGATGATGTTTATTACAGATTCAACGAACACTGTTTGAGTAAATATTTCTGTCACTTTTTATCGCGCATAAAGCAATAGGATTAGGATAAACTAGTCGCAGCTTTTGTTTCTTTGGAGGCGTGTCTGTGGAAATATACGATACCAATCTGTTCCACGCCATTCGTCTGCTAAGGTAAACTAACTTCGGTCATTAAAATTCGCCAAAAATACACGATCGATGCTGTTTCGTGTTTTCGGAAATTAAATTTCACTGCTGACATATCCGTTTAACAAACTTTATTCCTTTTCAAATATATTTAAACTTATCTTTATGGTACCATTTCTTCTTTTTCTTTTTAATATTCTAATCTATCTAATATTAAAAGAAATTTTTTCTTTTGCATGTAGAACGTTAGTCGTTACGAATTTGTAACCTTTCCTTAGGAAGGTTGTATCGTCAAACTGTTATATAATTATATTATATAATTAGGAATACAAGGTACAAAAAACGTGTTAGAAACTCTTGATATTATTTGTACGCAATAACGACTCAACAACTATGTACAATAAGCGCGTACCACGATTTTGCATTTGTATGAATAGCCAAATAGCCACGTGAGCAGCAAGGCGATTCGACTGAAATTACAACATTTACAGTCTGTCTTTTCCTAAACTATTGGTCAGTAGTAAATGTTGGTAACACAAGAAAGTGTCCCTACCGATGAATTTACGAATTTATTCAAAATTTTTTGTATCATAAATCGGTAAGAAACTGTCGGATTCATTTGTAAAACGAAAGAGAGAAGATAAATATTTGATCAGTATAGCTGTGTAGGATGAGAAAGAAAAAGTGTCGTTCCCTTCCAGGGGTTACGTAAAACACGCAAGTGGAATACTTTTTCGAAAACGCGTAATGGAGAATCCGTGTATAAGTTGCATTTCGTTAAGTGAACAAAGGCTGTAATTAATTTTTATTTTGCATATTCATACAACGTCGCGTCCCACCCCTGCTCTCACCCTTAATTCGATTCTGAAAGAATCGACATTTATGCTTAAGCGACCTTGTTCGAAAAGCCGCGGAGTTAGTTCTTCCTCGCGCTCGTTCATCGCTTTGTCCCTCATTATCGTCTGTTCCTCATTATCTCGATCGTCGCATCCTGTCGGCTATTATTTCTATTATTTCTATTATCTTTATTACTTGAACTCATCCGAACAGAACATTCATGATTTGATCGATCTTTCTAATTGTACACCGGCGTCGATATGTAATTGGTCTTGTCAATGAACCTACGTTATCTCGTTTCGAAGGTTCGTTATTAAAGGCCACTTGCCTGGATCGATGAAATTATATCTTTGTCGGTTGAACTTTCACGGTGTAGAAATGAATGATTGCTTCTTATATAAGAGGATGATTTTTTGTTTGATACTGACATGGAATTCGGATGAAATTGTTTGCTTTTTCCTGAAGATAATCCTACACCTGGCTTATATAATGATAATTACTTTCAATTTGTAAGTATAGACACAGTCAAATCAAGTTGTGCAACACGAAAAGATCCTGTTCAACCTGAGGGTAGTTGCTTTTTATGTTGCTAAAGAATACTGTAAGTTATTTACCCATAATTCTGAAAACTGATGCGTCTAATTTCACTCCTTTTCCTTTGTTTCAGTAATTATGTTCATGCTGAGGGAAAACCTACAGCAAATACGTGACAAAGCATCAAACGTTCAGCCATCTCGTGCATACCAATTTCAGGAATCACATAATCTACAATCGCTAACGCGTGAAAGCGTGTTTCGTCGGGTCAATTGATCGATTGATATTGTCTTAGAGAATACCAACAGCGAAGGCATACGAGGAAGCAATTGACAAATCGACTTAGGTTCAGTTTCTTTTATTTCAACTTCAAAACTGAAACTAGATTAAAATTAAATTTTTCTAACGTTTTGATTGTACCGTTTTATTCGTCCACCTGTGTGTGTGTGTGGCAAACATTGAGAAATATATATTTCTTTTTAATCGTGCTTCAACGACGAATACTCGAGCGATGACGATGTCACTTTCTCCGTTGTAACTATTTTTCACTTTCAACGTACGTACGCGTTCAATGCGCGATAGAGAGCATTTCTCCGTTGTTAAGTATCAATTTATTCAAAGTAATAATTATGGTATCAATTACCATTAACTTCGATCGTTACCATCGCTCTCTTTCCAGAGAAAATTACTTATCTAGCTGCTTGACACTGCTTGACACTTCAATTTCTTAATCGTTCAATCGTGAACATTGATTAGATTTGTCCGCTAAACAAGCAATTCAATTATTAGCCAACCCGTATCTAAGATTGAAAATCTTGATACCATTTAGACTTTCTGTCACTTTTGTACAGGCCAAACGGTAAGAGTTGACGAAAAAAGAGTTTTCGCCATTGTATTTAGTGGGTGAAAATCTCAACGAATAGCCGAAAAAGGGTTGGCTCTAGAGCGAATCTCGCTCCAGTTCACTTTAGCTTGTTAAGTACATTGTCTGTGTTTCAGAGACAGTGATACGAAGAAAAGAATCATTCAAACATACTTGCACTGGTTCGCATTGCAATAGGTAGGAAGATTGAAGCTTCAGACTACACGATAAAAGATGTTCGTGACTAGGATCTTTATAACGATACATACCGTGCTACATTTCCTCAACTTCGTAGCACAACCAATTGCGTAATCTGTTACACGCATCGATCATGTTGTAAAAGACTGGCTAGATATAGTAGACACGTACCTCTAATCCTAGTTTTCTAACGGAAGTCAAGTAAATATAAACGAATTTTAATTGAACGGTGAGGTCGAGTGTGTTTAAAGTATTCTTCACTGTGATTTTCCCCGTCGCAGTCATCAGGGACACACCGGTGGTTGTCGAAATTTTGCGAAAAACATGCAATTTTATCAACTTGTTTCTGGGAATGATCATTTAACCGCGATTTCTCTTTTTCAAGACAATCGGAGACAGTGACAAAAATAAGCTTGCTTCTGAAGGAAACGGTAGTCTATTTATTTAATTGTTACCCAGCGATTCTGAAAGTAAGAAAGGGTCTCGCACACTGTATTTGCCTTTGATTACACATTTCTTGAAGTACCTACTTCTTTAATTAATACATTTAATAAGTAGGTCGTTCTTGAAATATCCTTCTTCACTTTTTGTCTTCTTCACTTTTTCAGGGGACCTGATGCACACGATTGAAATTACTTTGTTAGAAAATATGTTTGATGAATTTGAAGTATGAAGAGGAAAGAATTATTTCTCAGGCAGGAAAAAGGTAATAAAATTTCACTGGTACAAAGATGAACGTGTTAATTGGTGCTCGGTTTGTCTCGTTGTTCACTTTCCCGATGTATGTATGTTGCTCGTTCGACGTCGCGAGAAAGATCGTGGAGATAATGGATAAAGTGAAAACGTACCTTTCGCAATTATTCCCAAATACTTTTCTCGCTCTCATTTATATAATATAGCGTGAATAATTCGACTGGAAGTCGTTCATCCTCGGAATCGTTAAAATTTGTACATGTAAATAAGGAACTAGCAAGATTAAACAACAATTACTGACGGATGAAAAGACTTCTATATCTCGTTATTAACACGTTAAATTTTTAGCAATCTAATGTCTAATTAGATAACTTTAATCTTTAGCAATCTAATGTCTCCAGGTACTAAAGTCAGTGTACAAAACAGCATCGAAAGATATTTGAAGAATTTCGTCGTGGTGGAGAAACGAAATTCCATGGAGAGGAGATCTTTAACCAGCAGTGAATTATTCATTGATCGTATCAATAGTTTCCAGCCTCGGCGAATCTACGTTCACATTCCAGAATCATGGCACAGAAACGAAGCAGTTCCTGTTCTGTCGGTTCTAGCAAAGTGGCACGATTACATCAATGTCACCAAAACCGAGAAACAGACGGATTCTTCAAGTTTTTTTCGGGAATTCACCATGAATTTGACCTTCCTCCTTGAGACTTGATTTCACGAACAACTCATTTATATGCGCATGTAGTCGTCATAATCGACCATTCCCCTCGTCCAAACAGATCAATGATTTTTCATTATCACTTCCGTTAGCCAATCGATGTCAACGATCTATCCGTGAAAATCAACGAAGGTGTTCAAGGTGTTTGGAAACTTGGGGAAATTGTCATTTCAAATGAAACAAATTAATAAGAATCAATTAAATATGTCGAAGTCTTCTGATTGCAACAGATTGAGACATCAACGAATGGGGAATTTTTGAACGCAAGAATTAATCAATCCCTGTGTATCTAATCGATCGCTCTCTAATGAAAGATAAGGCTATCCTGTTCAGAATAACACTGTTTAACATTTTACGCTCTGTCGACAACGACGTCGTACTTATACGGCTTTAGCAATAAATGAATGCATATTTAAAAAAAAAAGCGAACCAACCCTGAGCATCGCCAAAGCAATTGCAAATAAAATTATTCGAAGACGGTTCGGAGTTAGATCTTCACAAATATGGACACTACACTTGAGCTGGAGAAAGCTACGGTAGAATTGATTAGTAAAAGTTTTTCCTTGAATTTTCTTCAGACAAGGATATTGAATATTTTCGAGATACATAAGTACGTTCCAGTATTATAAAATAATCATACAATTGCTTTCTTATCGTTTCTATATGCATATCTACCGTTTTGTTTTCTATTATATGATTATAGACGGAGTACAGCCGATATTTAAGAAGATCTTCAAAAATGATACAAAGTTTGTTCAGATACATTTAAACAAGCAGATTGTACCCGTGTTTGATTTTTTTCCCACTAGGATTAGACCATTGTCATTGATCACCTAAGAAGATTATGAATTTTTCAGTAAAAAAAAAAAAAAAATATGTTCGAGTGCTTTAATTTAAACAGCTTTTTAGATATCAGCGTTTATATAATCAAGACAATTGTATATGTGACGAAGCATATACTTGTATTATCAATACGATAAATAAGAACGAGCGGGACGAGTTAATGTAGACAGACCGAGGATTGTAAAGTGTTGATGTTTAGTCTTTGATCGACTGTCATTCTGGCAACAATTATGAGGTTCTTGATACTCATTCTCGTGGCCCTTTGCTTTACCTCTAAATCCTTAGGTGAGTATTACAAATATAACAACTTTTTTATGTTTAAAAAAATAATCTTTACTTACCTAATGTCTTAGATAATTAGCAAAATTTAATAAGAAACTCGAAATATTATTTCTAAAGGAATTGGAGTTCTAAATACGTAAATCGGACGTCTCAGAGATGAAAGATTATTATGCAAAATTCATCTGTACGAAAGACATTTTAGTGAAATTCCTAATAGATAAGAAATTCAAAGAATGAGATCAGTATTATCCTGTGAAAAAGTTTCTTTCTTTGTATTTGCTTTGTCACATCCTAAAAACTTAGCAAATATACTTAGGCATCCCTCTTAAACGCTCATCGCTTACGCTACTAGTCTTTTGCAACGAGAAGTGCACGTATTAAAAATCGTATCTTTTATTACAGCAAAGAAAGGATTTGGTCCTGGGGAACAAGAATGGGGATACGTGACGGTTCGTCCGAATGCAAACATGTTCTGGTGGCTGTATTACACCACTGCAAATGTTCAATCCTACTATGAAAAGCCACTGGTTATTTGGCTGCAAGGTGGACCAGGTTCATCGTCCACCTCTTATGGAAATTTCGAAGAACTTGGACCTCTGGACGTCGACTTAAAACCAAGAAATTACACTTGGGTAGGGAAACGCAGCTAATCTCAACGTGTCAGTTAGATCCATCGATAAAACGTTCAATCTCTTCTTTGTCTGTTCTCAATTTAATTACACTAACTTTATCGCGTTTTTTTCAATCTTGATATCGTTATCGACAAAATAAATCCAAGATTCTTTTATTCGTAGGTTAAAGATTACAATGTTCTTTTCATCGATAATCCAGTGGGGACTGGCTACAGTTACACCACATCACCGTCAGCATACGCGACGACGAATGCACAAATTGCAAACGATCTTTTAGAATGCATGAAAGGATTTATAAAGGAGCTACCACGGTTTTCAAATGTACCTACATATATTACCACCGAATCGTATGGAGGAAAAATGGGGGCGGAATTTGCCCTTACCTGGTATAAGGTAAAATACAATTAAATGTTCGTTTAGAAACGCTAACAGTTTTTTTGTGGAATTTCCTTCCCGTGCGCGACCGAAGATTCGTCTCGTATTTTCCACTAGGACGGCCACGTCGATATGTACCATTTTTATGGTACAATTTATACCTTTCCGAAATGCAAAGTTAACTAATGAATACAATCATTTTAAAAGGTGCGGCCCTCCGCTAACCTCCGCTTCCACAAAGTGGCCCCTGGTTTAGATTCAATTTTTACAACATCCGGTTCATTGTTGGCATTTTTGAATCGCAGGCTCAGCAGGCAGGAAGCATTCAGAGTAACTTGAAAGGCGTTGCTCTCGGTGATGCTTGGATCTCCCCCATTGATTCAGTGATGACTTGGGCACCATTTTTACAAGCCACGGTACGATAATCGTTTAATTGTATTCTCGTACAACGAACTGTATTATTACACGAAAGGAAAATATTTTCACAGGGTATGATCGACCGCGCCGGTTACGAAAAAATCGACCAAGCGGCTCAGATGACGAAGCGAGCTGTAGAACGGGGCACGTGGAAGACAGCAACCGTTTTATGGGCAAATACGCAGAATGCAATTTTTGATGTTACCGGCAATATCGACTTCTACAACATCTTGACGAAAATGACATCCACTTATACACGTATCCCCAATATAGAGAAATTTTTAACCGACCCAATGTCCGTCAGCAGTACGTATTCCTCTTTGCCTTTGATCCTATAGTAGTAATGTCAATTGAAGATCGTTTATTGTATTTGTATGAAAATTGCAGACGGTTCCGTATTCGGTAGTAATTCTTTAAAAGAATTGATGAATGGTCCCGTGAAAGAGGATCTTGACTTACCCGTCGATCATGGTAAACAATCCAATACTGTGTTCGCCAACTTATCGGAAGACTTTATGAAACCTGTTATTGATAAAGGTACTTCTAAATTGAAGGTTTCAGATGTAACGTACAAAAGAGCGGTAATTATTTTAATTATTTTTGAATACTAGTGGAGCAGCTGCTGAATCAGACTGACTTGAAAGTGGTGGTGCTGACTGGTCACATGGATCTTATAGTTGACACTCCAGGTAACTTGTGTCTATCATCGTAAATCAACTTCAGAATAAATTTTTTTCATTTACCTTTTCATTTTTAAGACATAAGCCAGCAAGCTACTCATCTGATTTGCAAATATTTTCTACTACTTTCAAGGAACTATAATTTCTATTGGTGTAATGTTTAGGTACCATTAACTGGGTTGAAAAACTAAAGTGGAAGGACGCCACTGCCTGGAACAATGCAAAGAGAGTTCCAATGGTTGTAAATAATATCATCGAGGGCTACTCGAAGTCTCAGGGTAATTTCGCGTTATACTGGGTGGACAGAGCTGGGCACATGGTAAACAAAATTCATTAAATTCTTCTTAAAGATTACCTCCAGTTTCTTTACAATGATTATTCGATTCCACAGGTACCAAAGGACAATCCTAATGGAATGGCACAAATACTGAAAGATTTCGCTAATTAATGCCCTCTGCAGTTTGATTACATCAATTTTAGAAGACAAATAAAGGCATCGTTCAAATAATCTTCCTGACGCAAAATTTTGTTTCGTGTTATTCGACGACGTAGGATTTCAACGGTAATTACAATCGCGTTCTCCGTTTCCCGAGCTAGTCGCGGCGGTCGCTGCTTCTCGTTACTTCCAAGAAAATTCACCGGTCACGAGGGCGGGTAAGTTTATTTTTTGCGATTTATTTGGGGGGGGGGGCCAAAGACCAAGCCTCGGCGAAACGGTTTACCCGAAACGCGGATCTGCGGCAGTCTGTGAATTTTCCCACACTCGTAAAACGTCGCAAAGGCAACAATCTGAAACCGGCCGGGCAACCGACAGACGCCTGCCGATTTTGTCAATAAGGAACGATTGTTTAGATTCAACCGGGTACGAGGCAGTAAAACGAAACGATCTGCAAACAGGTCCGTCTGTGTTCACGAAGCCTTTTCAACCAATGAAGAGGTAAAGGCTTCTGCGGTTAGCCAATGCGGATCCACGACGAACGTGTCAACTAATATAATTTTTACATTTCTTCATTAAAAACAGCGTAATCGTTCGTTAAGATCAGCCGTTAGGTTGGATCGTTAAAATACACAAGTGACTTTCTTTCGGAACGAAGATTATTTTTACCATCTGTTTTAGCTTCTCCGAATGTTTTTCTTACTTACACCTTCAGAATGATTTAAGGAACGCAAAACAGGGGCGCAGGATTAACGCGTCGAAGACAATTTTGGCTGTTTTTCGAAGAACATTCCGAGGATGTTCCAAAACGACCCAAGTACTTTTCGTTTGAATATGTGAACGAAATCCGTCGGTTCCTTCCGCCGTCAAGACCGCGGTGATTTGTTTCTTAATATTTCAAGATGGAACCAGCCTCGAAGGACGGCAGTAGGAACGGTGTGCAAACAAATAACCACGTTTCTTCCCTCGTCTCTTCATCTCTCCCCACGTTTCATCATCAAAAGCTTCAGCTTCTCATCTTTGAAAACACAGTTAAAAATGTGGACAGTGGAGACAATCGTACGTGTGGATATCACTTCAAAAATATCCTGGAATTCTAATCAACTGGATGAACTAACAAACAATAATCATGGGATAAAATTAACTAATAAAGTTTCCAGAAGAAAGATCAATTTTCACTGTATTCGGTATAAGAATACAAATATATTTGAATTAAAAATATTCTATTAGCTATAAAATATTAGTAAAGAAAGCTTTAAATATTAATATGTTATTTAACAAATTTGGTAGGTCTTCCTTTGGTTATTCCTTTCAATATTGCACTGATAATTCAATTACATTAACGAAATATACGTTTTTCAATTTTCAATCTTCCAAAGTCATTGCTCTGGATATTTTTCCAAAGTGAAAGTCACCCCGTCCGCGAGGGGAGCCCCATCTCGAAGAGGAAGACAAGAGCGGTTCCAAGAAGCGGCACAGTTTCGGTATAATTACCGCAACTTTGTTTACGTATCGGCTCGTTTACTGCCGGCCGTGGGTGTTGGGACAGCATATGTGTAAACAGCAATAAAACATGTACCACGGTCCCGGATAGGTAACCCACGCCTCCCTCGCGTGGTTACGCGCAAACGGCAATTCTCCGGAAAGCCGCGATGGGCGGAGCTGGACCATCCTCTAGTAGATCCTCGTGTCAAATTAAACACCCTTCGTTAGAGAATTCCTCTAACCGACCGCAAATCTTACTCAGTCCTCGACGAACCAGAATCTGGACTACTTCGATGCGGTTTAACGCTCTTCTCTCCATCAAAGTTTTCCATCGATTCATTTCATTAAAAATCGCACGTTTGCAATAGAAGAATACTGCTGGGAGCATTTCAGTAAGAGATTCTCCTAGAACGTGGGACCGGGAACAGCCCAATTTAAACTATGTTTGTTAAAGAGATAGTGTCTGCGATTAGTTTTGTTTAATCCATCAACAGTTTCAACGTAAGAGGAAAGATGTAGAATTACATAGTGCAAGTGAAATCAGAATTTGCAACGTGAATTTAAATATCGAGCGCAGTTACAATGGATTCGAATGTCCAAGATCATCCCTGTAGCGTGTCCAAAGCGTACGGATGTGACTTATGGAGAAGCTATGAATTATGGAATATGGATGAAGTCTTTCCTACGATGTGCCCTTTGCCAAGTTACTACAACCTGGTGCCCAGTATGGTGAACTCGAGGAACGTACCCCTTTCGTGGGGCCTCCCTCTGATGAGATACAAGCCGCAGCCTCGTTACGAGAAACCACCGTACTCTTACATAGCTCTGATAGCCATGGCTATCAATTCTTCGCCTAAACAAAGACTGACCTTGTCGGGCATTTACAGATTCATTATGGACAGGTTTCCTTACTACAGGGAGAATCGTCAGGGATGGCAGAATAGTATCAGACACAATCTCAGCTTGAACGATTGTTTTGTTAAGATACCAAGAGACAAAGTGGTTGGTAACGGTAACGAGGAAGATCAGGCTGGAAAAGGTAGCTACTGGACCTTAGACCCCTCTGCTAGTGGGATGTTTGAACACGGTAATTACAGAAGAAGAAGAATGAGAAGACAACGAGGAATCGTGCAAGGTAAACAGGAACAGGATCGCGCGATCGTCTCGGTAAGAGGAAAAAAATAAATAGGACTCTGATGAAGAGATTATAATTGTCTGTGATGATTCTAGGTATCATCGAAGCTTTTGACCAATTTCAAGCACCAAGAAAGAAACGAGAAAGCAACTGAAATGATTGAGACAAAAGACAGCAAGGATAACTCACGAAATATGAAAAAATACAGTGAATCAATGTTCACTATTGAAAATATACTACGAAAATCTACGAATTAGGTTTAACGCGTTAACATTTACTTCGACAAGATTTATAATTTATTTTCAATCAGTTAATTAACGATAAGATTAATTAGATAGGAGCAAGAAGTTGGTGAAATTATTTGTAAATAAAAGAGATACTGCTTGTTTATTATAAAAATCTTTTCATATTTTTATTTATAGATAGAGATATTGCGTACAAAGATTAAAATGCTCTTCAACGTTTAATCTAAAACGTTGTAATACAATATGTATGAAATGATGTATTAGGAAGACATTTTTATGCAAGAATCATTTCAACAATCTTGTGCCATTTATTAACGACTAAAACATTTGATCTTATAAATTAATTTCTTTTTCACTGTCCTCTTTGGAGGATCTTTGGATTATCTGAAGTAAACTTGGAACTTAGAACTTAGTTTGATTATGTCATGATACAAACAGATCAATGGTTTCAGTGGAATTAAACAATACACCTAGTATAAAAATTCATTATGAATCACTATTTTTAATATATGTACATATTTCAAGTTAGGTGTCTCTCTATATTTAATTTTATTACTTGGAAAGTTTATTTAGTGCAATAAGTATATATTAATTATCACTGTCTCGTAGAGACATAGAATGTATTTTCAAAATGCATCGAGTTTTATTACAGGTAACAAATGATTTTAAGCATTTGGATTTTTCCTCATTAATTCCAAATCAGAATCCATCATGTCTTTCACGAGATCCTAAAATAATATTATTTATTATCAAACTGATAAGAGTAATAATACATAGATACAGAGTGTTCCGTTACGGGTGGGCATCCTTTGAGGGGGCGGCAATTGGGGTGAGTCAAAGTTGAAGCTACCGTCTCCCCAAGGAATGCCCACCCGTCAAACACCTTTATAAGAGATAGTAACTGATGAAAAATACCTCAAATGTAACCGTAGGTTTCCAACCTATTTTTTCCTTTGCTTTAGTAGCATCACCTAAAAGTACATCCTATGCAAACAAAAAATGGTAAATATTTATTATTCGTACGAAAAAGTGCAGTACAATATAATTTTTTATAAAGGATGTTGATGCTCACTACTTCTGTTGGACGGAAATATTTAGGGTTTACTTTAACTAAAACTTTTCCTGTCTCTGCATCTTGTCCTGTCTCATTCACACCCTCCCCTTGCCATTTAATTGTACGACCTACATAGTGGAAAGCATCTTCCACAAATTCTCTAACGCTATGCGTTTCTCCTGTTGCTATAACATAATCATCTGGATTTGATTGTTGTAACATTAGCCACATTGCCTAGAAAGTATTTGAGTTTAGGACTATTTCTTCGTTTCTACTACCATAAACAACAAATACCAGACATGTATTTCTTACCTCAACATAATCTTTTGCATGTCCCCAGTCTCGTTTAGCATCTAAATTTCCTAATTCAAGAAAATCTTGTAAACCTAACTGTATTTTTGCTATAGACCTAGTCACCTTTCTGGTAACAAAATTCTCTCCTCTACGAGGACTTTCATGATTGAATAATATTCCATTACATGCAAACATATCGTATGCTTCTCTATAATTGACTACAATCCAAAAGCTGTACAATTTTGCGCAAGCTGTAATTTTAAATACCATTGTTATACATACATATAGAACTTGAACCAGACTTAATTAATGAACTCGTGTAATTACCATATGGAGAACGAGGGTAAAATGGAGTTTTTTCATTCTGAGGCACTTGTGTTACTCTACCATAAAGCTCAGATGTTGATGCATGATAAAATTTGACAGACTTTTCAAGGCCGCAAGTACGTATAGCATCTAATAATCTAACTGTTCCTACTGCATCTACTTCAGCAGTGTATTCGCTTACTTCAAAACTGACCTATAATAAAAAGATTAATATTATAGTTAATGTAAGAAAATGGCTAAGCTCTTGTAAATTTACAAATTAACAAAATAACATGTACCATAACATGACTTTGAGCAGCAAGATTATAAATTTCTGTTGGCTGCACAGAGCTAATTACTTTAACTAAACTACTGGAATCTGTCATATCACCATAATGTAACTTCATTTTACCCTGACGATGACATTTTGGATCTGCATAAAGATGCTGAATTCGAGCAGTATTGAAAGAACTAGCTCGCCTAATTATTCCATGAACATCGTATCCTTTCTCCAATAAAAATTCTGCTAAATAGGAACCATCCTAGAAAAAACATACATCAATAATAAATGTTCCATGAATTAAAAACCACTTCTTTTACAATAAATATTACTTTATATTATTAGAATAATTTAATTAATGTGTTGCCACGTAGCAACATACGCCCACGACAAATTTAATGTTTTTACAAAGATGTCAACAAAGTATGAAATGTCAATCTTACTTGTCCGGTAATACCAGTAATTAACGCAACTCGTCGCTCGTCACCGGTTGCCATTTCGATGTGTTGTCAGAAAACTTTTTTCTCTAAGATTTCTTTCAATTTTATCAATTAGAGCGAGTGTTATCAATAGTGATAAAATGACACGTTAGATAGTTCGATCTGTTTCACTATTCGTTTATCATACTACTACTTGAAACTATAAATACATATATATACACATGCATACACATTCATGAGACTAAACGTAACACTAATGGAGATCTAAGATCTCGTTTTAAATTATTCATTTATTCAATTGCTTTTAATATACACAATCGTAAATTATTTTTCTAACTTATAACATGCAATTTGAGTTTATTATTTTTAATTTCTCATAAAGGTATAGATACAATCATGTGTGTAGGACTTAACATGTTTATGCATGAGCATGAGATGCTATACACATCGCGTTGCCATTTTAATCGCAAAGTGTAGTGTCATTGACGGTAGTAGAAGAATAAAATTTAATTTTTAAAGTAACATAAAGAAAAATGACTTTTATAAGTGAAAATCCAGGTCGATCACTGCCTGATTATGAAACTCAGGCAGCAAAAATGAAAAGTTTCAGCCCCTATGCTGATAATGGAGGGTAAATTTTAAATATAACCTACAATTTTTTTTTTTAACAGTCATTGGTGTAGATATAAGAATTTTGTTGTTATTGCAGGAGTGTTATAGCTCTTGCAGGAGATGAATTCTGTGTGATAGCAGCGGACACACGTCTTAGTACAGGTTTTTCGATTTATACACGGGAACAGCAAAAACTGTTTCCATTGTCAAACAAAACTATTTTAGGATGTTCTGGTTGCTGGTGTGATACTCTCACTTTAACTCGATTGTTGTCTGCTAGAATGCAGGTGAAAACAATTGAAATTATCCTTTCTGTATCACTGAATTCATAATAATATATTTATCACAATTGTAATTGCTTATAAATTTATTCTGTTTATGATAGATGTATGAACACGAGCATCAAAAAGAAATGCCAACACCAGCAGTAGCTCAAATGTTGTCAACAATGTTATACTATAAACGTTTCTTCCCATATTATGTTAGTAATATTCTTGGTGGATTAGATGAGAAAGGTAACGGATGTGTCTACAGTTATGATCCGATCGGACACTGTGAAGTAACAAAGTATAGAGCAAGTGGTTCTGCTGGGGCACTTTTACAGCCCCTTCTTGATAATCAGGTATTAAAAGCTCATTATCATCAAATTATATTTCATACTATAATTTAATATTAAATATTTTCAGGTTGGATATAAAAATCAGGAAGGTGTTGAACCAGTTCCTTTGACAGAAGAAAGAGCCATTGCAATTATAAAAGATGTATTTACTTCAGCAGCAGAAAGAGATATTTATACAGGTGATTCTATAACTATTAAAGTTATCACAAAAGATGGTGTAAAAGATTTAAGTTTTGGATTAAGAAAAGATTAATGAGATGGGATGAAAATAATGTATTATTAAATTTCTATACCAATAAAATTAATACTAACCGGTATAATTAATATTTATTTAATAATTTACTTTTATGTACAGCTACCGTGATTTATATTGTTACATTATGCATTAGATTGAGTGTATATGTGTATAAATGCTACCAAATTAATGATTTATATGCATACACATATTGACAACCTTCCATTTCTGTTTACATTAATACTATTTTATCTAGCCTACATTAATCAAACTTAAAAATTAATCGTGAATATCTTTTAGCAGGAGTAATTGAATCTATCGAAGAGAAAAAAAAAAATATAAGAAAACTCTGTATAAAGATAGTTTAATAACTTCCCATTTTAGAACTAAGTACTTCTAACTTTTTCAAAATTAAATAAAGACGTATTTCTTGTATTTTATACATGAAGGCATACTATAAGAATCTATTTTATTATACACAATAATATATTTAATAAAATAGTATTTTATTTTAACGTATATAATAAAGTAACCAAAGGTAAAGGAGGTGGAAATAGTTGATGTTCTCAATCCTACAATTTTTTTTGCAGTTCTGTTTAGGGAACAATATATAAGGATAAGAAGTAGAGTGATTTTTCCTGAGATTCATTTTTTCGCCCCAGGTGCTGTTAAAGGTTTACCACGATCTTTTCCACGTAATTTTATTCCCAATACTCGTTCAATTTTACCAATCACCATTTGATTTGGAATTCCACGACCTGCTTCATAGTCATTGATAACTTGTGCCTTTTCATTTACTTTCTATACAATAGAAAACAAATTATTTTGTAAGTAAAAGACGCTTAACTATTTAAATTATTTAAATAATCAATAATATACCGTTGCAAGATCTTTCTGAGACAATCCTTTATTCTGTCGTCCCTGTTGAATTAATTTACCAAGATCAAGTGGAATTTTGTCATGTTTAAGTTCTTCGGTTTCTCTGTCTAATTTAGCGGTATTTTTAGTTGCTACATGCTGCCTGTTTGTTCCACCACCCCCTAATAGAAAACCATATATTCTTTATGGTATTTGTGCAAAATAACATTGTTTGCACGCGATACATTTGTAATAAAACCAAAATGATAAGAAGTTATTAAGGTTACAATATTGTGCAATACACCACCATAATCTTCACAATGTTCAACACACAACAGAAATGATTTTACACAATAAAAACTAAGAAATTTAAGGAAAACGTAAATAAATATCTAAATGTAATCAATTCTGCTTACATTTTGCTTGTGTTTCAATGACAAATCCTTGACGACGTGCAGCATTCACCGCCTGTAAATAAACACAATTACACAATCGCAGATACAAGAATCATCTAAAACAAAATACACTGAAATACATTTTAAAATGTTACCTGTTCCGATTTGAGTACAGAAGCTTTTGGAGGACGTTTTCGCAGAGTAATAGGAGCAGTGTCCCAATCTGACATAATGGAACAACTTGACTATGTCAATAGAAAAACGAAAATTATAGTATCAGAGTTGCCGTACGATACAGTAACTTTTATTCACTATTACACTTGCTGCTTCCACTCTTCCAGTAATTTCTCTCTACGTTCCAAAAAGCACGATTTAACGTACATACAGTGCCAAAATCGACCCACATGTAACTTTGTCCAATTTCATGCAAACTTTCTTTCAATGTATTATTGGAATATATCATTCAATTTCAGTTACATAACTAAAAAGATGTACTTCAGTGTTACTCAATATCCTAATGTTTCTACTTCTTATACAAACCAATACATTAAACCTAAATATAATTGATTTTTTATACTTATAAGATGTGAACGAATAACCGCGATGTTTAAAATTATGATAAACATGTTATTTAAAATTATAGTTTAGTTTTTTCAGAAATTATCTTTATTTTTGATAAATTAAATGTAATAAAAGCATCGTGATCGTTTATTTCTATTCAATTCACAATTGAACATTTTTGTAAATTACAACTGATATTTTTTTAATCATTTTTAACGTTTACACACATTTAATTAAAAAAAAAAAAAATGATTGTACATTCATTTAAATAAGGAATAGTCGCTCAATCATGATTATTTAACAAGATTTTTCTAATCTATCCAACATGTTTGTAATAAATGCGTCGCCAGTCGTAGTAGTTTGTTTTCTTATGACATGTGCATGACCTGCTAAATCGCACTGTTTCGTATTTTGTATTGATAATTTGGAATAAGGATTTATTTGAAATATATTTGAAACAAATGAAAAATGTCTTTCATTAGGACACTTTGGAAATGTACATTTAGCCCTAGGCTTTTCAAAATTTATGAAATAACATGGATTGGTCGTTTAGTAGATGTAAGTATGAACAATTACACGAGTCTTGTTAATTTTGACATACTTTAGGTTATATTTTTTTCAATTTATTGCAGAAATCTTACGAACCTAATAGTATAGAACGATGGGGTGATCAAATCGTAATTTGTGTGAGTATTTTTTTCAAATGAAAGAAAGTAATAATATGTAGTACCTTGGTTTGAGAGGCAAGGTTTGATGTTATTACCCATTGATCACAGTAAACACATTAATAAATTTATTTCAGTTTGCAGCAATTTGGTCCATAAGCCTGTATACTATACCACTAGTTGCCATTTTCTTCTATCAACGTAATAGTTCATTATCCGATAATATTTACTCTTTGAGTAAATTAGTTGTTGGTGCCGGTGCAATTTTTATTGCATCACTGATTGCACGTAGTTGTTCAAGAGCTAATAATCCAGTGTATTTAAAATTTCTAAAAACACTAGACGATGCTAATGCACATTATAATACAGAAACAAAACAGGAACTTCATAAATATGATTTTGAGTTTTGGGCATGGCCTGTAGATTTTAAAGTCCCTGATATAGTCGGGTAAATTTTCTCATTATTAAAACATTAAGTTAGTATATTATCTTTCTTAATTCTTATTCATTTTTTGTATTTATGTTCATAGAGATAAACATCAGGAAAAATTGACACTGGAAAAAATTGCAGTTTCTAGTGGACGTGTTAAAAGGCAAAGTGGTAAAGAATTTGTATTTACATTGCCATGTAAATTGTTGTCATATATTGTAGCTCACACATTTGGTATAAAAATGATATATCCCGGAAGTGTATCGGTAATTAATTGGGCATTTCGTAAGTTAAATAGAGTTTCATTATGTATATTGTATTGTGCTATTTCATATTTAAAAAAAAAAATGTATTATCAATTTAGGCTCTACACTTTTAAAAGGAAGAATGGATTTAATAAAACGAGGTGGGGAAAGGTACAAATTGTTAACTGCGGATAATAATGAAATTGACACTATGTTCATTGATCAGCGTAACAAGTAATGTAAACGTTAATAACTTTCCTTCTAAAATATCATTTTATAGCAGTTTATTTTTATATATTTGTATTCATCTTTATAGAACCTCAAATGGAAATGTATTGGTTATTACATGCGAAGGAAACTGTGGGTTTTATGAAAGTGGTATTATATCAACTCCATTGAATAAAGGATATTCTATATTAGGTTGGAACCATCCAGGCTTTGGTAGTAGCACTGTAAGTATTATTCTTATATCAAATCGTTCATAAAGCATTTATAGCGATCAATGGTTGAGAAGAATTGCTGTTACTCTTTCATATTTAAAATTGCAAAGGTAAAATTTTGACAATGTTGCAGTTAATATCAATCATATATGTAAATTAAATATAATTGAAGTAATGGCAAGACTTCTCCTTCAATCAAAGTATTATCATAAAATGATAACAGTAAGACATGAAAATGACTACAAAGGGTGCGCCGTATCCTCTGCAAGAAGAGAATGCTATCGATTGCGTAATGCGCTTTGCAATCGATCGATTAGGATTTGACGAGGAACAAATAATTCTCTATGGTTGGAGTATTGGTGGATATCCTGCAACTTGGGCTGCAATGAATTATCCATCTATTCAAAGCCTAGTAAGCGTTTATTTGTATATAAATATTGTATTATACATGTTTTATAAAAATCCAACAATACATTTACCAGGTGTTAGACGCTACATTTGATGATATACTTCCATTAGCCATTATGACGATGTCCTCGTCCCTAGAAGGCTTGATACGAAACATTATAAGGGATTATTTTAATCTGAATATAGCAGAACAGTTAAATAGGTATATTGTTACATTTCGTTAATAGCATTATCAACATGAAAAAATGTCGTAATTAATTATTTCTTCTTGAAGGTATAATGGAACAGTATTGCTTATACGAAGAACAGATGATGAAGTTGTATGCACGCCAAGTAACACTTTATCAGGAAATCGAGGTAACATGTTACTTACAAAACTTCTGATGCGTCGTTATCCACATCTTTTATCAGAAACCGCAGAATGCGCTGTGCTTTTAGTAAGATTCCTTTCAGCGGATGTCGCTGCCAGAAGTAAGAGCATATATTGAAAAAAAATACACGTTTTATTAATTGATTTATCATTGTTACGGTACAACAGTATATGTAAATTCTTGTTATAGAATCGCTAATTGAAACAGTAAAGGTTGACGAAAAACAATGTTTAGAATTAATTGCAGAAGATATAGAAAATAATGGTGGTATCGTGAGTTATCCCTCTACCCTTGGGCAAGATTGTGATTCTAAAATAAAACAACAACTCATTCTGTTTCTCGTATGTATATGTGCTTAAGAGAAGTTTAATATTTATTTGTATTTGTTAACGTATACATTTGTGTCGTTTTAGGCAACAATGTATATGAAAGATCAACCATCCTCGCACTGTACCCCATTAGCAGTGGACTTGTTTCATCCTGGTTGGGATCCCGCATCTGCAATGTCCATAAAACATTGAAAGTTCCGTGATATTATAATTGATTAATTACTAGAAGCTTTATTCAAAGTTTTTATTTTTTACAGTAATAGGAACAAGGGTTATTTATTCTACACGAATTTCTATCTATTTTTCATGTTCTAAATTGATTCAAGTATTAAATTTAATCGCATTTTATATATTCGTTATTAAAAAGTTCTAGTCTGATCTAATTCTCACGTATACGGTCTGACAATTCGTATACTTCACAGGATAAAAAAATGACGACATGCACGACAATACATCATACAAAAAAAAAAAAGACTTGTAAAAATTTGATGCAATACTTTATTTTTTAAACATTTAAAATTAATTTGTGTATTAATTTAAAAAATTTTCGTGAAAAATTGTACAAGCATTCGCACTAAACGCTTAACAATGAGTTATTTCTATGGATACAAAGTATAATGAATCTTTTTGTTTATTTTTTTATAAGATTGTACAAAATTAGCCATCTATTACAATTTATGAATTATTTAAAAATAAATAGATATCATGTCGATGTTCTACAAATTATATACATCGTAATCTGTGTTACGTACTTTGAGTATGATTCAAAACAGCTTTGAGAGAATCTTTTGACTCTTGTAACGAATCTGCAACTTTTGCTTTTCTACTTTTTGTTGATTTTTCTAGGAAGATTTTTAAGGTGGTTCGTATCTCTTCTAAAAAGTAATCTTTCTGAGTGACTTGTTCCAATGCTTTAAAGCATCCTTCTAAGTTCCAATTAATCTTTCCATTGCATTTATCTTCAGCCTAAAAATAAAACAATTTATTAGTATTTTGTAGTTAAAATATACAAAGATTTATTATCAAAGAATATATACTTTTATTAAACCTAAGTTAACTAGCAAAGCATTATTCCACACTGAAATCTGATCATTTTCCGTCGCAAAAGAACACAACTTCGAATATAAAATGTCTGTAAGATTTTGAGCTCTTAATCTCACATCAATATAACCACTTGTACACAGTGCTGATACTTTCATTACTATTCTTGTATATTCTTCAATGAACCTTAACTGTGGAGATGTATCAACATTTTTTGATGAATTCTGAAATATAAAAGACACATTAAATAGTATCTAATGCTTAGTACAAATTATAAAATTCATTACTCACTTTGGCATGATCTATAAAACCTTGTACAACATTATCTTGTAACAGTAATAGCCTTTCTCCTGTCGGCGATTTTAAAAACTCTGTGATAGATACTTTTACTCGTGCAACATTGTTTGACGTTTCATTGCCGTTCGTTACTGTATCTTCATTTTCCTTACTTTCAATTTCACTTTCATCTTCATCTTCATCCTCATCATCATCATCATCATCATCATCATCATCATCCTCATCATCATCTTCTTCTTCATCTTCATTCTCTTCTTCATCATCTACGTTTTCTTCATCATTTTCCTCTTCGCTATCACTCTCATCATTACTTAATGAACCCAACGATTCGATTCTTTTCGATACTGTAAGCGAGTTACGCAACAAGGTACGACCTTCTTTTCCAAATGCATTTCCATCTAATTGTAGAGCTATTAGATGCTTTTTATCAGCCATAGCATGAGCTATTGAATTAGCACCTTTCGTACGAATTTCATTGTAACTCAAATTCACTTCAGCAAGGGAAGGATAGTTACCCTTAACTGCTAATGCCTCTGCTAAAATTAAACTGCCTCGTGTTTTGAGCAAACAATCACCAAGATTAAGCTGTTCTAAATTTTGAAAATTCGGTAAAACTTTGGCAAGAGCTTGAGCTCCTTTAAATCCAACTGTATTGTCATTAAGATTTAAAATTTTTAAACCAGAATTAGTCGATAATCCATTAGCAATGGCTGTTATGCCATGATGATATATACCATTCTGTGGCATTACAACCTCTTCTAAACTAGTTAATTTTTGAAAAACAAATGCTAATGCTTTTGCACCTTCATCCTCAAGTCTGTTTCTTCCAGCAACAAATACTTTTAATGCTAAAGGGGGTGTTCCTAAAAGAAAGAAATGAAATATAGACATCAAAATATATTTTATCAATGAACAGACAGTGAAACCCTTACCAGCTTTAGAGCTGTTATCATAACAATCTAATAATGCTTTTGCTAATATTTTGCCACCTGTTGTTCCAAGACCAGTGTTGTGTAATTTTAATATACGGAGAGTATAACATGAACTAGAACTTAAAAAAGTAGCTATCCCTTCAGCACCAACTGGACCAAAAGCATTATCGCTTAAATCAAGTTCGGTAAGCTGGGTGCCAGCAGTACATAAAGCAGTGCCAAGGTATTCTAATGCTTTTGGTATCTCTGCTCTTAAACGGCCAGTGAACATATCTTTCCAAAGAGCACGCTTCAATGGAGAACCTTTTTCTTTCAATGCTTCTGCCACAGCCATGGCAGCTAATGGTCCTAAAGTATTTCCTTCTAAATCCAAATATTCTAAATTTGAACATCCTTGTATGGCTTCGATCACCTCCATCGCTAATAAATTAAAAAATTGTTATTTTATGTAACCTTTTATACTATATTGCATAACCTTATGAAGGCATGAAACGCATAATTAAACTAAAATAATAATTCATTTTGATTGAAATAACTTACCATCTTCCTTAGAATCAAGTTTAAGTGATTTCTTTGCGAAAGATACACCGATGCCGGTAGAATTTTGAGTAACATCTTTCAATTGCGCCCCAAGATCATTTAAATTAAACGAAGACATGGTTTACTTTATTTATATTTAATTGAACTTTTAAGAAATAAACTGTTCTTTTTGTAAATTTTTGTCATAAGTTTTTAAACAATTAGCAATATAAATACTATTCTCAGCACCTAATGCCAAAACTCATTCATGATGTTGTTGCGATGGATAGCAAACGCGGGATAAGTGTACCAACTGTTAAACAAGAAATTTCAATTTTAACGCCGTGCGGCGTAATAATAAGAAATTACGATTTTACAATAAAATTATTTATTTCTAATTTCATACGATTGCGTATGTACAAGTATTCTTTTTCAAGTATAAAAGTTCGCAATAACGAACAAATAAAATGGTTTAGTGAAACGTAATATATTTCGCGCCAGAGATAGTCGACGTATCTATAGAACTCATATTCATAGGTATACGCCCGTAGTTGCAGTCGCCACTGCACAGTCCGCACCCGTACATACGTTCGCGTAGTGCGTCTCAGAAAACTATCCTTATCGAAACACCGTCATACATATATACGTACACATATACGCTTATAGCTGAAATCGAATTTTCAATATTAAGGAAAACATCAGCAGTGAACGAGATTTCATTAACGACAGACGTTCAACATTCGCATTAGTGCGACTGTGTCAAACGACGATGCAATTTATCGTCGAAGCTGGTGGTTGTTTTGAGCCTGGTGTGTTACTCGATTAGAATGGTTGCAAGTGTCGCGCGCATCGCTGGCAACCCGTGGAGTGTTGTGCCAAAATAAATCAGTGTTAGCTTTTCCTCGGTAACTGCCAGTGAACGAATGTACCTCGTCGTTCGGATCCGTTCGCAAACGGCGGGACAAGCTATGTGGAATTGTGATAACCCGCTCTTTTGTTTCGAAGACTATGGGTGTCATACTCCGCTAATGTGCATCCCGGTATTTTAAAAGCGATCCGCTTTGCCGAGCGGAGGTGTTTTCTTCGACTATCATCTTACCTACCCACTGAATTTCGTTCTCCTCATTCACCTGAGTTATTACCTACAACAGAGCTGCAACACATCATTTTCCGTACTACTGTTTCCAACTACCTTATCCGCCCTGACGTGATTCGCCCGGTTTGCCCGCCACAGGACGGGTTATGTTTCCCACTTTCATCGGAATCCTAGGTAAGCTTTTCGTTTCTTTTCGTTTGAAAAAAAAAAAAAAAAAAAAAAAAAAGAGTTACATCGAAATGTTTATCGATTTTTTCCCCGTCGATTATCGTATTGTTTCCCGAAGAAGATCAATGCTTACAATCAAGAACTCTTGTCAATGACCCCAAGTTTAGCAACAGAATCATTTTCATTGTTTTTTTTTTTTTCTTCTCTCTATTGTGTTACATTCTGTATAGGGTATCAGTGCACGGCTGCATTATATTCATATTTACGACTAGTATTATTGTTGGAAGCGTTTTATTTCGTCATTTTGTGAAAGCTTTAGAAATTTGGTACTCTAGCAATAAGTTTTGTTATTTAATAAAGATAGCTTTATTGTTTAGTAGTATATTATCAATGATTGCCTTCCATGAAAAGTAGATATTATTGCTTATCACTGTTTAATAGAAAAAAAAACACAAATCAGTAATTTATTTGCTATGCAATTTTATGTATTATTGTTAAATATAGGTACAATAAAAAAAATTCATATTTTTGATATTTTCATTTGTCAATAAATGTATCTTGTCATTTTGAAAAATGTATGACCAGCTGAATATTATTTTTCTTAACGAATAAATTTTAATGCCATTAGAAATGAAATTGTTCTAAATATGAAGTATGATTTATTTTGAAAATAATGATAAGTTGTGTAAATTATTATTCAATGCATTATACCAATAAAGAGTACAGCTGTATGCAAATAAGTTTTATAAACAAAAATCTATACGATTAGATGAAATGTTCTAAAAATAATTCATTTTAAGTGTAACGTTAACATTTTGAATTTAATACATAGCTTTATTGTATTTTTATCTCCGCTAACATAACATTATATTCTAGCATTTATCATTATAAATAAATTACACGCATATATTTTTATCGATAAACTTTCCCAGCCAGTATTAATTTCTTGAACTACTTTGAATATACATAAAAAAAAAAAAAGACATTCCAGAGATTAAAGAAATATAGCATCAAGGAACTTTCAATTGTTCCTTTATTTTTTTAGACATTCAATCGTGGTGGGAGGTGCCAAGTATAGCACACTTCTGCTCATTATTTAGGGCTGCCTTCAATCTTCTGGACTTTGATATTGAGGTACCTACCTAAATGCTGACTCGTATGAGTAGGCATTGTATATGAGACTTGTTAGTATCGCTTTAGCTCCAGGAAGTTAAATAAACCATGCTTCAGCTTTTTTATGTTTTTAAAGGCTTACGCATTATTATTTTGTGCCTACATTAATCTATTCGTTATTCGTGTGTATCATATTAATTGTACGCCATTTTAGGACTTAGAAGAAGCTTTACTAACGGATGGTGGAACAGAGGGACGTTTAGTACAGGAGCTAATAGTCAGGTTACTTGAAGGTTGTTTACCTAACGACACCCGCAATGACATCTCCACCTTTAATTATCAGATGTTTCTTCGCAGATTGTTTCGTAAGAAATGTCAGGTAAAGATAATTATTATATTTTATGATATATATTTAAGTTATTAAGATATATCGTGTTATTGTTAAAACTAATTGACGTTTATTTTCAGGAATACAAGTGTGAGAATCCTTTTAATACAGATGTAGATTTTGAATTGTTACCTCTTCGTCAGAAAGTAGAAATTTTACGTGCCCTCTGTGACTTCAGGCTCGACGCTGAAGACGTGGTATGTGTTTAATGAAAGATTAAAATATATATTTAAATTATTACGTGATTATAATAATGGGAGTATAATGTTTTAATGTATGTTCATAGGAGCAATCATTAAGTAATTTAGACTCGGATAGCCTGCGAGTCGAACCTTTAGGACATGATCGTAAGAATTCTGCCTATTGGTACTTTTACGGCACTCGATTATATAGGGAGGACTACATTGATACATCTAACAGTATCTCATACAAACAGAAAAACAAGCCTAGGGATAAAAAGCGTAAAAGACGACGAAACAGAGTGGCGAAGGAGGAAGAGGAAGAGGAGGAGAAGAAGGAAGACAGTTTAATACAAGGAGAGGGAAAAGAAAGTGTCTGGCAGGTTGTCTGCTTTACTCAACAGGACTGGAGTCGTTTAGTTGAAAAATTTCGTGATTCGGTAATTGTCTTTTTCGATTTAATTACTTTGTACTTTAAGCCTTGCTAATAACGTTATTATAACACTTAGGAGTACGATACCGAACGTAAACTTTACCGTACTCTATCCGAAGATTTCATGCCGGAAATCCCTAAACTTTTTGATTTAAAAGAAAAACAACAAAGACGCAAATTATTACAACGTAATAGTTCGCGGGTTCTTCGAAGTCACGAGCCTACGACACAGATGGAAACAGTCATGGTTAGATCGAAAATTAAAACTAAAACGAACAAAGGAAATAAAAAGGGGACACAGAATTCGAAGAATGTTTATGTTAAAGAGGAGACATCTCCGCCTTTATCTTCTCCTCCAGTTCAAAAAAAAGGACGCCAGACTAATAATTCGTTAGCTTCGGCCGTTGGTCAGATTGTAATTCATACCAGGGATGAAGTTGAAGGAACAGAGAAGAAAAAGGGTGTCGGAAGTAATAGCGACGGGAATTACGTAGCTTCTAATTACGGATATAAATTTGGATATTCTTTTGGGATCGAGGAAGAAGAACGTCGAGTTGGTATGCATAAGGTTCTTGAAAGCCTGAAGGATCACGTGGATGCCTGGCCATTCATTGATCCTGTAGATGAAGAATATGCGCCAAGGTATAATGTTAGAATTATAAATAATCGTCCGTGTTTTTGATATATGTATGAATGTACATGAACTGGTAATGTTATGTTTAATACAGGTACTATAGCGTGGTACGGAAACCTATGGATCTTAGTACAATGGAGGAAAAACTTGAGAATGGTTTATACAAAAATTTAAACGAATTCAAACGCGATTTTCGGCTGATAGTAGATAATTGTAGACAATACAATGGCTCTGATAATGGTTAGTGTTTTACCACTTGAATTAATAATGAATCGTTATGTAATATTATTCTCTGATGTAAGTATTATTGTTTTCTCACAGAATATACAGAAATGGCATTCAATCTTAAAGAAGCATTCGATAAAGCTGTTAATCGTTATTTAGAATCGGAAACATCAAGCGACGAAGACGCTTCCTCACCGAAATCGTGTCTAACGACTCCTGCATCTCCTTCGTGTCCTTCTCGTGTTTCGTCTCCGCATCAAAATAAGAAACGTTCTAAGAAATCGACTAAAAAATCCAAATCGTACAAGTCTGAAAGTAAAGGAAAATCTAAAGCAAGCGATAAGAACGACGAGGAAGAGAAACGGGGAAAGAATTATAAACTTCCAAAGAAGAAACGTGGAAAGAAAAAGAGTAAAAGGGCGAAAGACGAAGAATCGGTGAACGAGGAAGAACAGGAAGAGCAAGAAAGTGAGGATGCCATGTCTGAATCGAGTATTATAACGTCAAAAAGAAGAAAACATCTCGACGTGAATAATTTATTATTAAAAACCAAAAAGCTGTCGTCCAAAGAATCAGATGAGTTGAAAAAGATAGACAAAAAGATGAGTAAAGAACGTCATCAACAAAAAAAAGAAGCGGAGAGTATGAAACCGATGAAAGAATCGAAAGAGAATAAAAAGCGAAAAGAAGACTTCGAGGAAGATTACGAGCCCCTAGTCATCGCGAAAAGTAAAAGTAGGAAAATCGAAAAGAAAGAGCTCGAAGAAACTGAAATATTTACGGATAATGCTAAAAAGAATAAAGTGAAGAAGAATGAATCTCACGAAAACGAAGTGATGTCGGAAAATAAGGATAAAATTCAGCATATCAAGGTAAAGAAAAATCGGAAGAAGGAAAAGGCGGGGTTGAAAGCCTTGAAATCTGACGAGAAGTCCGAGAAGACCGAGAAGAATCATGTAAAGGATAAAGAGAAAAAATCAAAACAGAAAAACGATGAACTTAAAAATGGAGAGTTATCGAACGAACTAGATTCCAAAGATGTAGATCTAGAAAGTGATTTAGACTCAAAGGAAATGCATGCATCTAAGAAAATTCCTGCATTTATAGGTGATAAAGATATAGAATCGTTGGACGGTTTAAAGGATAAAATAAGCGAGAGGCGACGAGAGGAAAAGTTAAAAAATGAAAAGGAGAAGCCGAAGAAAACGTCGAAAAACGAACTTCACAATATGTATTCAAAAAAAGTGCCTTCAAACGGTAGTACCTTTAATGACAGCGATAAAGCCAGCGCAAAACGACCAAAGCTAAAAAAAGGAATGAAAGAAGAAAAAGTTCCTATCACGGAAGATACAGTTAAAACTCAAGACCAAGAAATGAACGAGACCAAGAAAGTAAAAGTGGCTCAGACCAAAAGTACCAAAGGTTTTGGAAAAGAAGAGAGTTCGATACAAGCGTTGAATCAAGCAACAGAGCAAACACTCCATGTAAGCATATCTTATGATTCATCTTTAAACTGTATAAATTTATTGTATAACATATTCTTACCATATATGTAATTATGTAACTTTTTTTTTTTCTTCTTTAAATAGGACATCAATAAATGGCTTGACGACGCACCAAGGCTTTCAGAGTTTTCTTCTGGAAGTGATTCTCCAGTATTTCATTCTTCTGTTGAATTCGGTCGGTCAGGGCCAAAGGTGGAAGCCCCAAGGAAACGACCAAGTTCTATTAAGATCTTTGGACCTCATGGGCCTAGTAGACCAAAAAAAATACAACGTACAATAGACCGCTTACAACCAGGAAAAAGTAAAGGAAACTTGCTTTTGAAGAAACCATTGAATTTACCCAACGTTGGTAGCAACGAGACGACGGTGCATCCGTTGACCGGTGACAATGATCAAACGAATAAGAATGCAGACGAAGAACCAAAACTTAGTTTAGGAACTGTTCTAAAAAATGTCGATTCTATTCAACTGATTTGTAAGAGTTTAGTTTCTTCGCCTAATCCGAATTTTTCAAACGACGACGAGGAAGAAGATCACAATACTGTTCCTGCGATCCCAGTGTCTAGTCTTAAAGAGGAGAAATCATCATCCGGAGCGACATCGACCCAAGCACCTGCAGCAACAGAAGAATCTAAAGATAATCAGTCTAGTGTAAAGGAAACACAAAAACCTAAGGCAGCAACGCCTAATTTAAGTGCATGGTTCAAAGCTTTTGGTGCGCCTAAGTCGAAAAAGAAAGATGAAGAGTCGGAGGATAGCACGGCAAAGAAAGACGGTGAATTGCAGGAAGTATTCTATGGTAGACAAAGAAGAATGAGTACTGGTGGTAGTAGTGTAAGTGAATCTGTTTCGAGTTTCTCTCAAGAATCACCACCTGGACGTTCCGGAAGATCTCCGCAAGGGCAACCTATAATGGCTTCGGTTGAGCCTCAAATAAGAGGAGCTGGATTTTATCAAGACGCTTTATCGACGGGAAGTAGTCCATATAATAGCCCTTATTACGCGACACCACCTAGATACAGTGCTCAGTTACCACCAACTCCATCCCCACAGAATCATCCTTTGTCCCCAGCTTACCCATCGTCGTCTTTCGAACAGGCTCCTCCTCTTTATTCCCAAATACCGGCTCAACAGCCGCATCAAACGTTTCAGAAGTCTCCTCAGGAGAATTCTGGAGAGGTGTATCATCAATTATCCCCTACGTTTCCACAACGTTCCCCTCAAACCAATAATTTCCCTCCAAATCCGACACCGGCAAGTGAACCTTTTAATCAACCAGTGCAATCTACTACTCCTAATCCGAGTCAATCCGCAACCTATTCGCAACATTCGCCACAACCTGTGCAACAGGTGTATCCTCAACCTTCTCCACAACCACCTCCATCAAATTATTCACAACCATCGCCTCAGCAATCGCCTACTCCCAAGTATTCACAACTTTCTCCGCAACAGAATGCCGCGAATTACTCTCAACCTTCCCCCCAAGCTTCCAACTATTCTCAAGCATCACCTCAACAACCTCATTCGCCTTATTCACAGAATTCTCCACAAGCGCCACCGCCAAATTATTCTCAACCATCCCCGCAACCGCAGCCTTCTCCTTACGCACAGTCTCCTCAACAATCAGCTGGATATTCTCAGCTTTCACCTCAGCCGCCTTCAAATTATTCTCAACCATCGCCTCAGCCGCCTGCTAACTATTCCCAACCGTCGCCTCAGCCACCTGCTAACTATTCTCAACCATCACCTCAGCCGCCTTCAAACTATTCTCAACCATCGCCTCAGCCTCCTCCTGTCTACCCGCAACAGTCTCAGCCTGCGAACTTCTCTCATCCGTCCCCCCAAACGCATTCTGTTGGTTTCACGCAATCGTCGCCCCAGCCTCTCACAGCATATTCTCAGCCATCGCCTCAACCACGAAACTACTCTCAACCATCGCCACAGCAAATTCAACCTTTTCCACAGCATTCTCCTCAACCACCGCCGTCCTATTCTCAACCCTCTCCGCAAAATGCACCATACTCTCAGCCATCGCCGCAACAATCAGCCAAGTATTCTCAACCTTCCCCTCAGCAACCAACCAACTATTCTCATTCGATACATTCGCCTCAAACGCCACAGAATTATTCACAGTTGTCTCCTCAACAGGCACCGCCGAGCAATTATTCTCAACCCTCGCCTTCGCCTCAACAATCTCGTAACTATTCTCAACCCTCTCCATCGCCTCAACAGTCACGTAATTACTCTCAACCATCGCCATCGTCTCAACAGTCTCACAATTATTCGCAACCATCGCCGTCACCTCAAACCCGCAGTTACTCCCAACCTTCGCCTCAACAAAAATCTGCATGCCCGTCGCAAACGTCTCAGCAGCCTTCGAATTACTCGCAGCCATCGCCTCAACAGAGTACAAACTACGCTCTGCAACAGCAGTCGACCAAAACCACGGAAGAGTATCCGCAGAATGCATCGACACCGTCTAATTACTCCCATGGATATAAACAAAATCATTCTTACATACAGTCCCCGACACCGTCGTCGATCAACGAAACGGAACACCGAGCCGATTATATGAAGTCCAGCAGTGGCGAGAAATCCTCGAGTATAGAACAACAAAGAAACTTCACTGTTCCGCCGGAGGCTTCGTTGAATCTGAACGCGAACCACCAAATTTATCAGTCACCGAATCAGTATCCACCAACGTTCGGGAACAATTATCCTAACATTGATCTGCAAAGGTCTGTATCGAGACACGGTGGTCAGGAACAACCTCAACAACAACAACCGCAACAGCAGCAGCAGCAACAACAACAACAACAACAACAACAACAAGCGCCCCAAGAGCGACCTAGTTTCACCGATCTAAACGAATCTCTGAACGCTCAAAAATACGCTCAGCAACGCTCGTTCCTCGGTAAAACTGGTAGCACGGGCGAACAGTTGTCGAGCCAGGATCAATCTCAAATCTTAGCATTCCAACAAAACCTGACGGCCCATGAATCTCTTTATCCGAGCAGTTTTCAACCATCCGGATACCCTATGCCAAACTCTAGACCGATGTATCCCAGTCCGCATTATTTCGATACAAGTTCGAAGACTGCCAATAGCGGAACCGCGAATAGCTCCAGTGGGAATTTACCACCGGTTAAGAAGCGTGTGTACAATGAATCGTCCACGGAAGCGTCCCGTGGTTTAACGCAAGAGGCTGCGTCGAGAACCGGTCAGGAACAGTTTGGTTTCGATCCGATAATGGCATTGCCACAACCAGAAGCAGTGTCAGCTAGTCAATTCGACGCCACGTTTGTTGGGAACTTGGCCGATTCGGTCGCAACGAATCCGGCGGCGTATGCTCGGCTAGGTTTAGGCTTGGTGGGTCGTACCAGCAAGGAACAACAACAGTTGTTAACGATTCCTAGACCACCGCCGACGAAAGCGGAACACTTGGCGTACGCTCGTAGCCCCGCGACGGGAGCTGCAGAGTTAGACCTAAATCTCCTTCAAAGTTTGCAAACGGCATCCGCGAAGAACAGCCAAGGTATCCTGTCCATGTCTCGCAGGGGAGGAGATACGTCTTCTGGTTCCACGTCCGCGCCTGCGAAAACGAAGAAAAGCAGAAAGAGCAAGCAACAACAGCAGGAACAACAGAACATTGCGAACGTTTCGTCGACGGTGAACACGGAACCCCAAGCGAACACAGGTATACCTGGTTTTCCACAGTACACAGGAACGTCCGCGGATTCGATCGGTTTAAAGAACACCGCCATGGTGCCACCTGCTGGGAGTGCCTTCAACTTTGCCGCATCGACCAACACCACGACCAGTTCACCTTTCTACGATAAAGAGGCGACCGCCGCCGCGGCGGCGTTCGCATTTTTGGACGAGTTTCGAAATCCGAACAGTTATTACAGCATGGCGCTTAGGCAACAACAACAACAACAGCAACAACCACAAGTACCGCCGGTCTCAGATGCCACGCAACAAGCCTGCAACAAACTTAGCAATCAACCGCCAAGAAACTATCCGCCTCATCCTTTTCTTCATTCTGCCCAGAGATCAGCAGCTTACGGCCCTCCGGTATCCGCTTACGTGACACCCCATGGGCCAAACTTAACGGTGGATCCAACTGCCTATCAACAGTACATTCATTCCCTCTACGCTCTTCAACCACCGCCGCATCATCATCGACCGTCCTGGCTTTAGCTGTTAAAATCTTTGTAACTGGTGTCATTGAATGACATCTCCATCGGTATATCGCCACGTTAAAAAGTTGGTCGGAACAGTATTTAAAATGGGACAGTATTCGACTTGATATTTTTTTTTTTTTTTATTGATCAAAGTAATACAGTGATCGCGATACCAATTATCCATCATTGTGGATAAACTATAAAGTATAATAAGGTACACTGTTCGCAATTATAGATACTGTTTTATCCAATTTTATTTCTATGCAATCATAATCAGAACTTGTTTCGTTTAAGAAACAACGGTGCTAAAACGATATTCCTTGATTGTTTTAATAGGAATGCCCGAAATATCTTATAACATTGTCAACATATTTTTTTTTTATATATTTCTAAACGTATTATTCATTTGTTTCATTAATTGACGTATGAGATTGTTATCCACGTATCTTACTTTTATTATTATTTAACGAAGAAAACTTCTGTCATTATAACGATAAAGATGGAACGAAGTTCTGATTACGATATTTCATAACACAACCGGAAGAAACGCCGTAATCTCGTGTACGTCAAACAGTAAAAAAGAAAGAAAAAAAAAATAAAAACAAAACGCGTCAAAATAGTTGCTCGTTAATTTTTTCTAAATATAATTTTACTGATTGACTAGCGAACGACGGATCTAAACATTATTTTTTTTTCTGGAACTAAAATGCTGGTTTCTTCGCTAATTCGTTTTTCCCCCCATTCTTCGCATTTGTTTCCTTTTTTCTTTCAAATGAAGCGATAGATGTAACTTTGACATTTTTACACGAATTTATCAGAAACAGTGGAAAGGAAGAAAACGTTTAGCTTTTAGTTGGTAATCTATTTTGTAGTCATATGTATATAAAGAGTAAGCCTACATTATGTAGGAATTTTTGATAGTTTTTTCTAATGAGACTAGTCGACAGCTTAGGTGTAAGTTGGAAGTCGCTAGTGCCGGAAGTAAACCTTTCTATCAAAAGTTCCTCTATCTAACTGTTCTTCTAATGGACGTCCCTTTCTATTTCACCAGTATATCGAGACATGGGTTATGCAATATTCAGATTTATTATAGAAGGAAGAAAATGATGACAGTACTCGCAATTATCCTGCCTATCAGAAATACGTATTTCTTTGACTTGTTTTTACATTTCAATGGCAAATCGCTAGACCCGCAAAATACGTAGAAGTTTTTACGTGACTTCTGATTTCAAAGGATTTCTGTACGATATGTCGAGTGCACTGTTGCCTGGTGTATCTTATGTAGAGTATATAGACTTGTTAGTAATGTAAGCTAGGATTCGTTTCTTTGTATATAAAATACATATCCTTCATAGACGATGTGCTCGATGTAAAGAAAGATCTGCAATGTCAAAGACCTTGTTGAATCGTCCGCGGTAGATAAAGAACGGGAAAAACGTAGGGAAATAGATGAAAACATGAAAAAAATGTGTATACGTATGGGTTCGAGTATGTATGATGTATATGCGCGTGTGGTGTCAGTATGTGTCGTGTGATTTGTGGATGAGGATAAAAAAATAAAGTATAATACACCACAATCATACATTAACCCACCTTATTGCTGAAAAAAAAGACAGAAGGAAGCGGTATATTAAAACTTATAAATATATACATATATATTGTAAATGTATATTGTAAATGTATCGATGACAGATTAAAGCACAGTTTGTTACAAAATTCTTGTTTTGCTGCTGTATGTTATATACAATAATTTTATTCTGCGTTGTTGTTTAGCAATTATGTATTGAAGATATTAATGAATTGAATTATAAAATTGATTTTATCATATGTAGATACATACAGCGAATATTTCTTTTTTAACGCGTATCAATATTTGAATGTATAATGAGTTATTTCCAACTGAAGATATACATACGTATAAAGTGTGTGGTAGAAATATTAGATAATTTTGAAATAGTATGCGTGGAATGTGAATATGATATCTACGGGTTCCGCCTCTTTGCTATCTGCAATTCGTGATTTAGTCGATCAAAAATTGCCGATACAGCAAAAAGAAAACTGCAGATAAGTGGGATTTATTGATATCAATTGATGGTAGGAGTAGTCCTTTTGGACAAAGTGCATGGTGTGAAAAAAAATTATATTCTTTTATAACAGATGACTTCAAATCTTTATTACGAAGGTATTACGTGATTCTGAAGATTTATATTGTATGTATAACTAGTGTATGTATCATTGCCAAGAAAATGATTTCCGTATTTTCACTTCCAGCAATCATGTTATTTTCTTCGATGTACATATACGTCTATGATTGTTAAAAGTGGTAACTGGGAAAAAATATTTATTGATTTGTTTCGAACCAACTGTAATATTGTATATGTAAATACATGCTACGTAAAAAAAAAAACACTGTTTAATAATGTGTATTTGTTGCAGATAATATTTGGTGCCTTTAACCTACATCATAAATACTTCCAATATGTTTGAAAATATAAATAGAGAACTGTTACCAATAAAAGCGCATTACTTCCTGTTTAATGCAGGTAAGTACACATTAAATTTGAAGTATACAACTGTAAATTGTATAATATAATGTTTAATTGTATCTTTTATATTTCAGCTACTGGACCTATAGTGCCATTTTTACCAACAATAGCAAAACAATTAGGTTTTTCAGGAATCTTAGTGGGCACAATATATACGATATTACCAGTTTCTGGTTTAGTAGCAAAACCTCTATTTGGAGGTTTAGCCGATAAATTTAAAATTCATAAACCATTATTTTTACTATTTCAAGCTGTAGTTGCTATAGCTATGTTTACAATACTCTTTATCCCTGAAATAGATAGAAGTGCAAATGTTACTCTTAATTGTCTCGGTGAAGCATCATTGGAAATCTGTTCAAAAAATGAATTTTCTAGTGAAGTCATACATAGCGTGATATCAGAGAAAATGCACACTAATACCTCGTGTCATGTATCGTGTAAAGCCACAAAAGATATTTATACAGAATTGTGTTTACATTGGAAAGCATCTGAATTTTGTAAATTACTAAATTCAAACATTTCAGATACAGACACGTTTGATTTTAATATGAGATTTGACATCTTTCATGATATCCATGTAAGCATATATATTCTCTATTATATCTGTTATAAAATTAAAAAATATAATGGTACTTTATTTTATAGATAGGTAAATGTATATATATACATAATTTTACTGCCATGTTCTCAAATGATGAAGCGTATAAACCGCATTGTGCAAATTATGTAAAAACGTTCTGTAAAACCATATGTCATAACAATCCAGCATTTAATCAATTGTTGGAAGAAGCTGAAGTTTCACAAAACTCCACCCAAACTTCATCTTATCAGTTTCAGTCATTTTTATGGGCAACTATAATAAGTTGGATTGGAATGGCAGTTGTAGTTAGCATAGCAGATGCTATATGTTTTAATCTCCTTGGTTAGTATCGTGTAAATTATTTAAGTATTTCATAATTTTTTCACGTTTATGTATTACAGGAAATGATAGAAGAAAGGAATATGGAAAGCAAAAAATGTGGGGTAGTATTGGATTTGGTATTTTTGGAATAAGTGCAGGATATTTAGTAGATGTATTTAGCGAAGGACGGACCCAGAAAGATTATAGTTGTATATTTTATATAATGTTGATCATGATGATTTTCGATATCATTGTATCAGCAACTTTAAGGAAGGTATACACTTTTAAAATCAACTGTATTATCATTATTCGGTACAAGTTTAGATAGTACAGAAGTTTGATACTTCTTACTTATCAAAAGACTAAAAAATTACCAGGTAATGGGAGAAAGCAGTATCATTACAGAAAAATCCAGACTGCTCTGAGGATGAGCCATCGATATTCCAGGAACTATTCACCATCTTTAAAGAGGGTAATGTGTTGGCATTTGGCTGGTGGTGCATAGGTGCTGGAATGTGTACCAGTGTAATATGGAATTTTCTATTTTGGTACACCGAAGACTTAGCAACTGGTGTTCAAATAACATGGCTTAAAACTTTACAAGGCCTTTTAACTGGTATACAATGTTTTGTAGGAGAATTACCTTTTAATTTTATCTCAGGAACTGTATTACGAAAATTGGGCCATGTAAATGTTATGAGTTTAGTTTTATTAATTTATGCAATTAGGTAAGAAGTTTTATATCTTTTTGTTTACAAAAATATGATTTATATGATAATAATAAGTTATTTTATTTTTACAGATTTATGGCATATAGTACTGTATCAAACCCATGGTGGTTTTTAATCATCGAAGTTCTTCATGGACCATCGTTAGGCCTTTGCTGGCCCACAATGGTGTCGTATGGTGATAAAGTAACACCACCTGGTACCAAAGCTACTATACAAGGATTTATTGGTGCTGTGTTTGAAGGAATTGGTTAGGAAAAGTAATTAATGAAAATTTAAATTCTATCTAATTGGTTTATTTATATTGGTAATTAATTTTAGGAGTGTCATGTGGTAGTTTAATATGTGGATGGTTAATGGACACATATGGTGGTGTAACAACAATGAGGGTATTCTCAGTAGGTGCACTACTGTGGTTAACTTGCTTTTGGTTCATTCTGTTATTGGTGCGAAAACTGAAAGTAACGCCATTACATTTGGGTCATAATCGTGAGTAACGATTATGTAGATGAAAAAATAACATTAATCAGAATAATGTTGGGTACTTAACAAAACTGTTCTTTAATTAAAGAAAAATATTTTTTATTTGTTGATCTTTTCCAGATTTGGTGAATTATGCTAATCCGGATGATGCAATTCTTTTGACAATGAATCGCGAATTGCAAACATATTAATATAGGAAAAATGACAGTTTTATTTAAATGTGACTATTTCAATCGAACATAATATAGTGTAATGTTTGTACAATTATTGGATACTTTCTTACCATATTCGTGAATCATTTTTACATTTTCTGTACTGTAGAACTCCATTTATCCGAACATACGAGGGGACTGGACAGTTCTGAAAATAGAGGCTCATTAGCTTTATCCTTTCCTAGTACTTATTAGTTTCATTAGTAGGAGCTGACGTTCATTATCACGTTCAATTGTTCCTTTCTCAACATATATGTACATATATATAATTTATTTGTAAGAGCGCAAAAGCATGTTTGTATACTTACATTCATTATAACAATAGGCGTTCATGAAAACTGAGAACTTCGCTGAATCATAGTTCGGAGATTAGAACACTGCTATGATTTCGTATATTTCGTATACGAAGCACAAACTCGTTCGAGTAAACGGAGTTCTACTGTAATGTTGTTTTATAAATAATTGTTGATTATTCAGTATTATGTGGTAGCTGTAACGCTTATAGTATTCAACAATATAATGATTTTTTTCTAGAGTGAAGCAATTGTTTCATTTTCTTCAGTTTTTATTAACAGATAAAATATAAATAATAAATGAAATAATTGGCAGATACAGAAGGAGAATTATGTGAGGGTATGTTCAGTTGAGACTTATAGAATTGCTCACAAAATATCTCAACCATTTATTCATTGTGAATTCATTTCTTAAGTTTGAAATCATATCATGCTAGTAATTTTATTAATTACCAGTATATTTTCAGTTATTTATTGAAATCACGCAATAATAATATTTTTTTATGATTTCCGCATAATATGTTGATAAAAAGCTACAAATAACTTTCTTCTGACTTAATACCACGGCAATAGGTAACAGTTGCACGCGTGCAAAACAGGATAGCTGCATACCAAAAGACACGGTGGTCATTTTTGCGTGGCGTTATTCTTGCTTAGGATTTCGTCTTTGTTGATTCTGACGAGACGGTGAAGTTGCTTGACTTGGTGCAGGCTCGACAATGGCTTGAAGGTTAGGAATTTCGCCTGCGGTATCACAGCAGTCATTCATTATAATTCCAGTACTTGAATGAATAAAGGCAAGGCTTCCTTCGCTAGAAGAAGCTAAACTAGCTGATAGTGGCGGGGATCTTTCTTTAGGTGACGCCGAAGATGCTAAATTGTTTAGAGTGGTGGTACCGCAAGTGGCGGTTTCTAGAGTACCATGAAGTTCAAGTATACGCCCTTCAAGGAGAAGATTGATTTCAACTTGCGCTTTATACTTTGATTCAACAGCTTCTAATTCAGCCTCGTGCTGATCTTTTGTTTCTTGCAAAAGCCTTTGTAATTCTACGAGTTGCGCTTCTTTTCGTGCATCTTTATTCTCTAGTTCACTTAGACGTACTTTTAAGGCTTCTATAAGAGATGTTCGTGATTCCACTTGTCGCCGCAAATCTAAGAAACGTTAATATGTATCTAAAGTGATTCTTTCTTTCTTTATCATGGTTGTTAACAAATAATTCAAACATACTTACTAGTCAATTCTTCTGCGTATGACTTCTGTATTTGCGTTGCTTCTTGCTTGGTCATGGGTGAAAGACCATCTGTGCTCTCTTTCAATTTTAATTGTGCCTATGCAAAAAGGAATTTGATATTTGAAATATTCAAAGTTACATGAAGATATTTATGAGTAAAATTTCATCAAATATTACCTCTCCAAGTAGAAGGAACTTCTTCTGCACAGTATCAAGGGTACGTTCTAATTCTTTACTACGATCAGCAGCTTTTAAAGCTACCCTTAATTGATGCCCTGCATCGAACAGAGAAGCCTCTGTAGAACGAAGTCGTTGTTCACAGTCTGATACTTTTTTTTGTTCATTCGTTAATTCAAGTTCAACAGATTCCAGACGATTTTTCAGCGTCAGATTCTGTTGTTGTTCTTCTACACACTGTACATTAATTCAATCACGTTACTGTATGAATTTTAATTCACTAATCGATTAATAATAATAATAAAAATCGACTTACCTTGATTTGCCAATGATGTACTGTTTCTTTATATATATTCTCAATTTTACAAGCTTCTTTCTTGTTACGTTCTAATTCAGCCTTTAATCCTTCTACTTCTTCTTCCATTATTTTCAAACGATTAGTCTAGGTGATAAGAATTTTGTGTTTAGCGATAACTAGAGTAAAGAAAAAAAAAAAAAATGCCAGCGAATCTTATTTTGAGTAAATAATGCCAACTGACCAAAGCAGAATTATGTTCTTCTAACGCGCGCGAATCCCTCAGTTTACCGAGAAGTCTTCGATTACGTTCAGCATGAACTTCTCTACGCTGTCGTTCGAACAGCAATTGCATTTGCATAAGTTGTAACAATTGAGTTGCACATTCGATGTCTAATGCATCTTCTTCTGCTACTTCAGATTCTCCGTCGTTTTCTTTCTTTTGTTTTTGCTTCATTGTGTTAGTTTCTTCAAAGAAGTTGCTTTATTAAAATTTTTGTTAATTTAACGGGTAATATTTATTAAATTTATTCGGTACTAACTTGTTTTATCACCAGAAAAGTTACTAATACGCGTGCAAGCTTCGACATAGCGATCTAGCATTGTAGTTGGTGACAATCTAGATTTGGTATCTTTCTGGATATGGTTTTGCACATTCATTCGCGTTTTCTGATCTAAGATTCCGAGTAACAAATATTCGTAAGGAAGTAATTCAAACGTTTGGGTTCCAGTCTCCTGCAATTTTTTTGCCCCCATTATTATAGTTTCTTGATTCGTTTTATTATGACCAATTTGTTTTTGAATTTCGATATCGGGACAAGATTTACTTTTTCGAATCTATAAATATACATACCTTTTTATTACATTTAAATTTTCTTTTTCTTTTCCATTAGTAATATTACATACATATATATATATAATACTTAAAACATATTACCTTATAAAGAGAATTTGAATTTGTAAAGTGTTCTGAAGCCTGGCTCTGGGAGTATAAGCGCAACTGATAAACTCTTTGAGACAAATCTGTGAAAGCATTTTGGAATTTTTCATTATGTTGTTCTTGTCGTTCAATATATTTTGAACTTTCGAACTTTCCAGCAGCTTGAGAGCTTACAATTTCTAAAACCTGCACAATATAATGTCGTACAAATACGTTTATAACTCTTTCGTCGATACACAGTATTCGTACAGAGAAAAATACATAAAATACAAAACCTCTTGATCTTCCTGCCACGAATCATTCTTCCCATTTTGATTCGTATCCGTTTCAGAAATTCTTCCATCTTCATCAACGTTGACAAATGATTTTTGTTGTGTAATAGTTTGCCTATCAGCCATGATCTTGCTTATCTTGTGCGAAAGTAATCCATGTGCATTGTTTCCATCTCCGCCTCCGATTAGAGAACCAGACACTGGTGGATTTACAGGAACCGGGGTAGACGGCCTCGAACTTGGTCCTACAGTACCATTACCGAATGCAGTAAGTGCACGGACTGCTGCTGATCCCGTAGGTATTTGTCTTGTTGACAATTTCCGCAAATCCTAAATGAAATTCAAAGCGTTATTCTGATTACTTCTTCAACTTTTATAAACGTACCTTAACAGGAGTTGTTTCCGGAGTAGCTTCAACTGCAGCTTCCGGAGGAGAAGTACCACTTCTATTGTTGGGTGTTGAAGGAGCAGATCGTTGTTCATGAGATGTAGCTGGAAACTGAGGACTCTGTGGTGGTACAGTCATACTGGGTGACCAAAAAGTATCATCTTCACCATTGATAATTTCCGACGATGCTATTCCTCCACCAGCACTTATCGGAATACATACCGAAGAGTAATCTAAAAGAGTAGAATCACCTTCACAAATGTTGAGAAAAACTATTTTATTTTTTCAGCAGGATTCACAAACCTAGAGGTGGCGTAGAACGTGAATTAGTAGTATTAAATACTTCTTCTCGACATTTATCTAACGTAAAACGACCACATTCTGCCATAACATCATGATGTTCCATTTTTTTCCATCTGAAATAGAATGAAATACGTAATACATGTGTTAACTTTTTCTCATTATTCTCATTATTTTTATTTACAATATAGGACATACCTAGTAGCAGAAATTTCGGTATCTTTAGATGCGGTAACAAGTAAAGGGTGCATACGCACCGAATCCAACATAGGTCTAACTGTATGGGTAAAAGTAGCCAACTGTTCACGTTGCATATATTGTTGTTTCAAATATGAAATAAAGTTGCAAGGATACAAAGCGTACAATCTATGAAACAAACTATACAGCCCTACCTATAAAAAATTAAAAAAAGATATTAATCAGTACTTATCATTTTTTCTTTTTACACCATTAACACATACTTGTAGATGTAATAAGTATAAATGATTTTTATCAATAGTTCCTGTTACAGTTGTAGAAGTAAAATGCATAGGAGATGAAGATACAGATGAAGATTGATAATGGTAATAAGAAGCCAATCGACCAAACACTTCGAAAATTTCTGAAAGATACGGTCCTAAAGCGGCAGGTAACATTGGTACCAACATCACCAAGAGTAGAAGCGCGCTCATAAGAGATAATGTATCCGCTTCCATCTAAAATTCATAAACCGTAAGTTTAATCGATAATTTTATTTGTTACTTTGTTAGAATTTATAGTTGTACCTTAAGTAACTTGAGTAAATCCCGAAACAAAGTATGACTGGTAAGCTTATACAACCAAGTAGGTTGACGACGAGCGATATGACCTAATAACGTAAGAGTTTGAATTCTTTGGCTGTTACTTCCTGATTTAGAGAGAGCTTCTGATAAGCGGTCTAAAAGATGTTTGTCATGCGGATCACGAACACCGGCTAATACCTCAACGGCTCTCAAAGAATTTGTTGATAGATAATAGTCAAAAAGACCATTAACCAACCAATTGTCTTTTGCTAAGAAAGTATGGAAACGATTGAAATCATATCAAGGTTACTAAAGAACTTGAAATTTATAACCTTACTTACTACATAAAAAGAATTCATGGAATACTTTTTTTATTTCTTCTACCTCTGCAAGTTTGTTAGATTCCAATAAGTTAAAGATATCAGCGATGCCTATTGAATTAATGTTCATTTTGATGGCGGTCAGCGCTCCAATATAGACAAACGATACTTATCCTGATCGTCTGATCATATAATGGAAGTAGAAGCGAATATAAAATTTAGTTTTATCCATTTGTCATTTGTTATGCAAGACAGGCTTCATAGGAAGCAGAAGAAATTTGGAATACCTGAAACAAGGGAATATGAAATTAAAAAAAAAATATATATATATATATATGCAAAATACAAATTAAAACATGAAATTTTTTTTAAAAGTTTGCTATGCATGAACTGTCAATTTTGTGAATCGGTACATGATTTGTAGTACTGTAACTTTGTAAAAAAGTAACTTTCAACGGTACCATTTTAAAGTTATCCAAACAAGAATTCTGTACAAGATATTCCTAAGTTATTGCTTGATATTTCATCCTGAATATATAAAAAAAACTGTTGGTTCAGTCCTATGATATTCGTAAAAAGGTCATTCGGAACAATGTCTGCAAAAAACTTTTTATCAATGTTACTTGGCTTTTTAAATGAAACGTCAAATCCTGATTCTTACTATAAATACATCAATGAAAATTAACAAGTTAACTTACCCGAAGCTCATCGAGTACTTCGAGCAATTTTTATGAGTTTTATGGCGACTGGTATACCATCACATATACATCATACTCTGGTACGCATTGGTGTCGCCACAAACGAAAAGCACTACAGTCGCATAATTATTTTATCTACGTTCCAAAAACTATTAAAACTGGTACCGGCATTTTTTCTTTTCAATTATTCTGTAATTGCAAGTCAATACGTATTACACGTTAATATCGCAAACGTACAATAAAAACTGATATGTTCAAGTATAAATATATTTGTAAGTTTAATTCTAAGTAGACCAAGTTACTATAATAATATATTCAAAGTCTATTAATCTTTATTTTAAATATAACAGTTTAAATAGTACACAGAAATTGCGTGAAATACCTCTGCTATTATTAGATAGTATATAGTTGCATGATTTATCAGTATGAATTGTTAAAATATCATGACAAAAAATATTGATTATCTTCTTGTCTTTGGATAAGACTGTATCGTTCATAGATACATGAAAAAAATTGTAGTTTTATTAAATTTTTATTGCATAATCTCAGTTTTAACATGAAACTTACAAACTGTCAACTGTTGATTTCCAACAACAGATCCACGTAAAATAAACGAAATTCCCTCTCAATTTTGTACTATTAAAATTGTTATCTGGTGTTATAGTTATTCTTAATTGTATCAATAATGAAATACAGTAAAATATTAAAGTTACAATTATGATATAAACATATTACGTGAGAAAGTAGAAATCAAGCACAAGGCGCTAATAGTATTACGCACTTGTAGCTTTTGACTAGTATTACTACATGGCAGCACCAAGGCTATATTGTGTAGGAAATATGGCGTAAAGTAAATGTCGCACATGTGTCAGTGATTTCGGTAAGAGGTCAAATTTTAATGCTGCATTTTTTCTCTATCAACGGGTGATAAATCACATTTCATCAGGGTTTATGTGACAAAATGATGTAAAGTAATTAATGAATTGTCGAGCAGATTGTTCAGGTGTGGAACGTTTGAAACGCGAACTCTAAATGTTCGGCCACATCTGCGTCTAATCTGATGCTTAATGTGATTGATAGTTAACGCATATAATTTAACATTAAACACAAGCGTAGCCATAGATTAACGCACTAATCTTATAACGACATCGTTAATGATATTAGGCGTTAAACGATAGTTTGGGTGGCGGTCTTTTTTCATACATCAAAGAGACCTCACGCGTATTGTGTTGGGTTATTGTTATTAATATATAAATGTAGCCACTTAAAAATGTAAAACCTGGCACATAATTTTTTTTAGCATTAATTGACTCGTTTATGGCTATGGGAAGTTAATACAGATGTGGCCTCAGCATAACAAGACGAGTACTAAATACTTTGGCCAGCCATTTCATAAGATCTTCGATACATTTATTCTTATCAAGTGTCGGGTTAACAAACTGATCTGCTATCAGTTCGATGCTTTCATTTTCATTAGATATATCGATATATATTATTAAACAGTTATTTTATTTCGTTGATCGTCATGGAACAGAAAGCATCATTCTAACTCACTTATATTGGCACGAGAGCGCATTCCGATCTTCTGAATATTATGTGTTGAATTTTCGTTCATCTAGTCAATTGCTTTTTCATCGCATAAACATTTTGAATCGTGTTATACATTTTTCATCTTTGGTTTCCTCAACCATAACCGGCAGAAGTGTAAAAAATCTGTGCTCATTCTCTGTGAATTCCTAATGATTTTGTGATTTGTTTACACAGTATGTGTTGTTTTTAGTAAAAACTTTTATCAACAACTGTTAACGATCTAGATCTTAGTGCAAGGTAATATCAAAATTTGATCTATAAATTTGTAACTCATCATATATGAATGGTTATTTTGTTCGTTTAAATTAAAAAAAAAAAAGAAAAGAAAAGAATTATTTTATTGTGGTTGTAATAAACATAAGAAGAAATGATCTTTATTATTAGTTTCAATATATTTTGGTAATATTCAACCAAGGAAGTTACAGGTGATATGTAATTTAATGAAATATTGTAACAATTTAAAATGTTAGTTTTTTAAGTTATAGCAGTATTTCATTTTTTGACTGTGTATCCTAACTTAACATTATTTTGGATCTTTTAGACTAAAGCAGTCAGAAGATACACGTGCATTGGATTCTAACATACACATTGATAAGAAGCGTATTATTTTTGAAATAGGATTATTAGGTAAGTTTTGATAATAAAAAAATAGATTTAATAAGATCTATGATATTTTTACTAATAATTGTTCAGATATTAAATAATTTCAGGTCTTTAAGTATTTATTATTATTAAATATAGGTTTGGATTAAGTTAACCAAAATGAAATATGATCCAGTTTCTTTTATTAAGTTTATCCTTTCAATGATATAGAATATAGAATAGGAAAATGATAATAGAGTGAGAGAGAAAAAGGAAAAGAGAGGGGATTCTGATCTCAGAGAAGAGAGCCATTTTCCAAGTCTTCGTTTAGACATTCTAAATATAACTGGAGGTTCTATAGGCTTTCCTTACTGTGTCATACTGTGCAGAGTAGTATCTTACTGTGTTGCGTAGATCTTGCTCATTTTCTACCTTTAGTATGGCATTGTGCCAATTTTGTTTGTCTAAAAATTACTGATCAGTTTATAATACTTTTAAATATTACATTTCTTAATCAAAAGTGATTCTTCTATATTTTTATATAACACATATGATAATATTCAGTAGTGGAATTACTTGTTTGATTAATACTTTTAAGATCCGGTATTACAATATAAATAAAAAATATTTATTAGCACTTTTATGTTCTTTATTTTAATATAATCAAATTTTTGTAAAGTATATTTCTTTCATTCTGTTACATACTGTTACTGTCTGTGATATTTTGTTATTAATATCTGGTTAACTGTATTTTTAAACGCTAATTTTATTCAAATGTTTTATGTTTAATTTGGTGTCTCATTACAGACCATGGTTTGTATAGCTGGTCTACCATGCGTGATTAAGTTCAATCTATATAATGGAGCCAAAGATAAGAATCTTTCCAACATCGAATTTGTATTGAACGAATCTACTCGCGGCAGAGATCTTTATGATTATATTCAAGAATGTGGACAAATACAGCCTGACAGCTTTAAATTATATTTGTTGTCATCAGAAGTAATGGTTAGTAATTATGTTTTGCTTATTATGTTATTAATGAATCTAATTTTTTTATTCACGTATAAATAAGAACTATTTTATTGTCGTTAGATTGATTTATCTGAAATGAAGGATAAAACAATGTCAGAAATTGGTGTAGATTTTTCCTACGCTCGAGATTCAACTAAATCTAAATACACACTTGTAGTTTTGGATTCAACCAGTACAAGTTTTTGTACCAATAGTTTGGTACAAAAACAAGTCGAATGTAATCTACCTACATATAATCCTCCGCCACCATCTCCTAATCATTCATCTGTATGGAGCGAAGGAAATGTTGACTTTAAAAGTCTCAATAAACCTGAAATATGTATGTAATTGCTTTTAATATTACTATAAATGAATATATATGTTAAGATGTTTATTCATTATTAATTTTGTCTATAATAATATTCTTGAAGGTTATGTTGGTTTAGTAAATCAAGCAATGACTTGTTATTTAAATAGTCTACTTCAGGCATTGTATATGACTCCCGAATTTCGAAATGCACTGTATAATTGGGAATATGTAGAAGGATCAGAGAAAGATGAAGCTAATAGTATCCCGTATCAGTTACAAAAGTTGTTTTTAAACCTACAGGTATAATATTTTTATATATTCGCGTAACTTATGATACAGTTTGATTACAATAAAATAAATAAATAAGATTTTTATATTTACAGACATCGGCAAAATCTGCAGTGGAGACAACAGCATTAACAAAAAGCTTTGGTTGGGATTCAACAGAAGCCTGGCAGCAACATGATATTCAAGAACTTTGTAGAGTTATGTTTGATGCTTTAGAACAAAAATTTAAGAATACAGAACAAGCTGATTTAATTAACAGACTCTATGAAGGTATAAACCTGAATTATCTACATATATATTGAGGAGCAGTTTATAATATGATATTTATATTGTTAGGAAAGATGATTGATTATGTTAAATGCCTTGAATGTAGTACTGAAAAATCTAGAGAGGATACTTTTCTTGATATTCCATTACCAGTAAGACCATTTGGTAGTAATGTGGCATACAGTAGTGTGGTAAGTTTATATGATAGATTTTAAATAATTAAATTACTATGTTAACTATGAATACATGGAAAATTTATATTAAACAGGAAGAAGCTTTAAGAGCCTTTGTACAGTATGAAACGTTGGAAGGAAATAATCAATATTTTTGTGAAAAATGTAACAAGAAATGTGATGCTCATAAAGGATTAAAGTTTACAAAATTTCCCTATCTTTTAACGCTACATCTTAAACGATTTGATTTTGATTTTAAAACTTTCCACAGAATTAAGTTGAACGATAAGTAAGTATAGATAAAAAGTAACGATCTTGTTTATAATTTTTCTTAATCTTTCGTTTCATGTTCTAAACTTATGATTTTAGGGTTACTTTTCCAGATATATTAAATTTAAATCCTTTTATATCCTCGATACCAAATCAAGAATCTCCGAGCAGCGATGAAAATATTGGTTTAGTAAAATGCGATGACAGTTCGACAACAGATAGCGGTACATTAGATGACGATTATGTCCTATGTGAAAATAATCTTTCCAACAGTAATCATTCGACAAATCACGATCAAGACGATGATGAAGGTACATTGATTTCCTAATTTACGGGCGTTGTAAGATCAACGATTATTTGAACAGTTTATCTTTAGGTATAGACATGAGTAATGGACCGTCGACATCAAATTGCACAGTACACAATCATGAAAATGAAAAAAATCGTAATAGCAGCAGTGTGGCTAAAGGACCTTATAATTATGAATTATTTTCAATTATGATCCATAGTGGGAGCGCTAGTGGTGGCCATTATTATGCCTACATCAAAGATTTCAGAACACAAGAATGGTTGTGTTTTAACGATCAAAGTGTAACTCAGGTATCCAAGATCAGATTTAAAAGTCCAATATTATATCACACATTGTGTTATATAATAATTATTTTAATTGTAGATCACTCATGATGATATTCAGAAAACATATGGTGGTGGTCCAAGTAGACCGTATAGAGTATCAAGTAGTTGTGCCAATGCATATATGCTGATGTATCGTCAGATCGATCCTGTTCGTAATGCTTTACCCATGCAAGTGCAAGATTTTCCGAAACACATACAGGTAACATAAAATTTAGTAAAGGTGAATTTATTCTATTATATTTGATATTATTAAATTAAATTAAATTAAATTAAATTGTAGGAGTTGTTGAAAAAGATGAAAGAAAATGAGGATAATGATAGGAAAACTCGTATATCGCAACACGAAAGTCACACGCTACGTATCCCACACGACGAAAATCGTATGTCACAACACGAAAGTCACACACTACGTATGTGTGTGCCACTTTATGAAACCCTTGCGTCAAACTCGAAATCTCGTATGTCGCAACTCGATTCTCGTATAGGTTACTTTACTCGTAAAGTAAAAGTGCACTGTATACGTCCGAATGAAAATATTCTACTGAGTCATAGACTTCCCTTGCCGCCCGACGCAACTTGGGCAGAAACAACAAAGCAAGTTTATAAAGACTTCCGTTTAGAAAAGATAGTAGATTTAGATCAGTGTCGTTTAGTTGCTTACGACGAGTATAATCACGAAATCGTGGCCAGCTACGAAGGAAGGGAAAACGAAACATTTGAAAGTATTTCGAATAATCGAATAAATAGCCTGTTATTAGAAATACGTGATAAAGATAAAAAATTCGAATCATATCCAAGAGGTAGTAGTATTATTTTATCATATACAAGGGGGGTACGCATTTCATCATAAATGAAATAAAATACTAGTATGTATTTCCATTAATTTTTCAGGTATCGTTACAAAAGTATTTATTGTTGATGTACCTACAAGAGAACTTATAGAAGGTCCAATAATCGTACGAGCTTTACTTACGCAAACTGTAAAAGAATATAAACAAATGGTTGGAAAGAAAATCAATATAGATCTCAGTGAGATGGAGGTAGTTTTGCGAAAACATGGAACAGATACTACACTCGTGTCGAATAGCGATGTTGATCTTCAAGCTGCAGGGTTTTGTAATTTGGTCAACGTGTTCATGTCTAGTATGCTGGATACCGAGTATAAACCTTTCTTTAACACAGCAATATGCGGAATTGTTGAAGAGTTAGAAAACATCATAACGTTACGTATAAAGTTACCCGATACAAGTAAAGGTAAATAATATGATACGATTATTAACGCGAATTATAATTTTTTTTAGCATTGTGCTGCATTATTTTATTCCTTGGTGAAATATTTAGAAACGCTGGAAGATTTAAATATCCCACCATTAGAAGAGGAACCTAAAGACAAAGAGAAACCTGTGGTTTCAACCAGTCCATCCAAAGTAAGTGTTAACGACTCGAATCACGATGCTGGTCCGAAATCTAACGAAGTTTCAAAGACTGGAAAAACTACCGAAGATACTCCTGTAAGAAATCCGAGTCCACAATTGGGAGAAGGTGAAGAATGGAATACTCCTGAACAAAGTAATAGCGAGGATAGTAGTCTCAGTGATAGTGATAAAACATTGGTCGGGGATGCTCCGGAAGATGATGTTTTTCAATTACCGTATCTTCCTTCAAAAAATCGTGCCATTAAAATGCTAAATCACATTGGACTTGAAAATTGGGACAATGTTATCGATGATTCGGAATATTATGTAAAAGTCACCCCTTACATGAGTAGTTATCGAAAGTGTACGTACATTTAAGTTTGTTTCGTGAAGTATCTAAGATAAAACATTTCATAATGATTGTGTTAATTACAGGTTTAAAGGTACTGGTTGATAAAAGGATGACATTCAGTACCTTAAAGAAACATTTAGAACCTTATGTTGGTGTACGTTCAGATTATTTCAAAATATTTCGTTACTTTAACGAATCTGGCGAATCTCAATGTAGTCTATTTAATCGACTTGTTTCCTACGAGGATGAGGAGGAACTTTGCATAAAGCTTGGACGTGCTCTACGCAATGGTGAATTTACAGTAAAATTATATCAGTTTTTCATTGATTCACCTGAGGTATACACAGAATATTAAAATTGTTTGATAAATTCTTTATTTTCTCTATTATATTAAATAATCTTTTTCTTCATCATGTTTTCACAGCCTTACAAATTTTTGTGCGAGTGGATCCTTTCGGAGGGTATGCAAGTCGGTCAAGCGAAAAAAGAATTCTTGGCAGAAATTAAAAGGAAATACGATATAGATATTCCATATGAAAGGTGTCGATTGAGGAAAAAGTGTTTTAGCAAAGCTACAAAAGTATTTTTAGACGATCAGAAATTCGAGCTTCCATTCTATCCGCAAGTCGAAATGATCATACAAGAGTTACCTGACAAGGAGCCAATTACCAATGGCAATCAAGTTGTTTTATTTGTCCGAAGATGGTCCGTTGAAACAATGCAACTTGCACCACTTCAGGAAATTGTTTTGGATAGAAAGTCTGCAGAGGAATTGTACAAAAAAGTATGTGAATTTCATCAAACTATAATTTTTATTTGTACGAAAGGGTTTTCAATAACTAAATGATACATTTTTTACATTTTTTACATTTTTATTTAGTTGTCATCTATATCGGATATACCTGAAAAACACATAGAGGTAGCAAAAGCAAAAGCTTCTTTCTCATATACGTCAATCGTTCGAATTCAGAATGAATTAGAGTGGAACGAAACCATGATTGATATTGAACCTAGTATTCAGGATGGTGCTGAGTACATATATAGGTATTTCAAACATTATCTATTCATTCAAAGGATCAGAGATATACATACAGATCAATGTTAATTCGTGGATTGTATATGTTAACAGGGATAACAGGGAAACGGTAAAGAATTTAACACGGGAAGAGTTCAGTGAAATAGCAGTTCAAGAAGTGTCTCGTTTATTACCACCTTCCTCGGCGCCACGTTATAGTGCGCGGAGAGAGAAAGCGCTTAGAATAAATTTGGATACCGAATGATTTGAAAAATACCGAATTGTTTGAAAAACAATTGTTAAATAGGCATGTGTGGGAACATGAAACACGTACAAAGTGATTACATCGTGTCAGGTATTTGTGGAATCAAGTATTCAACAATCACAAAATATTCTGTGCTTCGACAAGTCTTAAATATTTCAAACCTTCCGTGCTCCCAAGGCCGATTTTCACTTCTGGAATCAATCATTCATTAAATGCTATTCTAAAAATGTTTCGATGCCATAAAGGTCATCAAATTTTCCATAATCTACAGATTACTAAATTGCAAAATCTTCTTAAAGAGCACAAATATATACTGATCAATATAATGGAAATACTAAATGTCAGTAATTTACAAGAAAAAAAAAGAAAATGAAAAGAAAATTCAATTGCTTGGTGATAATCCGAATTTAAATTATGGACTTCTATACATATAATATACATATACGTGTACAATTGATATATTCAGAGTTCCTGCAGATTCATTATTTTCACAAAATTCCTTGATACATTTCTTAACCCCAAGAATTTTCACACCTTTACATATCTGTATTAAAAAGCGTTTTAGGTAAATGTTTTGTTTTAACAAGTTAAATATTAGTGTTGGATTACAGCACAGAGTATATCTGTTTGTTGATAAACATATATCTGACACTACAATAATTAACCCTTTTAATGCCAGTATAGGTTAAATTGCATTCTTACAATATTCATAGAATCATAAGTCTCAAATTCAATTGTTTAATGTGGTAGTAGCAGCGCTTAGAGATGAGTTAGCTATTAATTAGACGAGATTAGTTATGAATTTGATTACATTTTTGTTCTTTAATTTGAAAATTGTATGTCATGCTTCATATTGTTTTAAATGCATTCAACATATTAACACATTACTCCATATAGTTTATTGAGAATTATAAACATACAATTGAAAAGTTTTTAAATATCGTTAGCAAGATACTTTCAATTCATTAGTTTCATTCATTATTTATTGTTTAAATCTAGATTTAATTGCGCCACTACTATCAAATTAAGGAAACATGTGACTATGAAGATCGATTTTGATCAGGCATGTATCCTACAATCTGTTTTAATTTATTTAATTATGTATGTTTATCATTCATTATGTGTTATCTGTACCACTTGAAAAACAAACAAAAAGTACATTTAACTACTCTGGCACTACTGTTGTTTCCGATAAATCGAGTTTTCAATGTAAAGAGAAAAAGAAAAAAAGATTTTCAAAGTAAGTCCACCAAATTTACATTTTGTATGATAGACCAATGCTTGTAAATAATAAAACTTGTGGAATCGAATAACGATATCTTTCTTCGCATCACCATACGTAATAGAATATAAAATTATGTTTGTACATTGTACAATAAGGTATTGCATGTATGTAGAGTACACCATCTTCTTGCATTTATCAGCAGCCTAGCTTGGCATTTTCTTTTCTCAATTCCACTAGTAGATGTTTTGGTGCTGAAAGGGTTAAATACAAAGTTGTTAATTATTCTTATCACTATTTAGAACGTTTGGTAAAAAGAAATTGTACCTTTCAAATGTTATTGGCCATTGTGTAATCAACAATATTCTTACACTTTTCAGTACAATTATAATTTATATTTATGGTGTATTTGCTATGTAAAAGCCCAGTTCAAAATACATTAAACAGCCTGTTATATACAAATATGACAATCTAGATATTTATAGAACGAAGAGTATAAGAACAAAATTCCGAGTTTTTTACAGGAAAAATTTTATTGAGGTATATTATTATGAAATTGAACAAAAAAGAACATCATGTGTTATATTTCTGTTGATTCTGTTAAAATGAATTAATTCTTTAGTCAATTTTTAACCATTATTGCCATTACTTCGTTTTATAGTTGCTCAACATTTTTTAATAATAATATAAATATGAAAAGTGCAAAGATTTATATAATTTGTTTTTCTTATATTTCATTGTGTTGAAAATTGTTTGAAATTGAATGTAACTGATGCAACGAATCGTATTTACAGTGTGTGGAGTTCACGTATTTATTATAATAGTTTTTATTCACATTTATTTGATAATAGATGTTACTTGTATTATACACTACATATATTTACGAAACATTACAATTATTAATAATTGAATATCAAAGTAATTTGATGCATTATACGCTACTTATATCAATTTATGCTTGTATTCGTTGAGTTACAAATATTTCTTTCTGTCTTAACGCGATTGTTATGTTCATTAATATATTTTTGCGTGAATAGTTTGGAATGGTCTGAATAAATATTACATTGAAAGTATTTCATACAGTTTAAGTTTTACATTTGCCCGCATATTAACTTATTAACATTTACAGAATTTTCGGCATACACCAGTTTTTACGAACTCATCGTGAAAGCAAACTGATCAGATATTCGGCTATAAATTATCCGCATCGCTCTGAAATAAATCAGTACGTCTTCGGACACCAAACAGGAAGGGTGAGTGTATGTGCGGTTTTTCGATGGCGGCGCCATCTATACAAAAGTGGCTCAAACTGTTCAACGACTTACCGATCGATGTTTTGGAACAGGGAACACTGGCGCCATCTAGCGGGAAGAGGCGGAAACCAGTCGGCAAATAGTTTCTACCCCTTTCCGCTAGATGACGCCAGTTTACGCTGTTCAACTACTTCCCGATCGATTTTTTGGAACAGGGAGCACTGTCATTTATTATTTTATCCCGTGGTATCAACATACATGAAGCTAGCCCGAAGGAATAATAAAATATGATTATTTTTAATTTTTCTTAGTGTATTTCGTATGTAAATAGTTTGTGATTGGTTGTGAGTCTATATTAAACGTTTGTGACAAATTACTTCTTTTGTAATTAGCAATTTTTTTACAGTCATGATGTGAGCCCAAACATTTTAGTAATTTTTTATAATAAACAGATTTTGCGATAACTGATAACTGTAATTTATTGTCTTTATTTATTGTTTGTGAGTGAATAAATTCTTAATTATCTACAAGTTTGTTTTATAATAAATAATTGTAGTGCGCATGCGCTACAATCCGGTCGTACCCATCACTACCTTGAACAAGTGAGTTTCACGATTTGTTCGTTTTTAGGTCTTATATTTCGCTAGATCCGGTCGTACCCATCACTATTCCGAACAAGTGAGTTTCAAGACTTGTTCGTTTTTAGGTCTTATATTTCGCTATTTGTTTCGGGGTCCCTGGCACCCCGGTGGCACAATTTCGGTATGCAGCGTCACTGGTACGCCGGGGTCTCAGATACCCCGATGCCATAGTGTCGGTAAGTAAAGAGTGTCATCGGTGCTTTGGGGTCCTTGACACCCCGAATGCCGAAATGTCGGTATGCAAACAGTGTCACTGGTGCTTTGGGGTTCCTGATACCCCAGATGATATCATGTCGGTGTACAATGATACTCATTGGTGCTGTGGGGTTCCTGGCACCCCGGTTGTCAAAATGTCGGTATGCAAACAGTGTCACCGGTGCTTTGGGGTTCCTGACACCCCAGATGATATCATGTCGGTGTACAATGATACTCATTGGTGCTGTGGGGTTCCTGGCACCCCGGTTGTCAAAATGTCGGTATGCAAACAGTGTCACCGGTGCTTTGGGGTTCCTGACACCCCAGATGATATCATGTCGGTTTACAGAGATACTCATTGGTGCTGTGGGGTCCCTGACACCCCGGATGCCAAAATGTCGATATGCAAACAGCGTCACCGGTGCTTTGGGGTTCCTGACACCCCAGATGATATCATGTCGGTGTACAGAGATAGTCCTTGGTGCAGTGGGGTCCCTGGCACCCCGGATGCTATATTATTGGTATGCAAAGATAAGTACGGCGCATCGGGGTCCTTAATACCCCAATATGATATCAGGTCGGTACGCTGAGGGCGCGATCTGCGAGCGGGGTCCCTAACACCCCAGTACCGTATCAAGTCCGTATGAAGAGGGCACAACCAGTTTAATTTTATTTCAGAGTTTATTTAATTTACTTCATTTATTTTTTTGCTTGTCATAGAATTATTTATTATTATATCCCTCTTCTGGATCTCAGCCGAGGACCTCATTTATTCTACTTTGTCCAGTAATTTATATAATTTTATCCATCATTATAGGCCAAGGCCATCTCAGTATCCCTTACATCCCTGCATTCCTTTCATCCCTACATTCCTTTCATCCCTTCATTCTTTTCATCCCTACATTCTTTTCATCCCTACATTCTCCTCATCCCTACATTCTTTTCATCCCTACATTCCTTTCATCCCTACATTCCTTACATCTCTGCATCCCTCATAATAAATATATTATAAAAACTGCTTCGGGTAAAGGTAAGTGAAGGTAAGTAAAGGTAGGTAAAGGAATTTCGCGAAAGTTTCGAAAAACAGCCCCCCCTGGCGGCAAAAATTCGAACTAAAATTTCGATGTCGAATCAGCGCCATCTGGTTTCGGAAAAAGGAACTAAACCTTGAACCATTTCTGGCCCTCTGGCGGCAAAAATGTGAACTAAATTCTCGATGTCGAATCAGCGCCATCTGGTTTCGGAAAAAGGAACTAAACCTTGAACCATTTCTGGCCCTCTGGCGGAAGAAATGTGAACTAAAATCTCGATATCGAATCAGCGCCATCTGGTTTCGGAAAAAGGAACTAAACCTTGCACCCTTCCTGGCCCTCTGCTGGCAAAAATGTGAACTAAAATCTCGACGTCGAATCAGCGCCATCTGGTTTCGGAAAAAGGAACTAAACCTTGAACCATTTCTGGCCCTCTGGTGGCAAAAATGTGAACTAAAATCTCGACGTCGAATCAGCGCCCCCTGGTGGCGATAAAAGGAACTAAATTTGTATAAAATCGCAGGCCTTATAGCCGCAAAAATTTCAACTCAATTTCAGGGAAGTACTAGGATGTATGGAATACAGGAATATAAGTGAAACAAGGATGTAAAGGATACAGGCATGCAAGGGATGAATAGATGTAGGGGATAAAGAGACGTAAGGAATGTAGGGACATAAGGGATGAAGCGATGTAAGGAATGTAGGGATGAAAGGAATGTATGGAAAGAATGTAGGAATTTAAGGGATGAAGCTATGTAAGGAATGTAGGGATGAAAAGAATGTATGGACGAAAGGAATTTGGGGATGAAAAGAATATAGGGATGAAAGGAATGTAGGGATGAAAAGAATGTAGGGATGCAAAGAATTCAGGGATGTAAGGGCTTGCTGGGATGTTAGGAATGCAGGGGTGTAAGGAAAGCAGTGATGTGAGGAATGCAGTGCTATAAAGATACTGGGATAAAAGGGATACCGCGAGATACTGGTAAAGTAGGTATGATTGTTATACCGGCTGTGGTTTCTGGATACAGACCTAGTCTTATCTGGGGGTGTCTGAGATCCCCCTAAGTCATATCCCCTTGAAAACATAGGTACGTCCAGTCTTTTGCCTCTATAGTCACTGGTACAATTCGAGACCGCTTGAAAACAAAAATATGTCCAGTGTTATTGGATGAGGTGTTAAATAATTTGTGTGGATAAAAAATAAATTATATTTACTTTTATTACATGCAAAATATGGTGTACTTACATTTCCCATCGAATTTAACGGAAGAGGAGTTAATGTTGCAAGCAAAGTATAATAAACTTAAAAGGAAGGTACAGATAGGTTATGTTTACTTTTTGACAGTTCAACAGAAATGTAAATTCTGTTTTTAAATTCTATCATATTCAATTTCTTCTTTCGTACTAGCTTTAATTTCTTGTTTTAAGAAAAAGGCATTGCAAGATTTAAAATCTCCAAAACAAGAGACTGAACGTATACCACAGACCCCAAAAAGGCCAACAGAAGCAAGAGATGCAAGGGAAGTTGCTAAAAAACTAATAAAATCGGGTGTAATCACAGCTCCAAAGACTCCTAAAAGACCAGAGCAGTCCTTTAAAAGACCACGTGGATTAGTAAGAAAATTAAACAGTACAGAAAAAACAGTAAGCTCTTACCAACCATTCTCAGCTACACAGATGGAAGAGGAAGAAACAGAAACAGCACGGCCAAGGGTTAAAGATTTGTATGATAGTTTTGTAAGTGCTCAAGATACAGAGGATCGTACCGGTAGCGATACGCAATCGCCATCAAAACAGGAAACAAAACCCCGCGCGGGGAATACAATATTTGTATGTGGTTATAAAATATCAGAAGATTTTTTGAAAAAACATTTTCAGACATTTGGAAATATTATTAATATTTCAATGGAAGCAGAAAAAAAGTGGGTATTAGTTTCCAACATTGTTTCAAATAAGAAAGTGTGAAATTTTATTAATATGCAATTTTATTTTTTAGCCGTGGATTTATAACATTCGATAAATCGGAAGCGGCTGAAAGGGCAATAAGTGAGATGGATGGTAGCATGGTATCTTCGATTCAGTTAAAAGTATCGTTAGCACGGCGACAACCTATAATAGAATCTATAAATGACGTTACGTCTAGCTCTATGTGGTCACCAATCGCGGCAAATTATTCTCAGAAAAGTGTGCACAAAGATAGGAGAGATCTGAAAGTGTACGAGGAAGACCTTTTTGTGTGAATGCAATATTTTTAATTTATCCATCTTGTTCTAGAGTATGTTGTTACACGGTTACAATATTCGGAGTCTTGGTTTAAAATAAACTTGTACATAGCTTCTGTTACTTTTAAAGTATGAAAAAAAGGTTTTTTTTTTTGATTAAATTCTACTCCTTTTATGATACTACATTACTACTAACTTGATATAAAATTTGTTATTCCGTTTGTCCTCGTATTTATTAATTGCTGACTTTTAAATGATATCTGAGATTTTCATTTTTTTCTACAAAGGATTTGCGTCGATAAAAAAATAGTTATAACACTCGTATCGATAATAGATATTTGTAATTGGGAGATACATGTGTATATATCAGGATATATACACATATGCAGCACTTAGCAATTAAGTACAAGTATTCTCGCAGTAAATGATACGTGGGCATTAACTTTTTTACAAGTATCAGTCGCTCACTATCGTTTACCGGTTGTATTAAACATTTAACCAGAGAACAGACGCGTTACCTTCTTTGTTTCTGTTGTACGTTATCAAGCTTATTCTAATTTCTATTAGCGGATTCTCGTTACATGTATAAATTGACATGATAAAAATGATAGATTCAAATAAACATATAGCTTTGAGCTGTTTAATGATTTCCTTTATTTCTGTGCGTTATTTAGGCGGATTAAAATAATCCCAGTGATGATGATGCGTTACCGTTCGCGTGCTACTGAACAAGAATATCAATAAGCCAGTGACTAACAACAACATGGCGCATATCGTTAGTTCCACCTCTCGGATCTTCTCCCTGGATTCTTCGCCTACCATGGAAGCGGTGTACCGTACGAAATGCCTCATGGCTTTCATACACGCTAATCGTAGAACTCTGATTAATTGTCTCGCGCTATCCGCCACGCTGGCCTCTGAATCTACGGGTTGACTGGTCAGGGAATAAAATTGACTTGGAATTTGTGAAGCTGGAAACGCTATGAGATGGGTACCGCCTAGAGGAAAGGAGGGTACGATCGGTGATTGAGACGATTCCCTTTGGCTCTCCCTCTCGGATACCTCCTCGGTGTACGAAGTGTAAGAGATAACGGCACGTTGCGGTTGCGTCTCGCTGGTGATGCCGTGTAGTGCTACATTGTCGGGTGTGTCTGGTGTTACAGAGATAGCAGGGGGTAAGGATCGTACCGGAGAAGCGGTTTGTCGCGCTGGAGAAACACGTATAGGGGACGGTGATCTGGATCTTGATTTCCGACTCTTTCGCTCCGGTCTTTCCGGGCTGCTCTCCTTATCTTCATCTCGGTGCTCTGTCATCAGCGTGGAAAACTCGGCTGGTACCATCGATTCCAATTGTTCGTCGCTTGGTTCGGACATTCGATCGGAGGAGAATCTCGATTTCATCGCATCGTCGTCTGTTTTCGTTGTTCTAGACGACGGAGGAAGGGAGGCGCGGGATTCTTCCACGTTGGCCTGCTTAGCGGTGCTCAAAGAAAGGAGGGATTCTGAATCAAAAATTCGTAAGGACTTATCTTCAGTTGGCTGAACGACAGAGGGTGATTGTGTTGTGAGAACTTGGGTGACTGATAATGTGTGCGTTACTGGTATTTCGTTATCTTCGACGTTTGCTCGTGCAATGGACTGTGTACGTGTGCCGGACATTTCTTTGTCCTTCGTTTCAACTACTTCTCTTTTAACAACCTTTTGCTCCTCGGTTGGCCTCGACTTCTCCTCGTCCGCAGGGCCTTCCTGGACCGTCTGCTCGGCTCCTGGTTTCCGTTCCGATTCCTCCTCGATCGGTCTAACTTCGCGAACTTGGCTCTGTTGTGCTTGAGAAGCGGCCACCGTTTCCAAGTGACTTCTAATGGCTATCAATTCCTTGATGATGGACGGAGACAGACCCTCCGCTAACATACCCGTCATGCTCTTCAACTCGGACGCAGTGATAACTAACGCGTCCACTTCCGACGCGACAATTTTCCCCGCCTCTATCTGCGACACGTTCAGACGATCTACTCGTAGATCTCCAACCTCGAGGTTACTGATTCTGACAGGCTCGTTCGACGACAATAGAGCGGAATGGACGGACGGTACGCGCGGATTTTCCTCGCGAATACGTTCCCCCAAGTGTGGCGCGGACAGGTGTCTATCTTGAAGATTTTCCATTTCGCGTGCAGGCGACGGGGACTTCAAGGACACCGTGTCGTAGGGTAGTTCCGTTTCTTCCTCCCTGCGCATACGTTGGGAGATCGGCAAGGGAGGAACAACAGGCGGTGTGCTTGCGTTGGATGGACTGGGTATCCTTTCGGTAGAGACCATGATCTGGGAGCCTGACACGGAGGGGGCGACCACGAGTTTCGCCTGAGTCACTTCCTCTTCGATCACCATGTCGTCGGGCAATGGATCGGTCTGGGTCGCGGTCGTCGTCTCCATGATGGACTCCTGGTTCACTGCACCCGCAGAACGTTCCAGGGAACGATCCTTCCTTACCCTGGGTGGTCTCGGTGGAGCTGGCAGTGGACGCCCTTGCATTTTGCTTAGCACCTCGTCGCTGCGGAGATCCTTGTGTTCCCCGTCGTCAGAATCGATCTCTATGTAGGGGGCAGACTCTGCTGGCTGAAGGGTTGTCGTCTCAAACTCATCCGTCAGTATGTTCATTTCCCTGGACATACTTGGACCCAAGGTACTGTAGGCGCGTTGAGGACGTTTAGGGGCTACAGGTTTTGGGGTCGTGGCGAATTTGTCTTTTTTTCTACGCGGAGGTGGTGGCCGCGGTGGTTTGTCTCGTTTCTCTATGATAGCGTATCCCGATAGATCTCTGCCAAAGTCTAGATCGTCTCTAGGTATATCCTCCTCTACGTACCCTATCTCTGGTAGGGATTCAGCCCCGTGGGAGGTTCTGTCCTCGTCCTGGGCTACCGAGGTTCCTCTGGACCTGGATCTCCTCTTCGGCGGAACTGGCGCTGGTTCCATATACTCCTCTTCTCGCAGACGCGTGGCCAGCATCCGAATGTTCTCCTCGCTGGTCGCTATGATCTCCTCCGCGGTGTACGCTTCCTGGTCATCTGGCAACTGATCGGTGGGTGGTAATGGCAAAGGTTTCTCGGGAGCTGAATCAGTTGCAGCCCACTCGGTGTGTCCGTTGCATATAGCCGCCAGCTCACCGTTCCTTCTCTCCGTGGGTGTTTCTTTGCGTAAACGTTTTCGACGAGTCGGAACGACGGGCGGAACAGAGGCGGGCGAGGGTGGTCGAGGCGTATCCGTTCGTATCTGGGACCGACTACGCTGAGAGGATTTGGACTTTCTACGCACGGGTTTCACTACTACAATATCGTCCAAGGGTTCGATCGGTAATTCCGGTGGTTCGCCTTCGGTCTGATAAACTATCCGGTGTTTCGAATCGGTTCTGGTGCGTTCAGGAAACTGCTCCTCTATGGACTCGCTGCGGCGAGACCTGTTTGGGTCTCTTTTGGGTCTGACTGGCGGCATCGCTTCGTACGACTCGATCGAACCCTCTTTTTGTTTTCCCAAGGATCTGCTCCTGGTGGGACGCTGCGGAGGAGCCGGCATCGATGCGTCGCCCACAAGTATGTGACTCTGTTCCGCTCGAAGGGCGTCCCTGATCTCGCTGGTCAGATACTTGCCGAGATTCGTGTCGTCCTGGCTGAGACCACCCTCTCTCAGGAAGAACTCGTCGTAATCGATCTCCTCGATAACCCCGCGACGTCGTCGGTCGCACGAGCTGCCACTCGATTGCTGTTGCTCCCTGTCCGACTGTGCGGACGAAGGTTCCGCTTCCTCCTCCTCCTCCTCCTCCTCCTCCTCCATCTCTTCGTCGTACTCCTCCTCCTCGGACGGTGTCTTGTGCACTCCGTATCTCCTGGGGTCCACCATCACGAACGTCCCATCGTACCCTTCCTCTTCCCTCGCTCGTAGAACCGCTTCCAAGGAACGCGATCGTTGAACTGCTCTGAATTCATCCCTGGCAATCCGTTCCTCCGCTCTCCAATCAACATCACCCTCTTCCACCTCCTCTTTCTTAGTCCCTTTCAAATATGCTTCCGCCGCGTCTTGGTCCTGATACAACCTGGGATTCGATTCCGTTTGTTCTCTATCATAAGAATCATCCTCGGTTCTGGAAGCCTCTGATGTCGGGTGGGCATGACGCTCGGAGATTTCAGGAGATTCCTGTTCGTAATCCATGTATTGCAGCTCCTCCGGCGGTTCTTTCTCTTCCCAAGGTATCCTGGTGTCTCCTTCGAATCCGAGGGACAATCTAGGCTCCTCTCTCGAGGGATGACGCCATGGTGGCGATCTCTCCGCCGCGGTGTCCGCGCCCGAACGATCCTCGTCGATGTACGCCGTCGTGGTCTCGAACCTCCTGGTCCATCGTTTGCTGACGACCATCCCTTTACGCGGTCGGGGAAAAGTAGCGCTCTCAGCGGACTGCGCTCGAGAATCCTTCGGTGTAGAGGTCGCGTAGTAGTCGCTCTTGTTCTTCGATTTCCTCTCGAATATCCGTGGATACGTGGAGAAGTCGAAGATGTTTTTACCACGAGAACCCACCGTCGAGTCGGTGGAGCGTTCGTTAGGGGGAGACGATCTTCTCGTACGAGCTAAGGCGTTCTTCAGGTTGAACTTGGGCCTCTCGGGCAAATGAAACTTCGGTCGATCCGGTAGAGAGAATCTCGGACGATTGGGTAGATTGAACCTCGGTCGTTCGGAGAAGGATGATCTGATTCTGTCCATTCGGCTGGGTCTCTTCTCGGTCCGCGACTTATCCGACCTGGTCCTCTCGGCTCTTTGACGTTCCGGCAACGCGAACGTCGGTCGTTTAATGTTCTTCAATCGTGTGCGCAGCTTACCAGCCTGTGTCTTCAGCCTGTGGGGCAAACCGCGGGCACCGCGACGAAGGGGCAGCTCCTCCAATGCTAACGAGTCTACCTGAAATAAAAGATTGGCAATCGTTGATTGATTCATTGGCTGATCGATTATATGCGGAAAAACGTGATCGCATAACGTAACCAGTTTAAGAATGGCTTTCGCTGTTGCGTTGTTCGAGAGATATTTGAACCTACTGCGAGTTAGACTACCGATGCCCCTCACCTGGTCCTTGACGCAATACAATCTTTGTTTTGCATCGCGATCGGTACAGGCATTTCAAGAGAAACGAGGAGGGCACTGAGGGGGGTAAGTATGCGGACTTAGAAATAGCATCGTCAGGAATGGAAATAAGAGTAGAAGAAGACGGAAGAAAAAGCGATTTCCCTTTCGAATGTTTATAATTAAAGGTTTTCGAATAAAATTTTTTTAAAGAAACTTTGAATAGTAGAAAAGTTTTTCGACGATATAACGAACGGAAATAGTTTGAATGGGTGAGAAAACTATTAACGAGTCCTCCGTCGCGTCGTTCGAACTTAAAGAAATCATCTTGTCTCGAAATAATGATTATTTTTTCTCCTCGTTACAAACGAGGCCAGAGACGGGATCTTTTAATGCGTTATGTAACGCGACGAACGAAAGAGAGAGAGAGAGAGAGAGAGAGAGAGAGTTAAAGACGGACAGTAACGATACGACGGTTTGGTCGATGATGATTTAGCGGTTGATCGTCGTTTCGACGGGAATCTGGTATTTTTAGGGGAATTGTGCAACCGATGGGAAAAGCCCGAATTTTCTGGAACGTTGCGACGATGATTGCACAATGCCTCGGACAGTGACACGTTGGCTCCAATGCTTTTTATACGCGTGTTTCGCTAAATATAGTCCCGGTGGGTAAGAAACGGGAAAGCCTCGCGCGACATTCGTCGTGCTGTCTTCGTTTTACAGTATCGTAGCCCTGTTCGAACCTGAGGACTTCCTTGAAAATAAAAAGAATCAAAGAAAATACTTGTCGACGCGTCGTCAAGTATCTAATTTAACCAGTCTCCTTATTTTCTTTTCTCTTTTATTTAAATTAGACATCGTGCTGTTAAATTACATATTAATTAAATTAATTAACCCACCTGACTAGTGTTAACTTCGCCATCGGTTCTAGACTCGGCGCCAGGCGTGGGAGCATTAAAGAATCGTTCCTCCAATCGTTCCTGAAGTTGCTGCGGAGTTTCCAGTTCCTCCGATGTGTCGCCGGTTTCGACGAGTTCGCGAGCCTCCATCGCGGTGTCCTCGATCTTGCCATCGAGAGGAAGGATCAGTTCACCGGCTCGCGTCAATTCCGGTGGCAGTCGTGCCCGGTCGTCGATGCTGTCGTCGCTGTCAGCGACGGGCACCACATCCGTGTCGGTGATTCGCACGACCGGCGCCGACGCTGCTTTGGGCGACGGCGACGGTGCAGCGATCGGTTCGTACTCGTGCTCGCTATTATAAAAAGTTACTCTTTTTCTCCTTCTGGCTCTGACCGGCATTTTTCACTTCGTTTCGGCTAATTTTTTCTTGTTAGTCTTTTCTTAATTAACTAACGATTAATATTAATTGCGCTTCTTCTTATTCGTTAGAATATAAAATTACTGACAATGAGACGGTTAATACTGGTTCGGAAGTCAGTCTTGTTAGTTGAGCAAACGGGACGCTTATATCCGCCGCCTCCTCTCTTTCACTGGAGGGGACTGTTTCAGTAGTATAAGTAGAGATTGGTCGGGCGCAGTTCTCCAGCAGTGATATAGATCAGCGTTTTGATCGCGCATGAGGGCAGTGTCGAAGGAAGACTAACGTTCAGCTGATCTCTCCTTTCAGATCAGATTCAGGTACGTGTTTATCCCAGGATCGTGGGAGTGCTGTTACAGTGGTAAAAATTGATTAGTTTAAATTAAGGTATTACCCCGATGATCTTCAGGTGAAGCGTTATCATGATTTTCCACGGAGATGATCGATACCTGTGCTCCGATTACCGCGATATACAATGACTCGACGGCCGGTTAAACCGGCCGTTAAACGCGTCGCGTTTATTCATCATCCCCTTTCTCGAGAACGCATCCATCAACTTCCTCTCGTCCTCGTCCACTCGATTCGCACACGCGTTCCTTCTTCTCTATACAGCATGCACACGAACGTTTGGACGCGGAACCGAGCGAGCTGATCGAGGATTCTATGTATAGCCAGCCGGGCGAACCTTAAATAGCTGCGACGGTTCGCGAGCATAGTCGAAACGCGTAACCAACACACCGGCTATGATCATCGTGCGTGTACATGCCGCGTCTGGAAAAGGCTGGGATCATGCTGGTATCTTGGTCGTTTACCCGAAACCCGATGAAGGTTTAAACACGTTCGATCCCCGAACGGACAGTTCAAGTTTGGTCGAGATAAGGCGTAATTGTAAATTAAGATCTTAACGAACGGCATTGATCGATGTCACCGCTGTCAGGAGCGTATATGGCACTCTGCTTTAGGGTTCATCGACACTTTATGGAATGGACACTTATGAAAAAATTTCTTTGTAAAAAAATAAAAACACTCTTTTGAAATTCCTTATCCCTCCATATGTCTCGTAAGTTGTTGGCGCAAGGTAATACTAGCTGATCGGGATCGAACGCGTTAAAGGGAGATGTTGGAGGCGCGACGTTGAGCGGTATTTCTCTGTTTAGTTACTGACCTGCAGCGGACCGCAGGTGGCTGCTGCATCGTCCTGGACGGCGGTCTACCGAGGAGAGCACGTCGTTCCGGCAGAAGCGAGTCGCTCTGGTAGTACTGACACCCACAACGGACCTCGCGTCCGAGGCTCGACGTCGACGACGCTCGCGAGCCGCGTCCACGTTGCTCCCGGTCCATCCCCACCCCCTTCGATTCCACTTGTCCACCTCCAGTCTCCTACCTGACACCACGTAGACGTGGCCGACCGCCACGCGCTGGCTGCTATTCACGATCCCGCCTTATCCTCCTTCTCGTTCGGCTGCTCGTTACACCCCCATTAACACAGTGAAAGAGGGAGAGAGTATGGCTCCTAGAGCAGACCGCTGCACCGGCTTCTTCTAGGCGACTCTCTACCCTCTGACCGTCCGAGAAACACCGACACGGACATCCGATTATTTATAGAAACCTTTCGTTTCGACACGGCCAGCGACACGAGTTCTCGTGCTGGCCAGAATTCACCTGTACCACCTGGCGGACTCTTCGTTGAAATCCACTGCTAAGGGGAGGGATGTGCCTCGCTAGACGCGGGAATTCGATTTTCTTGCACCGCGACGCGCGGCGTCGTCGCTTTCCGTCCCGTCTACTTGCTCGGTTCAGGAAACAGTATCGATTCGCTTTCATTTTCCACTTCGTTCTGTAATTTTTCAATCTAGTTTAGCTGGTATACTAAATATTTTGTAACAGTGGTAGGTATTATACTACTTACATTGCTGATGAGTTAGAAAAATTCTTCTATGATTCTAGTTTCTATGGATCAGATCTTTCTTCCGACAGGATTTCGATATCATGGAAAACTAAAACATATTTTTTTTTTTTCCCTTTCTTTTCGATCTAGTTGATCTTTTTCTTCTTTTCAAAGTGCCGAGACTTTGTCGAATGATTCTGTTCGTTGCTTTTTGTTACATTCTTCGAATTCGAGACTGTGGATGGATTCCAAACACGGTTGCACCCGATACTTAGAGGATATTTTCACCGATGATAAACGCGGGTCATGTTTTATTACGATACACGAAAGCGCAGCGTTCGTATTCTGATTTCCAATATATGTATAATCATATTTCAAAAATAAAAAAAATCAATTCCTTTTTCCGTACAAAAAATCCTGGAAAAATAAAAAATAAAAATGAACATTTCAATTACAACTTTCTAACTAACAAGACATATATAAGCTTTTGATAGTCGAATGAGCCGTAAGTATTTCACTGCATTTATTCCACAAAATACAAATTGATAAATGTATTCTTTTTTTTTTTAATTTTTATTCTTATACGGTCCTACATGTAGCAGGACACTGAAACTGTGTGCTGGTGTCCTAAAAGTACTTTAAAAAAACGATCATCCTTGACTTGAAAATTTTACTAATCGTTTTTTTTTTTTTTTTTGTTGAAGAATATACACTATCGTGTCATCGTTAGGAATAAACATTTTTTTTTTTCTTGTTGGGGTCGAATTTGAACAGTTGTAATCGAATCAATGGTTGCAGCCGGTTTTATTCAATTTCGGAGGCTATACTTGATAATATCCTTTTGCTGAAAGGAACATGACGAGGTGTTTCAGACAAACTCGACTCCTTATTTTCTTTCTTTTTTTTTTTATGTCGCTCACATCACAGGACACTAAAAATGTGTTTGTATCCAAAAATATACGTAGAAACGTTCGATCGAATCATTGTTCATCGTTACACCTCATCGAAATCGAGATCTACACCGCTAAATTGCTTTTCTTTTTTTCTTCTTTTTTTTTTTTCTTCTTTTAATTAACATTTTCTAGTGTCCTTATCGAAGATTCAGAGCTGTCGTTCACGTAACAGCTTCTGTTCTACACTTCAGCGATACTGTAATCATACTAGTACAATAATAGTATTAGTACGTTAACCCTGGAACGTCTGAGCCGGGTGAACAGTGACCCAGACCTACAAAACACACATACCTATGAGGCATCGATTGAAATTAAGCTCTCAAGTTTTTTTTACAGATTCCTTAGAGATTGAAAAATAATATTCACAGATTTATTATTACAGTAAAGTAAGTACTAGGTGGAAATGATAGTATTTTCGATAATTAATTAAATTAGATCGATTAAGTCGGCTCTTGGTCCAAGGGTTAATACAGTAACGAGGTAGCGGTAAGATAGTAAAGGGACGATAAACCTGGTAAAGTTAACTTGCAACGCGGATCAAAACGTGTTGGGAACAAGTGTTTCTTTTCTTTTTTTTTTTTTTTTTTTTTCATAAAGAAGAATTTTCATCAGCTGGGAATCGCAGAAAACTATAGCCGGAGAACAATGATCGTCGTGCAATGATCTCTGATATCAGACAGTATCGGCGATTGTTTGTTTAACATACCCCCTGTCACGTGAATTTTAATATTCATAAGAAATTTCTGAAACAAAGAGCCAATGGAAAATTAAGAGCAAGTCAACGATCTCCTACGTGGCATGGAATATGTTAAATAATTAACTGGGTAACGTTTCGATCAGCGAAGAATTACTTCTCTGTACCTGTAATAAAAAGCGTACAAACACGAATAAATTTATCATCTTCCATCGTGCCAAATACAAGTACGATCTTCTTTTTAATACAGGTACAATGATAAAATTGAAATCAGAAATTTTCATATAAATGAACGTTACTATTATGTTCTAAGAAGTTGAACGACGGAGTTAACTCTGCTCTTCTCCTTGGGTCCATACGACCCTGAACGAAGAATATATATAATTTTGGATTTACTTCTTTAGGATACGCGTTCGCTCGAGAATAAATCGTTTGAAAATATGAAAAACTGTATGTAATTTGTTTCAAATGCCACAAAGTGAAAGTGTAAGTGAGAAGAACAGCAGGGTTAATTAGTCATTTCTAATTAACGGGTTAATCACGGTGAACATTAGAAACGGTAAATATAGAATCTTCTCTGTTAAATCGTCGCGATGTTAGGACACGTACAGCGTATTGTACGTGTTCTTCGACTCTTATAAAACATATAAGACTTGTTACTTCATCCTCTTTTATATCCTCTCCCTATTCGCTCGCCCTATTCATTTATTTATTTATCATTTAATTCTTTAACGATACGATCAATTACAATATACATATTTAGAGATTTTTAGAATAATTTTTGTCTGATTTTTAATAATTTCTTCTGTTCTGATACTTTGTGCACTCTACCGGTATACGTTCAACAAAAATATCACACAAACCATAAATATCACTTTTTTGTAATACGATACGAGATACAATTCTTAATTTAGTTCGACGTTAAAAAGACTAGAATTTACAATAAATATTATATGTACAAGTGAACACAGTTGAATTTCTCCCCTCTTTGTCACGACTGATTTCTTTCACCGAGAGAAATCAGAGTTCTCCGAACAGAGCGGTTCTCGTTCAATTCGGCGAAGTCGTCGATGAAGGTTCAATGAGATGACGACACTGTTACTCAGCGGCCGGTGAGTGTTCCACTTTTTGTTTATAAATAAACGAGAGCCACATAGTCGGATGTCTGTAACGTTGGCGAACCGCTGAAGGTGCGTGAACGTGGGTGGCAGGAAGATGAACAGGAAACGTGAGAGCGTGAAGAGTAACAGAGAAGGAAGACGAAGTTTAATTACCGAAGAAATAGAAGATGTAAAAAATTCGTGGGTCAGATTAATTTATCGACGTAGAAAGTCTGAAGCAATTTCACGATCGCGATTTTTATTCTGTCGTGAAATCGCGTTAGACTGAAATCCATCGTCTGATATGAATACATAGAACAAAGTATAACATAAAGCACAAAGTATCAGTATCGGATGATTCGCGTTAAATTTCGTTGAGAAAGAGTATAGCGATTAGAGAGAGGGGTGTTGGAGCGTGCATGTGTAGCCTGGATCCGAACCGAACCGGAAAGGAATTCGCGGCAAACAGAATCGTATTTCATCCAAGTTCGACGACACGCTAAAGCTTCTTAAATCGTACAAAGCACCAGTGCGTACAAATTCACTCTTCGTCTATACATGCAGAATCACAATATCTTTCTTTCATACGTATATTTACCCATCGACGCGGTGACAGAATATATCATATATTTTGTATATATATATATATGTATATATATATATAGACTTTTTTCTCTTTTTTTTTTTTTTTTTTTTGTGTTTCGTTACTAGTCCGTAGCAAAAAACTGGCAGCGGTGTGTCGCGATTAACATAGAACGTTAGAGAGAAAATTCTTCCTGCATATTTTTTTCTCTTCTCTTTATCATCCTCGATGACATCGTTCCCGGTTGTCCATCGTGGACGCAGCGAGACGCCCGGTTACCCTGAGACTGCTCGACGATTAATCGAGCTGTTACACGCGGCTTCGTATATAACACTCGCGGCGATCTGGACGCGGCTCTTAATGAGGTCTCAGTGTAACGATTTTATTGTTGCAATTGTAGTTACAGTAATCGTAATCGTAGTCGTGGGTATAAGGTGGCAACAGGGACGCGGACTCCGGGGCCGGGCAGGGAAGATGCCTGGGTCAGGCGAGCTCGTTGCTGTCCGGAAAATGGTCACGACAGTCGAGACAGGCGGCCAGGTCGAGCACCAGATGATGAAGAGTCGGATGTTCGAGGACCTCGGCGTCCGGTAACGGCGGATGGCATCGGGGCCTTTGCTGTCGACCCCTGAACGACCGATGAAGATTCAATACCACGTCGCAGAACACGTAGCGAACCAGCAACAGCCGTAGGAAATCGTCGCCGAAGAATTGCAGCACGCTGGTCTCTGGAGGAAGGCGTGAAATGGTGATTAGTCGAGTAATGTTTTTCTTTTTAATCTGATTAATTTAGATTAATTATTTTAATCTAAAATGAGAGAGAGAAAAGTTTCTATCATTTGCAGGAGTTTGCACGACTAGTTCAGGCCAAGACATTTGGTTAAGTGTGATCTCGTGGTCGACCTGGATGCAGCTACGCAAAGGGGTTAAGAAACTTCTTCTCGCGAATATTACGTAAGCGTTGATAACCCTTGTTCCAGATATAGCAGTCGCGAACGAGTTGGCGAGTACAAGGGAGCTTCCGATTCGCGAAACAACCGCGACAACTGATCGACGGTAAGGCTTCACGGTTGAAACGAGTAATGGTGAACAAATTTGCATAGCGTCGTTGTTATCGTTGCCGTCGTCGTCGTCGTCGTCGTCGTCGTCGTCGTCGTCGTCGTCTGAGCTCGAGAACCTGTTGTTCGAACTTCCCCCTCGACGAATTATCGTTGTTCGGCTTTGGATAGAGGAGATCGAAACTTTTCCAACTCCCCCTCTGCTTGAAAGCGAATGAAACGTAAAGGTTTAGAGTCGGGCCGGAGACTCGACAAAGGAAACCACTCGTACGTTCGAAAACTCGTACGACGTATCATTGTCGCGGCAGAAACAATAGAGAGCACCCTTTGTAACCGACCCTAGATCACGCGTCTACGAGCTGAGATTGCCAGTTCAGCGATAAACACGATCTGGATCTAGGCCAGCTCTGTTTATCGTTCTAACGCAATCGTAAATCCCTTTCACAGAGCTTTCCTACCGGTCAACGAACTAACATTCTTTTATACGTGGAACAATTACATCACCAAATGTGTTTAATCGTTAGAAATTAGAAGAGAAAAGTAATATCTACCGAAACAATCTGGTATAACTTATATCGGCAAGTGTAATTTGGACAAGATGGTCCCATGCTTTCAGCCAACAGTGTACCTAGCCAAAAGTCGGGCCTGTGTAAATTCCGAAAAGCAACTCCTCCTCTCCTACAGCGAGCCTCGAAAAGCGTCGCGTCACTGCCAAGAAAGTTTTACCGACACGGGTTCCCCATCCCCGGAGGCAATCCAATTAGAAGAGAGAGAGAGAGAGAGGAGGAGAACAGCTTCCCAGGTCGTGTCAGCCGACAAAAACAATGTCCTGGATCCTTACCGCATCTGGAGCGCGTGACGAGCTGACAGGCCTCGATGAGGAATCGCTCGATGTAACGCTGGCACCGCTCCCAGTGGTGCACGGCCAGGCTGCCGATGTTGCAAATAAGGCAAAACGCGGCTAAAGGGGCGTGGAGAAACAGGGTGAACAGGCTGCCACCGTGTCGGACATCTCGTAAGGTTGGCGGCGTGTCCTGCGGCGACATCAGCACCATTAAAGGCTGACCAAAGTAACGGGGTATCTGTTGGAACACGAAACTGTTGTCCGAGTCGACGACCACGAACAGAGGCTTCCTGGTGAACGGGTAGAGGTCACCCGGATACAAACAGTGTGGCTCCTTACCACCTGTCGGCCTCTTCCCGTGTTCCGGGTCCCTCTTGCTGCACGTCGACACTCCACCCAGGTCGTACCCCACTGCAAAACCGCAAGATTTATCAACATCGTGCAATTCCGGTTTCGCTGAGCGCTAAGATGTCCGATGCTACCTGGCTAATCACTTTCGAGTCTCATTTAATTACAGCCTTATTGTTATTCATTTTTGGAAAATTATAGAGGAGAATTCGTTTCAAGGGATTTCGTCGAATCTATGACCGATTGGATTACATTTGAGAGGCTTCATTGATACAGATTACATTTTATAGAGATGGACTAAAGAATAACGGGATAAAAAGGACCATCAACAGGCTGCAGTGTAAGAAATACTAGAAGACTATACATAGAATGTTGAATTTTTTTTCCGAAAAGAGGAACATGCACTCTTTCGTAGCCGACATTCCTATAAATAACGGCGATCGGTCGCATCGGCTTTACGCTCGGACGAGTCGAAAGCCGAGCTTCATTTCAGTGGAACAATGAGAAACTCGTCGGACCGTGTCGGTTTTCGAGACGGCGCTGCGTGCTCGAAATTGGAACACTCCCAAAAATCCTTCTCAACATCCTTGGAGCATTTATTTCTCTACGATTTTTCAAATTATCCTTTGGAAATATGTAATTTTCAAGGAGAAATAGCACCCTTTCACACTTAAACGGTTCAAATATACAAAATCCTTCGCGCGTCTGACCATCGCCGGTCCATTCTACTGAGACCTCGAATCGCCAAAGCCCTCTTCTCGGTTCCTCGTTGGAACTACAAGTGGTTTTTTACTTTGAAAACAGCCCTTTAACACGTTGACTGTGCCTCGGTGAAAACCTCTATATGTATGTATATAACACGGCATATTTTAACATACCTAAAAAACCCCCAATTTTTTATTAAATATTAAAAATAAAAAGAGATCGTTAATTATTTTTTTTCTGAGGGATGGTCAACGCGTTAACGAGGCTAAAGCATCCGTTCGAGAAGCGAACATGCCAGCTGGACGTTGTCAGAGGGCTTCCTCGATATCGGCTAGGCGTCTAGTATTTCGATATCGATTGCAAACTTAGAATCCATCGGTGTTGTTCCAAATCTCTATCGCGGAATGACCTTGACACGGATGCGCTACTCTACTTTCGTTGAAAGACCGTTTTCGCCTTTTCCACCGGCTCTCGCGGCCTTTTGAATAGCGGCTTCCTTTGCTGGTCACCCGGTGAATTTTTCAGCACCGTCGACCTTCGGTCTTAACGAATTTTCTTTTTTCTCTCTCTCTCTTTTTTTTTTTTTTCTACTGCTTAACATTTGCGCGAAAGATCGGTTACTGGGATGGAAGCGATCCATTTTGGAAGTGTAACTTAAGGCCATGGGAATGCTTTTCTCCTTAAGTTACAAAACTTTCCATCGAGTTTTTTCCAAATATTCACGACATCGAAACACTGACACTCATGCCTTAATAAAAATGCTCACAACGATAAGAGTAATTTGAAAATACACAGAAAGCATAGCACATCGAGACGGTCGATCAGATGGAGAATAGGGTGAAGATTGGGGATAGGGATAGGGAATCGGAATGGAAAGGATGCGGAGGCACGTGGTATGTTAGGAAACCATCTAAACGACCTGGATTTTCTATTTAGTTAATTCAGTGGCCACCGCGATAAGAGGTCACGGTCATGCTTGAATCTCGCCAGTCGACTCTCGAGATGTCTTCTTTCGATCCGCATGAAGGTTTCACGAGGATGGGCACTAATTAAAGATGAAAAAGAAAAAAAAATATACCGTGCTCCTTGCACCCCCTTATGCTGGTCCTTTCGGGGATTTTTCGCGGTCCAATTAAAGGGGCAGAGGTGTTCGACGAAAATGAGACATTGTCGAGTTAACAATGCACCTTTTTTTTTAACATGTTGAATGGTGCGAAAGTCGCATACTAAAAATTTGCTAATTAAGTAATTATAAAAGATTTTATACTTTCAACGCGTTAAAAATAACTTGAAGCTACTATCGTCTATCAGATTACTAGTTACTTCTCTATCTATTAGAGCGTTTCCTTAATGAGCCAGAGTAGCGCAAGCTTTCTGATCGTATCTTTAAGGAGTTCGCTATTATCTATATTCGTAGCTTTTGCTTATCAGTCTATGCTAGCTCTAAATTGGAAACTAATTTAAGAAAGAATCAATTTCAAGTTCGGTGTTATAGAAAAATATTCGACCTCCTTTACTCTGACAATTAAACCACCGTAACGATAAATCTCCGCTCGACGTTGCAACCATCTATTATCCTCAGATGAAATCGAGAAACAACAGTTAAGAATCTACCCGGCAGTTTACATAATCGCGTATCCTCGCCGAGTAACGAAGCGTGCTTGTACGTTCTGTAAATCAGTAGCAAGCATCTGTGGCAAGCAGCCTAGGTTCACTCGCGAAGCCCTTGAACGAATAGTAGAAAGGCGATAAGTCCGATTCCCGGTGATCCAATTAACGTCGCAGATCGTCAGCCGTTGGACACGCGGTTTACGGATACGCGATCGTTGGACGCGAAAGGGTAACACCGTTGCTACACGGCTTATCTGTCGACGTTCGTTTCGATTCGGCGAACACGGAAAACCCGTTGCTGGATACCCGAAAGCGTCGAATTAGCCGTCGAGGAAACTGACCGAGAGCGTCGACACGCGTTTCGACTTCGGCTCCGCCGAGCGAGTGATTCGCTTAAAGCTTGCATCAATGATTAGATTCTAGCCTGACGAGAGAGTAATTTTCAACCGATCAACGCTTCGTCGAGTGGACAACGAAATTGTCGTTTCTTTGTCGAAGATGGAGCTGTTTCGATTTTCGAAGGTTCTGTCTGACCATTGATAGACCTATTCCACTGAATTACGCTTATTATTAGCTGTAACTCTCTTGTAGCGATATAAGCTGAATAATTCCATAAATACCGAAGAATACACCAGGAAGAATAGAGCAAGAGCAGCCTAGGGAAGGAAACCCAGCGTACGATTCAGCCAAGGCTATCTAAACTGGCAAAAGCGTTTCAGGTCGATCAGAGGAGATACTCACTTTCTTCGGGATGTTTAACGGTGGAGAAGCATCCGTCCGCCGACAGGTAGAGTAGCAGCGCCCCGTTGGCGGGCAGTTCCTTGAAGCCGCTCGCGAGGAATACCTGTACCTGGCTGTAGGTGGGCTTGTACAACAGGTACTTGTGGGGATTGTCGCGTCTTGGCGCGCCGTTCTCCGCGCCAGGGTAGGGACCAGGCCTGAAGGGCATCCTGCCAGCCGGCGACGCGTCGTGCAGGTGATTCGGGTCGTCTCTCGGCTCTCTTTCGAGAGTCTGCAGCATCCTGAACATGTCCATCGACAATTCACTGAATTTCACCTGGTCGGCGCAATTGCCGACGATCAGGATCTCCTGCAGTGATAGGCACATGGGTGGCGTACGTTCGACCGGCGGCGAGGTCTGGGCTCCTAGCCTGTGGGTCAGTACGACCGGGTTCGAGTCCGAGTGGACCACGCCGACCGCCGACTCGGCCTTCACGAACGCCTTGATCTCGTCGAGCACCAGGTTCCACTCGAGCTGATCGTCCGGTTCGTAGGTGCTCGTGTAGTCGGCGATCTGGGCGTCCAACTCTTGCACCAGCTCGCGTACCAGCTTCATACGATTCAACAGTAGACAGACGACGATGAAGCGGGCGTAGTACCTCAACTTCTTCACCATCAGGTCGCTCCTGTCCTCCTTGGCCGCGCGGCTGTAGTAAGCGCGACCCCTTATCGCCGCGTAGAACGAATAGGCCTCGTGCAGGTAACTGGTCTCGCTGGTGCGCAGGTAGTAGTGGTAGTAGAGCTGACCGATCTTGCTGGCTATCTCGCCGATCTGCCACCTCTTCAGGCCGTACTTTGTATCCAGTATCGTCCTGAAACAAGAGACCCGTCGTCCTATTAGAAGAGGGACCAAAGATAATTCTTCATAATTTTCGTTTGCCGCGCGAAATCATAACACAACGCGTCGTCCGTCCGTCCGTCCGTCAGGGGAACTCTATTGTCCCAGCGCGTTTTTGCGGCAGGGTAAAAAAAAAAAAAAATAAAAGGGATACTTTTGAAACAGGTGCTCGCGCTAACCACAGAAACTTTCTCCATTGTTTTGACGCGCGAAGCCGCGGTTCTGAAAGAGCATCCTCGATATTTATTAACAGCCGGTAGAATCGCGCGCGTTTGTAAGCGTATCGTGTCGAATAGGTGTCCGCGCGAACGCGAGTATCGTGAATAGACAATTGACTCTTTGTCGAATCACGCCGCAACCGATACACCTCCCTCCCTCCGTCCCTCCCGACGACACTTTACGATCAAAAGGAAAGGGACAAAGGGTCGAAGATTAGCCGGCCGACAGAATCGAAAGGGTAAATAAAGAGTATCGCGACGGTGTGTGTATCGTGGAAAAGGGAAAAGTAAACGAGGAAGGGTTAAAACGTTTGCGAAATTACGTGGCGTTCGCGAACTCGTCTGTTACCTCGTGTAAACACGAGGTATTAAACTGGTCACGTGGTGTTTCTGTTTCCGTCGTGCAGGATCATGCGAGAACGATCGACCGTGGTAGAAAGAAGGCGGGACAGACACGATTCGACGTGACGATAGAGGAGAATTTTCACTCTCGTTGTCAGCGTAGTAGGCGAGGGAAACTCACCGTGGTTAAACGAAGAAGATCGAAGAAGAAAAAAAAAAAAAAAAAAAAAAAGACATATAAGAAGATAATAATAACAACGAATAATCGATCGAATCGCAAAATTGTATACCGGTGGTCGAAGCGTACCCCTGCAGGGTTCCACTAAAAATATCTACGTCCCGCAGCATCGTAGAGAACAGTAGGACGGGTGACACGCGCACGCACACATAATCCTTCACTCGCGCACACAATCTCCATTCACGCTCGTCACATGGTGTCCCAGCGCGTGAAAGGGCGGAAGTCCTGCGTAGGGGAGAGACGATCCTCGTCATCGTCCTCCAAAGTAGCGGCCACGTTTTCCTTTCCCCGTCCGCGTCATCGTCGTCGTCGCCGTCGTCGCCGTCGTCGTCGTCGTCGTCGTCGTCGTCGTCGTCGTCGTCGTCGTCGTGTCGTTCGTACCAGGCGGCTTTTAGCCCCTATCCCTGTTCACTGTTTTATTTTATTTTTTTATTTTTTTCTGTAGAATGTACTTGCGATCCAAGGAAGCGTGGATCGTGGATCGTGGATCGTGGAAGGACCTCGTGGCAGAGCGGTGCGATCGATTTCCCCCGTAACACTCGGCCACTATTTCTCAGAGCGTGTCCGATGACTCAGCCCGCCTCAGCCTCGGTCGACTCGACTCACCTGTGCTGCTGCTGGAACTTCCAGAGCTTCGTGTAGATGTCAAAGGTGCGCCCGAAGTATCCCTGCCACTGCTTGTGCCCGTACTGTGGCAGATCCCGTAGCCCGTTGAACAGCTGCTTGCTCTTCTCGAGCAGGTGGCAGAATTCGAGGACGACTTTGCGCTCGTGGTCGTCCATGCCAGCCATCATGACCATCTTTTCGGTGAATCGAGATCGCGGCCACTGGCTGGACGGCCCTTCAGACGACGGTCGCGGTGGCCCCGCGTGATGGCGCCTGCCGATTCCGCCACCCTCTTGCACTCTGACTACGACGCCGACGAACGCGGCGCCCACCCAATCAATACTTGCCCACCCCGCATCAGGGGGCGCACCGTGCGTGTCTTCGACGCCACCGTGCACCATGCCACGCCATCCGATCCCGTCGCAACGTCCACCCGGGACATCTGTCCGCTCCGCCGGTAGATTATGTCCACGGGGGTAGATCGATCAATTTATTCCTCCTGGTAACTGGACTTAGTTATCGAGGGTTGCTTCGAGGGAACTCTAAGGGTGGTTGGTTGGTAAGGGGTAGAAATCGATTCCTCCTATACCTGGTTGATCTCCTTTCGACGTTAGATGGTGCTCGGATCGTTCAGCGCGCAGTAATATGAAGTTAAAAATACATTCTAAAATAAGGGTTGCATCGTTTCTTCAGCTTCTTAAATCAATTACTTTGCAATAAACACGATATTGCAAAGAAAAAATCTAGTAATAATTAGTTATTTCCAAAATCTCTTTTCCCAATACTCCATAGATCAAATTTTGTCTCGATCACCTACAAAGAGTTCTGTGACGTTTATTTTTTAATAACGAAAATTTCGCAACCGAAGACCCAATGGCGGGGGTGCGAAAGGTGATTTGAAATCTGCTGGTGAACGAAGAGGGAGGTGCTCGACACTTTCGTTGTCGTGGCTCGTTACGGCTACAGAAAGGGTGGGAGTTTTGCCGCCCTGCTAGTCGTCCACCGCCGTCGGCGGAGATTAATTAACTAGATAACGGTCGGTGGCTGCGAGGGAGCATTGAAAGAAGAGGGCCAACGGACATGGGAGAAAGCGAGAGGAGAGGTCCCCGTGAGGGTGAAACGATGCAGGTCGACCGTACCGCACAGCCACCCCCCTAGAAAACCCCCGCAACTAGCGATTCCTTCGAGACAAGAAGTTTTCAGTTATAGATAAAAATATTTGTCACGTCGCTAATCACGAGTGATTAACATAAATTGAGAATTCAGAAATGGAAGCGATCACACCAGTCACATCCAAAGCCTATCGAAACGCAATAAAGTGAAATTATGCCAACCTCATCCACCTGATTTTTCCAAGCTGACCAAAGATTTTTCAATCTCGGCTCGGCTCGGCTCGGCTCGGTCTTTTTTCGCAACCAAATAATCGTTGGGCGTAGGGTGAGAGGGAGACGGATAGAGTAGAATTTCAGAGGCATGACGGGGTCTGAGGAGTCGGGACGGTCGACTGCTGGGCGTATATCGACTGTGTCGCCTCATCTACAAGTCAATCAGGCTCGCGTGCCAGCGACTCGTGAAGGCGGCCTGCTACACGTAAGTAAGTAGCCGGCCCTCTGGTCAGCCAACCAACGTTCGTACGTGTATGTACCTGTGCCTGTATCGAACACGACCGTCGACACGGCCACCTTTATGCCCGGTATGCAAGTATAATGTGCCGCTGCATATATGAATGCTTATGGTAATCCGCGCGCGGCAGCCTCGTTTCGATGTTGGCCCGGATGCCTGCTAGATAGACCTCGGCCCCTGCCATACCGCCGTCTATTGTTATCGGTGCCCGCTACGTGTGCCCCGTGCCGCTTTTCCTATCACAGGCCTCTTTTAACTTCAACGAATTCGAATTCACCTAAATTGTATTTTACGTTAAGGTGGACATTTTCTTAGATCTAATTTAATTATTGAAAAAATCATTACCAGTCCCCCTCCCCCCCCCCGTTTGAACGAAAAATCTACACGGTAGAGATTGGATCGAGACAAAATAGGTTGGATATGAATTCTAATCGGTGAGTCAGAGGTGGTTGGATCGATGGTGAATCGTGGTCGAAAGGCATGGTGCCTAGCGCATGGTTCGAGTCATGGACAGTGTATATGGTAACTGGTCGTGCGGCCTGTCTGAGTATAGACGAGCGATCATATCGGGTCGTTAACTGATATTAATAGCAGGGCGCGGTGAACTCGTTCCTACTTGCTTTCTCTCCCTCCATCTATTCTCTTTCACTCTTAGCAGACCGTTCGAACGGCTGTCCCACCTAAGGGACCCTTTGCCCTAATTGTAACAAATTAAATCACGCGATATCGACGATTCCCTCGGGTGAAATCTACGCGCGCGGCAGAAGCGTGCCGCGATTGTGCACGCCTTTTCAACGCTTTAATCTATCTTCGTTCGCCCATTGTTTCCAATTAAGGGGTCACGGATTTACATTCAGCACGACTCGTTCTCACTCGACGACTTAGTTGCTCTGCAATTTTCTTTTCTTTTCTTTTCTTTTCTTTTTTAACGTCACTCTCTGTTTATTTTTTTCTTCTTATTTATATTTATTCTTTTAATAAATTTTCCGAGCGCGCAATGTTCTCAATGGAAACTGAAGGAATTCTTTTAATAGAATATATGAGGGATTTACAAGCACGCGGATAAACTCTTTTTAATATGCAGACTTTAACCTGTTGAATGCATTGTGTTCGTGACAAGCAGTGATTACATTTGTTCTCCTGAGTTAGATACATTTTTTATCATTCCAACGATCGTGTTACCGATGATAACCGCGTTAACCGCTGCTCGGGATCGTTGTAGATCAAGCTTGCCTTAATATATTACTCCCTGCTCCCGCTTTGCGAGAGTCAATGAAAGGAATATGAAAATTCACCTCGGTATTTTATTTATTTCTTCCCGTATCGATATCCTTTTTTAACGGATTCACCGTATACGTAAAAATAGAATTCAAAAAACTACCCCCTAATAAAATGATTGCAATTCACCTTTGTCAAGTAAAATAAAAATAATTTTAACGAGAAAAAGGGAAATTTTCCCTCTGATATAAAACAAGGGGAGGCACGAGGTCCCAATTCCTTCCGAGGGTGAAGAAAGATAAAAAAAAAAAAGAAGAAATGGGGAGAAAGTAAAAAAGTATGGTAGCGAAGAGGAGTTTTGATATTTCCTGGCTTTACCATTAGCCTGGCAGGAGGCTCGAGGCCGGTAAGGGTGGTTCGGCTGGATGCGAGGAAAGCCTCAGGAAGCTCTAACTCACGGGCAAAGGGGCAAAGCAACCCCGTTCAAGCGAGCCAGCCCCTGCTATTAACATTAACCGAGCACATACAGGGTGTTTGCAATGGCATTATCGATCGACCCGGTGAAAAAAGACCAGCGAATCGAGCACTTTGTACGATACGTGCAGGAAACGCCTAGTTTACATTCACGAAACCCGGCTAAATGCCGATAGACTCGTTTTCGGTATATATCCAGCAGAGGATCGTTCGTGATCGCTGCTAACAATTCAGGATCATCGTGATTTCGTTTGGAACGTTTTCAACATCCGTTTCATTATCCCTTGTAATTTACCTTGAAATAGGAAGACTCTATTACTCTTTATTTCTACGTTTTTTGACAGAAAAGTTGCGCTCTGCAAAACTACTTCCGGTGTTCGCTCGTGTCGTCACGGTCTCCCTTAACCACCCCCTCGATTTCCCAGTCTAAAAAAAGAAGACAACCAGTTCCTTGCTCGTAAATTGATGCTGCGTGAATAATCGATTAAAGCGATCCGAAGTAAGGGCCCGGGATAGTTTTCCACGTTTCGACGACTATCCCCTCGGCCAGTTCGTTTCCGGTGAAAATCACGAATCGCGTCTACCAGTGGCTGGTCGTTCATGCGTGAAGCTTCCGATTGTCGAGCAAGGACCGGTGTCAATCGTGCGAGAAACATCAAACCTTTTGTATTCGAACTGCGAGTGCATTTTCGTGTCCGAACTCGGTTGGATCGGTTGCTTCTTCCGGTCCGGCCGATTCTTTTCTAACTTATCGAAAGGATCGATGTATGTATTCGGTGGTCGTATTAATTGCGAAGAAGTTTCGAAGGCATTGTTACCAGGGGGTGTGCGAAAATAAGCAAAGTGGAATAAAAGAAAATGAAATGATTCTCTTAACTGGAGGTAACTGGATATCGACGATGAAAATGGGTATCGATGACACGCGAATTCTCGTCGGTTAACGAGTTCCACGATAACGATATATTGTTATCGCGACACGTACGAGGATATATACCACTCGCTGGCCGCTACCCTTTGAAAATCGTGCTCCGGCCACGTGTCCATAGTGTCGCGCCCCCGTTGTTATTGTTGCCCGTAGGATCAGATAATTTTCGTACAAGCAGATACCCGGTGCACGACCGGCTCCACACGCGTTCTGACCTTGCATAAAGATCAGCCGATATCATTGATATATTAATCGAATCTGCTAGCTGTCCCTCCTGGGGAAAAATATGTATCATTAATCGAATGATTTTTTTTTTTTTTTTTATTCTCCAGAATGTCCGAACTGGTCGTAGAATAATCGATTATTTATCTAACTAAATTAAATTAAAATACAATTTTTACGGATACGATGCCAAGGAGAACCAATGATCCACGGGTATTAACCATAAATACTTAACAGAAGTCTGGAGGAAGGCTCGTTGCCGTGCCATTGCACCGACTTCCGTTTACAATCAGAAGCTTAATCGCTCCTCTCATTTTGAATCGTTGCCAAAATTTCTCAACTACCCCTGGTATATGCTCGAAAATTTCGAGATTCTCGAAAATAGATAAACAAAGAATATACCAGCTGAAGAAGGATGTTTAATCTACATCCCTAAAATAGGAGAAAGACATCCTGGTTCCTCCTTAAATTAAACAAGGAAGAATTTATGAAGAAAGAGTCAGACGCAACAACCCCAAGGATCAACCCCCTTCCCTATAAAAAGAGAAGAACAATTCTATAATAGTTAGCAAACAAGAATAACGAAAGAGACGAGAGACACGCGTGAAAATGAGAAGAAAAAGTGAAACGTAACCTGGGAAAGGGGAAACCGAGATGGAAATGTAGGAAGAATAGACACAGACCCTGGCGGATGATTCTTCCTCTGAAGAGGAATAAAGACAAATTGTCCCTCCCATGGAATAAAGAAAGAGAAAGGTACGAGGTTAGAAAGAGTCGGATAGCATCTGAAACACAGGTGAAAATGAGAGAAAAAGTGTAAGGTAAGCTGGAAAAGGGGAAACCGAGATGGAAGTGTAGGAAGGAAAGACAAGGTTCGGGTGTACGGGAATGATACGATGTTAGAGGGAGACACAGGAAAAGATCCACCCTGGTGGATGATCCCGCCTCTAAGGAGCCGCTTCATAGCCTGGATGGGGGTTAGCAGCCAACCCTCCTCCACGCCATCTCCTCCACCCTCTCCTGGCGTCCCGGCGGCGCAGGCTCCGATACAGCCAATCGTCGGACCGCGACTGATAACGACGCTGCCGAATGTGCGTCCGTCGCATCGCGCTCGAGTTCGCCACGGTGGTCCACGCGTTCCCAGACTCGTTACATCCCCCGGCTTGTAATCCGCCGATAAGTGTTCTTCCTCGCGTGGCTTTTTCTACACCCCGATTTCCGGTTCTCGTTGATCCACCGAATCGCGAGTATATTTCGGCAAAATTGTGACGCGTAGTGAAACCTCGGTGTGAACTGGGAACAGGAAGATAGGCTCAGAGGAGAATCTGGATCTGACAGTGCTGGATAACGATACACGCAAGCCCCCGCATTGACGGTGAGTGGGATGACTTTCTACTTTTATTTTCGGCTCAATAATATTCAAATAGATAGAGGGATTTTCGGGGGTTGACGAGGGTGCAGTTTATTTGGATTATGATTATTTGAAAGGGTAGACGAGTTTTGCCATTTGCTTTCGTTTTAAATAAATATTCAAACTGAATTCATTTGCAAAATTATTCCAGCAACAAAGACAAATAAAAGGTTGTAATTTTTACAAGAAGCTCGTTTAATCTTATAACACGATCGTCTAACGAAGAAAAAGAAACATCAGTATTAATCGAACGAGATGCTCTTCCTTTGAAAACAGGAATCCCTTAATGACAAAAATAAAGGCACGCGAGTTAACGAGAAGCATCCAAGAATGAGAGGCGTGCGATTTATAATAATGTTGATCGTTCGAGCAGGAAAGCGATGATAGAAAACGAATGCAAGAAACTTTGATCATCGTGCGTCGCATGGAACGCGACAACGCGTTGAGAGGGGGAATAGGAAATTTACGAGGCGTTAAAAAAATGGATAACAACGGTGTAGAAACGGCTAGCAATAAAAGAGGCGGCAGGAAAAAATTGTGAACTGGTTAATTTAGCGTTGAAGATAACGCGTGAGCGTGGTTAAACCGTGGAACACGCGAGTGGACAGACAGGTGAAAGAGGGTGCAGCGTGTGTCGTGGATAACTGAAACGCGTGAGAAAAAAAAAGTAGATAACTCTAATTTTTTTTAATTGACATGGATGTTCTGCTATAAATTTTTCAAATTTTTCTCAAGGACCCTGCTTTTTTCATAGATCGCTGGAAATAGTAGAACGATTTTGGAAAGGAAAATTCAGCAAGGTACACACCGTAACGTTTTCTCCCTCTATCGCACGGGTACCGCGCGCGGTTTGTGTCGTCCGTTCGCGACGTCGCATTTAAATAGTGTATGTAGGTACATACGAGAGAGTTTAGAGACGAGGTAGGCAGAGGGGTTTCCGGCGAGCGTTAACAGAGTAACAGAGTGATGTAATGAGGCCCGGAAGCAGGCAATTTGCTGGCCGCGGCGGCCGCAGTTGCGCGAGACAACCTGCCCGGAGTACCTTCTTCTTGATATCGGGTCCAGCCTCTTCTCCGTCTCGATATCCGACTTACTCGTCGTGTCACTTTCCATCAACGTTCAACTCAACCATCATTTTCTTCTCCAGTGTTCGACCAAGAACACGGTGGTGGCCATTCGGTTCAGTGAAATTCCTCAAAGTTGGAAAATAATGCTCTGTATTCGATTTCTTAGAGCCTTATCAAACATTAAGATTGCCAGATGAACCAAGAAGAACTGGTGGAAAATTTACAAAGAGCCCGCAAGTGGTGAAAAGTTAAATTTCAAGATTTGAAAATTTTTAAAAAGATGCTGAATTGGAAAAATATCCGAACGGATGGAACGAATTCGTTATCGTTCCTAAGTATCACGATATTGTATGATTTTAATAATACATTGGAATATTGAAGATAAATAATCGAAGGATAGAGGAGAAATTATTGAACGAACCGATAACAACTAACAGGACAAGGAAATCGTGTACTCGGAGACCGCCGGAGGTGCACCGTGATTATGTGAACAGTTTTGTGAACGTGATTAAATTGACCTCGATACATTGTGAACATCCGCGCGTCCATTTCGAGCTGTTTGCTTTGTTTCGAGATGAAACGATGATGCTAGAAGACAGCGGGGATTTCTGAACCTGTGCCTGACATTGAATCTTTCCTTTATTTTCATTTCAACGATCTATCGATGGTTAACGTGGACGGTGTGCAGATCGCGTTTTATCGTGGACATCGTCGCAGCGACAGCAGGTAAAACGCGCGGCCATTCTTCTTCTGGTCATTGTTCGTTTCCTGTCGCGAGGATAATTCACGTAACTCGTTGAAAGAACGAGATACAGAGAAGATTAATTCATTTTCAGAAATTTCATACGAGTCGTATGGACCCCCCTCCTCGTTCTAAGATTTTCAAATTTTCAAATTACTATTTCATTTTATATCGTCACAGATTAATTGCAAGTTCCCGCCAAAGTAATCTATGTAGAATGATAGAAAAGAAAAGAAAAGAAAAGAAAAGGTAGGCATATCTAATTATCTAGAAGTGGTGGCAGGTAACGAGATGATCGGTTCTTTCGTCGTAATCAGGCAACTTTCTTGCGCGCATGCTGATTCGATTTAAGTTGATCGTGACTTTACCGGATGCTTCGAGGGTCCTTTAATCATTCTTAACGACACTGCCTACCGTAGAACGCGAGAGTGCTGTCGAGAGAGCAAGTAACTCACGCTTGCTCTGTTAACAGCATTGATTGCGCTAGTCGTTCGCAAACGGCAAGTTTGGTTAAGAACAATCCTTCTTCCATTTTATTTTTTCAATGTAAAATATATTATTTTTCAGGGGTTCTTTGGTGATGTACGACAGCGCTAGCTGTTCGTACGCAGGTGCGCTCGAATTAAAGGGAGCCTCCGGGGCAGGAGCCGCGGCCGCGGCCGCAGGTGTAACCGCGGCCGGCGTTAAGCAGGAGAATTGGCCGTATCGCGGTCTTACCTGCGGCAGCACCTTTCAAAGATTAAAAGAAAGCGTCGACAAAGCTAAACAAGCACTCGCCGATCGAGGTGGATATCTATCCGGTGCATTCTCACCGCCGCCACGTGCCAATCCATCCGCCATTTCGCCGACCGCCTCCATCACCGGTAAGTTCTTTCGAAATTTCAATAATGTTAGGAAAAAATTTTTCATTTCCTAAGAGTCCTGTACCACTCTTTTCAACACGAGCATACGCGTAATCGAGTTGCGTGTGCTTTTCCCAAGCGTACTTGCGTGACCCACGTTTAAACGTCGTCGTTCCGCCGAGCGACTTGTTCGCTTAGCTTACATTTGCAGCCGTTCGAATCGAAAGGTTAACGTCATTGGTTAGGACAATTACTTGTGAGTCACTGTTTTTCTCACGACTTTGACGAAATCAACGATCTAATCGAACGTTTCAATCTCCGGCCGTTCTTTCTGCTCGTTAATTCAACAATTTTACCATTTTTCTCACAGTTGCAGTTAATTAATCCTTGTACAGGTATTCTAGCCGACGACGATAGAAAGATGGAAATGATTTCGAAGTGGCGCGTAAAGTTTTTCAAGCAATAGTCGATAAATTTTCGAGGAGTAAGCAGGATATTGGTGTGGCCATGGAGAGCAGCCGACGAGCGTTTTGCTCAGTTGGCAGCGGTGCAACCCTCGTGCAACACACCCCCGTCGCGTCGGTACACTCTGTTTCCACTCTTCTCAGAGGGAGAAAGAGGGAAAGAGGGTGGAGTGAACGTGGGCGGCAGATAACGTGATTTACACTGGCCGGGTAATTAATGTCCTCGGCGACCGGTGTTTTAAAAAAACAATCGGAAATCGGCGACAACGAAGAGCAACAGTCAGGTTGCCGGTATCGCGGTCGCCATTCGCCTGACAAATTATTCTGCCCGAGATTTTCCTCTTTTATTTTCTACCTATTTTGTTTACTCGCTCGCTGACCCCCTTTGGTATCTAAATCTTTTCTAGAAATTAACATTTAACCTTTCCTTTTCATTTTTCAGCTTAGAAATATGATATGCACGATATAAAAGAAACCAAAATCGACTCGAGGTCTTTTATTATTATTTTTAGAAAATTTAGAGTTTATAATAAAATAAAAAATATTATTTTAAATAGTATTATACTATAATTAAAATTTTAATATGACAAAATATCATTGACGAAACGAAAGAAGAAAAATTCATTGATAGAAAAGATGAAATTAGAAGAGCGTCTCGAGTGGTCGAAAATTTTCCGCGAGATGCAAGATGGTGGGTCGATGATGGCGGTGTAGTCGCGAAAATGTGGATGACAAGGGAGGAGGAGGAGGAGGAGGAGGAGCGGTTAGGGGTTAGCCGGGAACGTATCCATGACGACCGACCGCCCCACGAATCGCCACCCTCGGAGATCCCGGATGCACCCCTCGACAAGCCAGCATCCCTCTCTGCAAACCCTCTACGGCTTCAGGTTGAACCTCTATCTATCTAACCCGTATCTCTGCGCTCCTTCTCCGCGGGGATGACGACGCTCTTAAGCTACTTAGATTTTAAGTCGGACCATTTCGTGCCGACGATCTATACACCTGGCTATAATTCTTTCGAGTTTCGTGCTTTCTAACAAAAGCCCTCGGTCTTTCGCCGAAATTTTCCAAGGACTTTCCACGACCCAGAGGTGAAGAGTCGAGATACATAGAACAACGAGACTACGATAATTAATTGCTATCTGCAAGTTTAACGAAGTACACTCGGGATCAAATTTAAGTTACCCCTAGTCACCCCAAGTTACCCCTAGTCACTTTTCTATCACGCCTTAGCGAATTCTTAGTTACATTATACACGCTAGCTTTGGTATCCGATCGGCACCGTTACATATCGGATATTGTGTCAGCGTGTCCGAGGGCGGTGCATGTATTTAATGTTTCCTCGCTCGAGCACCATCCCGCCTTGTTTGCGCTGGTAATTGATGTTTGACAAAATGAGGTGACGCGCATGCCGACAACGTGTTGTTTGCCAACACAGGGCTCGCGGTAGTTAGCCCTTTTAAGGTTCACGACTTACGTACACCGCGTGTTCGATCGCGCCACGTTCCTTGTGGCTATGGGACATTTAGGGTGTTTGCGTTATTTTACTATTCGCCATCGAACGTTCTATTTTTGCAAACTTTCAAGAATCTTCAATGAAACGATGCAAAAGAAGATGGAAAAGAGGAGGAGAACTTCCGGCAATAGAGAATCTTTGGGCAATTAAAGCCGAGAAAAGTATCGCCTCTGTGGCCCCCTTCTCACGCCGGAAAACATCAGAACGCCTACACTTGATATGACCGAGGGTAATGTTACCTCTCGTCTGTCTAATTGCACGGAATAGGGCACCTCCCGAGACAAACGATGCGACATAAAAGAGCCTGCCTCTCGCACCCTTTGCACCAATTTCGCCTGCATAGAGTGGGCTGCGGCACAGGATGCGGCGCGTGTTTCATTGTACGTGTAAAAAGTGGAACACTGTATTGCATAAAACGATAACAACAATATTTTTTTATTTATTTTTTTTTTTTGAAAAAAGAAGAAAACTGTTTCAAGACTAGGAAATCGCTGACAAAGAACGGTACACCCTAATTTCTAAGTAGCAAATTCTGATCAATTAATCTGACCACGTTAACGAAAACTCACCCCGTGTATAGACTTAGCTACGGTGAAGGGTGGATCAGAGTGACCAAGACGCGTTGATAATTGCCGGTATCGGTTAACCCGGGTAGAGGGCTGGTTATGGGGTCTCGAGCAGCCCTCGTCATAGATTCAACCATTTCCCCACGGTGTGATCCCTTTTTGCCCTTCATCACCGGCAACCTTTGCGCGCCCCTTCGCTTCCGTCATCGGCAACTACGACTGGTCCCACCCTCGTTCCCAGCGCCCAAGGGGTGACTAAGGTTCAGAGGATCGTAACTGTCTTACCTCTAAAAAATGGAAAGAATACATTAAAGAAATTCGGTCTCCACCGCCGCTCGGATGACCCCGGATATCCGTCTGAGGACCCTCGAGATGAGGATCCGGTATCTCAAGTGCGAATTTCTGTTGGCATTATCGAATTTGTTCGGGGGTGTCGATGGTGGGTGAAAATTTTTTTTTTTTTTATACCGATGGAAGAATAATTAAAGTTTGAAAGAAATTAGAAAAATCTCAGTTGATACACGTAGCACTCTCACAATTAATCTGCCAGCCCTGATCCTTTCAAAGGGGTTAAGAAGTTCTCGCAAGCAGATTCATGAGCGAAATCAAGGAGCAATGATGGATCGTCTCTTTCTGAATGTCTACGTTCAGGTCGATCGCGCTCGAATGAATTCCGGGTAGCATGAAGAAGGGGGGTTGTGTCTTTCTGTTCTGGTACGGCTCATTGCAGGGCCCGTGACTAATCATGATAGTTCCGGCCGGGAACGCCGGGGACACACGACTCTCGGTTCCGTTTCCGGCGCGTGCTACCTTCTCCCTTACCACCGTCACCCCCTGTGGCTCGTAGGCCACCCTCCCGCGCAATTATTGCGCTTTGCAACAAAGAGCATGGCACAAGATCGAAGAAGGGCTGCGTTGCTGGTACCTTATCTTCCTTTTCGTCCTTTCTGTTTCTCTCTTCATTTCTTTCTTTCCCTGTCACCGCACCCCCTTGTCTCTTTCCCTTTCTCTCGACGACGGTTTCCCTGGCTCCGCGTTTTTCTTCGCTATTATCGATGTCGCTTCTCAACGATTCTCCTCTCGGTCAACGTTTTTGTCCTTCGACGAAGGGGGTTGATAAAGCGTACGTTTGTCGTAGACTTTTCTACCGAACCTTTTGGAATTTAGTTTCTGCGAATTTCGATGGAAGGCGAATCTTTGCGCGTGTGAAATATAATTCAGAATTTAAAATTCGTCCTCGCAGCCCTACCAATCATTATTCATTCTCGCACGACCTATGACCCAGGCTAGTCGACGTCGTGAAATAACCTCGTTAAGTCGCTAACTCGCCACCAGCAAGGTGGAAAGAGGGCTGCCAGGAAAAAAGAAACGAAGGGTAGGAAGGGTGGCGAGCGACGAAGAAAAAGAACATTCCACGTGACTCGGCTAAAGTTCGAACGGGAACGTACACCATTTTCTTAGGGATGGTTCGCGTGACGATTGTATTTTCATTTCATTGGAAATAAAATTTGTAAGAAATTTTGATTCTCTAAACTTTTCAAAACTAGAACTAAATTACTGAAAATTAAAGTTATCTTCTTATTATTGGATGTAGATATGAAAATTTGATAGTAACGTTAACGATGATCGGTTAAGAAGATCACAGAGAATCTATACTGGGTACGAGAAACCCCTGTGCTCCCGAATTTTTCAGCAAAGTAACTAGATCGATACCTAAACCGACGACTAACAACCCCTAAATATGGAGAATCTTCGGATAGATGGCAGTGTCTTCTGAAATCATCCCTTATTTCAGTTACAGTGGACCACGATAGATGTCTCGGCATTCGTAAACCACCCTCTGTGCTTGTGTCAGAAAAAAAAGTACTGTCAAATTTATATATCACCCTCGAATGAATATTTTTACCAGTCCTTGGATGTCTCTGCGATGTTTTTAAGTTGAATATATTTCAAGAATTTTATAAAAACAATAGCTGTTTAGTTATTTAAGAATAATTTTTAGATTTCTAAATTTCTAGGCTATCGTATTTATAAATCTGCGAATATAAAAAAGGTACCCCCCTCCCCTCCGCAGACATTTGTCAGGGACAAATTGTTCGACCGATTAACGTCGAAAAACGTCTGTCACTTATCGGGGAAAAAGGTTTCACGAGGGGTGCATTCCACCCCCGTTGGAGATGATTCTGCAAAAGCATCGAAGGCTCCCCGAGGAGAGTAGCAGCGGGAGAACGGTATAGAGAAAGTCATTAGCCAGTTAATCATGCGTTATCGTGTGTGCTTAATGTTCCGTCGATGAAGGAGTGACGAGGGAGTGAGGGGTTGAGAAAAGGGAATCCCGTCAGCCCCTTTTTCGGCCTTTTCTTGGCTCCTAGTCAATATTGTCAGCGTGCACACCACCCTGAGCAACAGATCACTCTCTGCGACCTCATTCTTCATCTTTCGTCGCGTTACAACCACCTTTTCTTTACCATATTT